TTCCATAAAGACTCTTGAGAGAGCCCATGTTTCAAAGGAAGCGCACCCTCACAAATCTTCAATTTGACTAAATCAGTGTTTCTTCCATCAGAGCTGTTGATGCTCAGCATCAAGGATTTTTCCAATGGTGCAATTTTGGGGTAGTGCGGTAGTTTTTGTTGCTGTTAAAACAGAGAGTCTGGAGAAAATGTCTTGTGGGTGACACAGGATTGAACCCACTTCTGCATCGTCATCCAGTTTCAACAAAAGTTCTGTGCATTAAACAACAGTTCTATAATTGTATATTACTGAAATATTTGTTACACTCTTTTATAATGTTTTATTTCAAGTGAATAAAAGAAGAATGTTTACTTTCTTGTTTTGTACAGATCTTTGAGTTGCCCTGTGTATGAATTGTGTTATACAAACTATATTGTGTTAAATAAACTCCATCCATCCATTTTCTTCCGCTTCATCCGTTGCCGGATCGCGGGGGCAGCAGTCTAAGCAGAGACGCCCAGACTTCCCTATCCGCACACACTTCCTCCAGCTCGTCCGGGGGGACCCCAAGGCGTTCCCAGGCCAGCTGAGAGACATAGTCCCTCCAGCGTGTCCTGGGTCTTCCTCGGGATCTCCTTCCGGTGGGACGTGCCCGAAACACCTCCCCAGGGAGGCATCCAGGAGGCATCCGGAACAGATGCCCGAGCCACCTCAACTGGTTCCTCTCGACGTGGAGAAGTAGCGGCTCTACTCCGAGCTCCTCTCGTGTGACTGAGCTCCTCACCCTATCTCTAAGGGAGCGCCCAGCCACTCTGCGGAGGAAGCTCATTTCGATCGCTTGTATCTGCGATCTTGTTCTTTCGGTCATTACCCAAAGCTCATGACCATAGGTGAGGGAGGGAACGAAGATTGCCTTTCGGCTCAGCTCCCTCTTTACCACAACGGTCCGATACAGCGACCGCATCAGTGCGCACGCTGCACGATCCGCCTGTCAATCTCACGCTCACAAACAAGACCCTGAGATACTTGAACTCCTCCACTTGACAAAGGACCTCTCCACCCACCTGGAGAGGGCAAGGCACCTTTTTCCGGTCGAGCACCATGGCCTCGGATTTGGAGGTGCTGATTCTCATCCCAGCCGCTTCACACTCGGCTGCAAACCGTCCCAGTGCATGTTGCAGGTCCTGGTTCGTTGGAGCCAACAGGACAACATCATCCGCAAAAAGCATTGATGAAATCCTGTGGTCCCCGAACCGGACCCCCTCCGGCCCCTGGCTGCGCCTAGAAATTATGTCCATAAACACAGTGAACAGAAGCAGTGACAAAGGGCAGCCTTGGCGGAGGCCAACATGCTCCGGGAACAGGTCTGACTTACTGCCGGCAATGCGAACACAGCTCTGGCTCCGGTCATACAGGGACCGGATGGCCCTCAGCAGAGGACCCCGGACCCCGTACTCCCGGAGAACCCCCCAGACACACCGGGGAAAACGGTTGAACGCCTTCTCCAAATCCACAAAGCACATATGGACAGGTTGGGCGAACTCCCATGAACCCTCGAGTATCCGATGGAGAGTATAGAGCTGGTCCAGTGTTCCGCGACCGGGACGAAAACCACACTGCTCCTCCTGAATCCGAGATTCAACCATCGGTCGTAGTCTCCTCTCCAGCACCTTGGAGTAGACCTTACCGGGGAGGCTGAGGAGTGTGATCCCACAATAATTGGAACACACCCTCCAGTCCCCCTTGTTGTAGAGAGGGACCACCACCCCGGTCTGCCACCCCATTGGCACCGCCCCCGATCGGCACGCGATGTTGCAGAGACGTATCAGCCAAGACAGTCTGAAGAAGATGACATAGTCTGGGATCGCGTCTTTAATTCAGACAGAAGACATGTTTTATTGTCGATGGTAGAGACAGCACGAACACGAACACAGATACAACAGAATGCAAGTGTATTATACAGAGCGGAGGCATGGAGACCTCCAATCAGCAGCTTCCACGGTGTGCTTGTAGCTTGGCCTTCAGATAGACAAAACAAGGGAAAAGTACTGGCTTCTGCACATTGATAGAATGATGAGTTTAACTTTAACAAAAGTTGCTTAAAAGTGTTATGAAATCTCACATTCCCCCCTCTGGTCATACATTCACGTGTGACCATCAGGATCGATAAATAGCAACATAACATCATAACTCAATACTTCAAAAACTCAAACTCGGTACTTCACTCGGTACCTCAAAAAACTCAGAACTCGGAATACTTCAAAAACTCAGAAAACTCATACAACATTTTCAGATCTTTCATAAAACTTGTCAACAATCTTCAGTAAAATACCAAACTTCATCAGTCGATGGTGGTTCCAGATATTGCTTTGAAAACAGTCTCTCCCACTTCTCCGTGTTGATTCTTCAGGCTGCATTTGTGTCGAGCCATGAATTCTTCTGTGACGTGTCTTTCAATCACACGTTTCAGCTTCAGTGTCCAGATTCAGCAATTCAATCAGTCCAAATTATGTCCAAATTGTGTAATCCAATTGTTCCAAATGGTGTCCATGCAAAAGAGGACGATGGTATTGTCCATGTCTCAGCAGCTCACAGCCTGAGTGGAATCAGGGGCTGTGCAGATTGTCCAAGTGTGCTGGTCCAGACGCATTCTCTTGAGGTTTCTCAGTTTTGGCTTAAAAAAAAAAACACTTTTTGTGTAAAAAAAAGTAGTCTTCTGTTCTCTAGATGTTACAGACAAGGCCCGCATCCTTCCACCACCTGAAGAAGATGTACCAAGTCTGGGATCGCGTCTTTAATTCAGACAGAAGACATTTTTATTGTCGATGGTAGAGACAGCACGAACACGAACACAGATACAATAGAATGCAAGTGTATTATACAGAGCGGAGGCATGGAGACCTCCAATCAGCAGCTGCCACGGTGTGCTTGTAGCTTGGCCTTCAGATAGACAAAACAAGGGAAAGGTACTGGCTTCTGCACATTGATAGAATGATGAGTTTAACTTTAACAAAAGTTGCTTAAAAGTGTTATGAAATCTCACAAGTCCTACAACATCCAGAGACTGAAGATAGTCAGGACGGATCTCATCCACTCCCGGCGCTTTGCCACCATGGAGGCTGCCAACCACCTTGGTGACCTCTGCCAGGGAGATAGAAGTATCCACCCCAACATCCTCAGCCTCTGCCTCCGGGACGGAGGACGTGACAGGGGGATTGAGGAGAACCTCAAAGTTTTCCTTCCTCCGCCCGACAATATCCCCAGTCGAGGTCAGCAGCTCTCCACGCGAACTGTACACAGTGTTGGCAAAGAACTGCTTCCCCCTCCTGAGGCGCCGGACGGTTTGCCAGAATCTCTTCGAGGCTGACCGATAGTCATATCATTAATAAACTCACCTTACCTTTATTTTAATTTGACAAATAACCTGTATAATGGGCAACACGGCGGCATTGTGTTCATGGGAACATTGTAAGTTATAAATAAGAAAGTAACAGTAAGTTGTAACTGATTGTTTTTTAACTGGGATTTGAATTTTTTTTAAGAAGACTGTTCCAGATATTAGCTGCTTAATTCTGAAACGCTGCCTCCCCATAATTAGTCCCTGAATCTGGGCAGTGGAAAAAGGCCAGTCCCTGTGCTCCTCAGAATCTGAATTGGTTCGTATGGCATTTATGTGTCTTGGATATACTTGGTGCAAGAGCTTCAGACACTATAATTTTGATTCTTGCTGTTTTTTCAGATGGTAAAATGCTGAGTCTGACTCACAATTTCTTCTGCTACATTTTATATATGATCATGCCACACTGGGAAAAAGCCTCAATCTCTGAGTAGAGGATTCCCCCCACACTTTGTTACGCCTCCTTAACCCTCATTAACCCATTTGCCAAGACTAGACCAAAATGTTGTTCACTTTAACACTGACACTTTTTAAGCCAAAACCATAAGAGTATCAAAATGCTGGGGCTCTAAAATGTCTGTATATTTTTTTCAGAATCAAAATCAGTTTAGTAAATCAAGATATAACCAATAATAACTGACCGACTGAGGTACCTATCCTCAAATGTGGCTTTGACTTGCAAATAGCCAGCCTCACTCCTGATTTGCTCTTTGGTTGCTATGAAGTTGCTATACAGGAATTCGGATGTATATCCTAAATAAATAATAAATAGTAATCAGTTTTTTTTTTATGTACGCAAAATAAACTAGTATAAGGCATTAGTTACTATGGGAACACGAATTAATTCATAATTAATTGTACAATGCTAATCTGCCTTTTGGTCAGTAGATAAATATGTGTTTCAAGGTTCAAGTTTTCTTGCTGGCCTTTTGTTCTGTAGTTACATTTTACAATACATTCATGCATTCATTTTTACCCAGAATAAAAAAAAAAAACTAGACTTCAGCTCCAGCTGCGCTGATACTTGAATATTTACGGTCAATTGCTGATACGCTAGAAGAAGCACTGAAATGATGACTACATGATTTATTTTTCTTGTAGTTTACGTGAAGATGCTATATTCAGTTTGGATGAGATTGCAGGAGGACCTTGAAGCAGACATGGCTAACGTATATGAGATTGTCTCATTTGCTGCTAAATAACATGAGCAGTCACACGTGCATTCCTCCACATCGGCGAGTGTCCTGTAGTGTTTGGGGCGTGCTCCTACTGCTACTGCTTGTGTGTGTTCGTGTTTATATGTGTGTGTGCGTGTATATATGTGTGTGATGAGAGCATAAAGCGGACAGCCACGTGCCCGCGCGGTGCTGAACTTCCTTGTCCTGCAGAAGGGGGTGACGTTGCTGCCCGCAGAGAGGCCCGTACGGCGGGGCTAACGGAGGCGGGGTGAGGACGCTACTGCTGCGGCACACAGAGCACCGAGCGACCGGCAACTTACGAGTGGAGACGACAGCCATAATGCGGCACCGCCCGACTCTCTTATACTGATGTGAGGAAGTGCGCACGGCAGCAGCACCTCCTTTGGCGCAGACAGGCAGGTCAGTCTGTCTGTCTGGAGGGGGACATGTCCTTGCTAACCCCGGACGAGGACCGCAAATGGTTACCGACTCATGTGCAGGTGACGGTGCTCAAAGGCAGAGGACTACGGGGCAAGGGCAAGCATGGCACCAGTGATGTGTACACTATCATACAGCTGGGGAAGGAGAAATACTCGACCTGTGTGGTTGAGAAGACAACCGAGCCCGAGTGGAGGGAGGAGTGCACGTTTGAGGTTCAGCCGGATGCCCTGGAGAGAGGCAGCGAGCTGGTCCTCACCGTGATGCACCGGGCTCTGATCGGGCTGGATGTGTTCTTGGGACAGGCAGTGATTCCTCTGGATGAGGTGTTTACAGCGAGCAGAGGCGTGAAAAACCAGTAAGTGCCCCTGACAGTTGTGTGATGTGTGTCAAAAGTACTGTATACAACATGTATTTACTGATCCTGTAGTGGTTTGTCCCTATTAGATTCACTCTGTTCAGTTGTGCTGTAAGAAGTGAACACAGCTGTCAAATCTCTGGTGCTGCATCAAAGCCCTGCAGACACACCCTCTCTCCTTCCTCCCATAATATAGTGGACATCACACACCTCATGTGCAACAATGTATAACAATCCTTCTGGAAAACAAACTGCTTCCTCTAGAAACTTCTTCTGCCCCTCCACCGCCTGCACGAGTAGTAGTAGCTCCCTGCTGTGTTTGTTTTCCTAATAGCGAAGATGTGACGTAGTTGAGTGAGGATTACTGTCGTCCCAAATCCAGGGATTATCTAACAGTTTTATGATTGGAAAACTCCAGGGTGTTTAAAAAAAACAAAAACATGTTTTTCTCAATCTACAGATGAACTATCTTATTGGTTTTAAAGTGCAGCAAACTTTTTGACAGCAGGATGCTATCTTCTCCTTGAACTAAATTATTTTCCATTTCTGGGATAAAGTGACAACCATTATTGGGGACAATCTGTATCTGGTAGTGTTTATTCAAATAGCCTTGACTAGTGTCAAATTTGAGGTAAAGTATCCTATTAGAAGCTCTTAGATTACGTATCTATTTTATCTAACAATTTTACTACCAATAAAGTTGTTGTTTTTTTAGAAAAGTTAGTGTTTCAAAATGATTATTGAGATTGAGACATCAGCATTTGAAGGAGAATACAGTTGAAGCAACGCTGACACTACATTCATTATTTGGACTATGTGTAATAGGGCTGTTGCAAAATGTTAAAATATTTTTTTATATATATGTATCTTGATCTACAAATTTATACTTTTGCTCATTCAATTAACTGTTTAGAACACAGTTTTGAACATGCAGAAATGGCCTGAGGACATTCTTAGATGATTATTCCAGACAGTACTGTTTTATTATTATTAAGACAAGATGTTTACACATTTCTATGTAGTTACTGCTGTCCTTAATTCACATCTCGAAGCATATACATATGGCTTACTATGTATTCTACTATACTGTTAAAAAATAGTTGTCAATTGTTTTAGTTGTGATTAAACTATTATTTGTCAGTGACTGTTATGTAGGAATTTGCAACTTCAGATTTAACATCACATACCCATGCTCGGCTGGATGAACCTGCACAAACTGATCATGTGCTAGCCTGGTCGTACCACACCATAGTACAAATTACATTTCGTACTAAGGTCTGGAGGTGCTCCATTGAGCTCCGTTTACAGGTAGGAGGGGTTAACTCCTTTTGCAGATTGAAACGATTGGATCTGAGTTTACTGTGACGTAAATAATGCGCCTGAGTGAGTCGTTAGCATTTAGCCCATTTAGCCTAGCCATCTCCTTTGCCGCTAACGGAGCCGGTGGGGAGTAGCGCCACAATCTTTGCCAGCGATTACATTTGCTAAACATTCTTCTTGCTCCGGCTTCAATTTCTTGATAGAACCAGACCATAATACTTTACTATCGCATTCTTCACCAATGCCAAACTACAACCTGCCCGTTCGACGCAAACTCTTGACGTCACCCACATCTACACAACGTCCGCCTTCCGCGCTCTCTGATTGGTCGGTCGAATTTCAAGCGATTATAATCGCTAAGACAGGGACCAGACCAGGCTAATCATGTGCAGGTCTAGAAAATTTTTTAGAACAAAATGTAAAAAGGCAAACATGTAACATGTTTTTTGCCCTCCTTTTGTCTTAGAGATTGTGCTTAGCAAGTTGTTTTATGCCTATGGTCAGGCAATAGTTAGGGTAAGGGTTAGTTATACGTTTCTTTGTCCTCTTTGAACCAAGTGTGTTAGAGGAACTCTGACTTTGGCTGTGTCCAAAACGCTAGGCATCGGGCCGCGTAGGGTGGATATGTAGGCTCGTGACGTCACTTCCTCAAGCGACGGCTATTGCAGGGGTGTCCAAAACCACTTGGCGAGCTCGCCAAGCGTAGGCATCATGACTTCGTCTCTATGGAAACGGCCACTTTTGGAGCAGATATGAAGGATGCATCTGATGTATGCTTCGCTGCCTTCTTTTTGCCAAGTCACGGCCGCGCATGCGCAGAACTCCGTTTGGCATTAACATGTAAACAACAGCTCGGAGCTGCTGGAGCTAACATTATGGTAAGCACTTTACTGTGAAGTTATGTCTATAGTAAGCACTGCTATACTTTACTGTGAAGTTATGTCTATAGTAAGCACTGCTATACTTTACTGTGAAGTTATGTCTATAGTAAGTACTGCTATACTTTACTGTTGAGTTATGAACACGACTGTTATGATAAAACACAGACATAAATTAGATCTGCCACAGATGTGTATATTTAACCTTGTTATCTGCTGTGAATAAGCTCAGTCCCGAAAAGCTAATGCTACGAGGCTAGCTAGTTCATTCAGATTCGGTTTTTGAACAAGAAAAATCATGTTGTGTTTTATCTTTTAGGGAGAAACAAACCCACTGATTAAATATTAAAGCTACACTGAGGAAAGTCACGTTTTCATGGAAAATCACTCTGCAGCACAGCAGCTATAGTATGCTAACACATGTTTTCTGTATTCATATAAAATAGATTGTGCATATCGTTTTTAATCCCATACTGAGACTGGGAAAACTGTATATATTAGACATATGAAATTATAGAATAGGCCAAGAATAATTATAAAGCCCTTTTCATACAATAGTCTAATAAATAGTAAACACACATTATACAGAGGTTTCGTTTGTCATGAATAAGACATTTGCAGAAGACAAAGTCCCACTTCCACAAACACAGGTTTAAAGTGGTTAGCCATGCTCATAACTTGATTATTTGTGTATATTTCTATCATATCATTCTTCTGTTTCCCCTGCTGTGAAGCTTGTACCTCTAATATTAAATACTGTAAGGATTTCTGTATTTTATTTTTAACCAGTTTTTTGCAAAGCCCCAAATAAATAGTATTAGTTGAATATGAAGTGTAAAAAGAATCCTAAATGTGGGCTGTGTTTTAATGCATGATGTTTGTGTTCTTCTTTTTCAGAGACTTGTGGTGAAATTAAGGTCATAATTTCTCCAGCTTCACGTCCTGCTTCACCTCCATCACCTCCTGCTTCACCTCCATCACCTCCTGCTTCACTGCTGAAAACATTATGAACTACAACAAACTTGTATATAATATTTTCCTTTAATCAGCAGTCATGAATAGTTAGAACAGTGGGCTCTGCATCTCTGAAGACATGTAGCAGAAGGAGCAACAGGAGGAGCAACAGCAGCAGAAGGAGCAACAGGAGGAGTAACAACAGCAGCAGAAGGAGCAACAGGAGGAGTAACAGCAGCAGCAGAAGGAGCAACAGGAGGAGTAACAGCAGCAGCAGAAGGAGCAACAGGAGGAGTAACAGCAGCAGCAGAAGGAGCAACAGGAGGAGTAACAGCAGCAGCAGAAGGAGCAACAGGAGGAGTAACAGCAGCAGCAGAAGGAGCAACAGGAGGCGCAACAGGAGGCGCAACAGGAGGAGCAACAGCAGCAGGAGCAGCAGCAGCAGGAGCAGCAGCAGCAGGAGCAGCAGCAGAGTCCTGGGGGTCTGCCTCTGACACAGGTCTCATCGACAGCACTTCAGAGAACCTGGAAATAAAGAAAACTAAAATCAAACTTGTTGGTTTTATTATGATTTTGTTGTTTGTGTGAAATGTAAAGAGTCATCAAAGTGAGGTATTATTTACACAACTACCCATTTGTCAGCAGTACTTATACTTATAATTGAATACATTAAACTCAAATGTGATTAGTAACGGTCTGTTAGCTTTTCAAGAGACATAAAAGTGAATAAGAGCAGTGTCAAACATCTGTGTTCAACTCCATTTTACAGATGTCTGTTAATGTTTCCATGGATGTGTCAGTTATTATTATAGATCCATGGATGTGTCAGTTATTATTATAGATCTAATAATGTTGGATGGATGTTCCAGTTATTATTATTATTATAGATAAATTGATGTTCCAGTTATTATTATAGATAAATGGATGTGTCAGTTATTATTATAGATAAATTGATGTTTCTCTCTCATCAGCAAACACACGTTAATACATTTAGGTCTGATAAAATTACTTTTAAGTGATGCACAAACAAGGGCCATAGCAAATATATAATCCATATCTAATAATAATTTATTGCATATATGTGCATTGTTTACATAAAATATAACTTTGTAAAATCTAATGATTACTGCCAATACAATTGTTATAACAGAGAAAGTGTAACAACAAAAGCATCCTCTGTTTTTTCAGAATACGATTGTAAACATCCAGGGGGCTCTCATTACGTGAACCCGTGTTTAGACAGCCTGTTCTGGGCTTCAGCACTGCAGCTAACTGGGCTGTTAGCTTATAGCACCGGAGCTTCAGGCTGGAGGTAAAGTCCGAAAATTTTCGAATTTATCTCCAAACAGACCCCTGATATGACAATAGAGGGGGATATTTCTCGCCTCAAATGATATTAGAATTAACTTTTATGTCCTAATTAAAGCGTATTTAGAACTTTTTACCGTCCATCATGGCCGCCGTGTCCTTCCGCTTCGCTCTGAGTTGTGTAGTCACGTGACGAAGGCAGAAGGCAGCTGCTGTCCAAATCCACATCACGTCTCGCCTCCTACCTCGCCTGTGGCTACGCGGCCTTCCCTCTGTGCCTACGTATCCACCCTACGCGGCCCGATGCCTAGCGTTTTGGACACAGCCAATGTCACACTTGCACCTACCATATCTCCAAGCAGCTGGTGTTAGCAGCTAAAGAGAAGCTACTTGCCTTTGATCATAAACTACTATAACTTCTGAGCCCATGCACTGCCCTCACACAATTTTACATTACTGTTGAAGTGATTTCTCTTTATTTTGAGGGCAGATGGTTGCATGTCAGAGGACTTAATTCTCGGCCGTAGGTTAGAAACTTCAAGCATGGGCGTTGCAAACCAAATGCATCTTTTTAAAGCCTGGCTTTGTGATGTAACTGTGTGGAAATATAAACTGATTTGAGATGCAGATTTCAGTATTCTTTTTAGTGTTGTTCTGAACAAAAATGGCTCCTCTGTGACTTAGGAAATGAATACGGAACAAGATAAAACATGTTGGATTTAGCTGTTGCTGTGATAATTCCTTCACTTGGCATCTGATTGTGTTGTCTTTGGGTAACCAATACTTTATGTATTTTTTTAAAGTATACTATTTATACATGGATGAACTATCAATTTTCTTCAGCATATTTAGTATAAACTGACTTCCCTCTCCACACACACTTCCTCTCCTATTTCTCTAAGAAAAACTAAGATAGACTTTATTGATCTCACACTGGAGAAATTTACATGTCAACTATGATGTCACACTTGACATCTTGTCAACTACGGATTGACTTAAGAATAACATGCTTATTATCACATGTGTTTATGTGATAAAATGGGAGGGTTGTCCACCTGTGCAGTACATAGGTCACTGTTTACCACAATGCTTAGGGCGATATAGCTGTTGTTGAATGCCCAGCATAGTTTTGAGACATGGTGCACCTGTAAACCTGAGCCGACAGGACTCTCTCGTAGATGTGGTTGGAGCTGGTCACTTGAAGGTGAGGCCTGTGCTTGTACAGAGCATGTGTCAGCAGTTCAGTGTCTTAGTACATTTTGTATCTCCATGTGGCATTCGGTGAATCTGGGTCGGTCAGGAGCAGCATCACATTAGACTAAGAATGGACTGGACTAAAAGGTAAACCAACAATTCACAGTCTGTCATTGAAGCGAGTATGCAAAACGGTGTGCTTATTGTTTAGAGAAATTTATATTTTTAATACGTTTTAATTGTTATGGGGTAGGGTTGGTGAAAAAGTCAAACCCAGTTTGAAGTTTGTGTGCATTATCATTTAGAGTTGTCAGTCGTCGGTTGTTTTGTCATTAATGGATAGTGACTAATTTATTATTCTTTTGAAATAGTCAACCGATCCTAAATATTTTATTTAAATTACAGAAATTCCTGTGGGTGAGGGTTACACAACACAACAACTAGAAAGTATGTAACAGGTAAACTGAGAGCTGTATCTGAAGCTTTGAATGGCCAGTTAGGGTCAAATACATATATCTGTCATCTCTCAACTAAAAATTTGACATTGTCTTTTTGTTTTAAAACTAATTTATTGCTACTGTCATTAATTTAGGTCAACTGTTAATGTTAACTAATTTTAAATGTTGCTATTTGGCACAAGGGGACAATTAGTATTGCACATAGAGTAACGTGTTAGTGTTAGTACTGTTGTTCTGCTTGCATGAGTTGTGTATTTAGCGCGGGTGGACCTGTCTGACATGGGAGGTGCAGCGATGCATCTACATTAGCCGCAACGATAGTGTCGGATTTCTGTTAAGGTGGGCGTTTGGTGCTTTCCCTTTTGAATTTCCAGTTCAATGGAGCAGCCATTTCACAAGTAATGGTCATAACTATAGTCTTTACCTCAAGAGTTTACCACATGGCAAATTAGTGCATTTGAGGGAGAGTAGATTAAAAAATACTAGATAAATGCTCAGCAATTGCACTTGACTTGCCAGTTGTCAGTGGCACAAATCTACACTAGCATCTTCTGATGTGTCACGTTGTGGCCAACATGTTTAACTGGCAGTGAATGTTCTTGTGATCAATTGAACAAAGGACAGACAACAGATTATGGGTTAGGGTATACATCTGTGCCATTTTATGTTGAATATCAAATGTCTGAATGAATAATTCTGCATTTCTTTGTATCAATACTTCTGAATTGTATTATTTTGCTGTGTCACTATTATGTGTCCTGGTGTACTGGCAGCATGCCCTATCCAGACATATCCTCCACTCTTCATTAAAGTTACATAACAGTTGCAGCACATCCAGGATCAGCCGAACCAGTCAAAGCCTCTTTCCATAAATGCAACAGATTACCACATTAGATTCAACAAATGTATCTGCAGTTGCTGTTTATACAGCTGCATCATCTCGTCTCAAAGGCATCTCTTATGTTACAGTATCAGCTGTGGAAGGTAGGTGTTTTTGCTGTAAAATACTATGTCAATGGAAAGGAACTTTTTGTCAACGGAGAACTGTTCCTTTTCAAAGACTGGTTTTGTTTAGTTTTGTCGTTGTTTGTTTTAGATCAACACTTATCTTCCGAATCATGACTAAGATGAGAGATCCTGTTTTGCTTGTGGCTAACCTGCTGTGGAGGATGTGGGGTTTACGCTCACAATGCCCGGTTGTGTGAAAGTATTTTATGGGAAGTCGGTGATGAGGCTCGAGCGCATAGCGTCCAGATGTGGAATGTGGTTATGGTCTTGTGGTCTGTCTACTACTTATGTCAAAGAAGAATTTGGACCACAGCCCTTGTTCCCTCACTGTCCCTCCAGGCTGGAGACGCAACTGGTCAAGTCCAGTTGAATGCTTCTGTGTATAGACACGGGTTTTTTTTTTACCACCATTTAAAGCTCAGTGACCTGATTTTTAAACTGTGAGAAGTGGATGTAGATGTTTAAATCGATCTCGTTCCTGTCACATCATTAGTACTCACATTCACATCACTCCTTGCAAGTATGCTATATAATTAACTATATAATTAATATCAACTGTTTTGCAAGACAATTTGCAGCAAGCTAATTGTCTCACAATTCATTTTTACGAGTGCTGTAATTAACGATTATTTATTTGGCTGATAATTTCTTTAAAGTCAGTCAATATGGGATTTTTTTTAATGCCTTTGACTAAAAAAGGTGATGACCCTGGAGAACAGTAGTTCTACTACAAATACTTTTGTGTTCCTACACACATTTTAATTTTGCAGTCAATACTTGAGTCATTAAACAACAGCTCTTTCAAAAGCCCGAACACTTACATGGCAATAATATATCATATTTTGTCACCTAAGCCCAAAACTTCATATTTTGGCATCTCTTCAACTTTTTGCCACAATTTGTCCTTTTTCAATTCAATATTAGACAATGATATATTTATCCGTAACTGCCATTTGCCTATACGTTTTCACCGTGAGTGGCAGTGCCGCCTTGTAAGATAATCTTTCTCTGGAGGGGGGACTCTACCCCATTGATACATAATGTGAGAACCCTGTCGTTGACCCTTGTACTCATTTGTTTTGGAGCGGCACAGTCTATCGCTCTTTGAACCAGAAATAATTTTTACATCGAGCCACAATAGCTTTTTAAATTGACCTCACACCTGACGTCACCAAGTTCAGATGGGTGCTTATCACCTTTAATTTTCCTTGTTGATAACTTGTAAAGAGCACTTGAAATTGTATATTTCTATATATTTAAATTAGTTTGGTAAGTATTTCTAATTAACAAATATTCTGGAAAATACAGATTGGTTGGATGAGGGCAAACTAGGAATAGATTTCAGACTCTTGTTTTCCCCTGTCTTGTTGTTTATCACAATAGAGACAATAGAAGTGACACCTCTGCTAATTTTATAATGTGTAAATGTTTTGCCATTGGGCATCAGATGAGGAATAACTGTAATAATAAACATGACATAAACACTTGTGCATTAAACGTACATTCCTCACACGGTTTGCCTGTGGCCAGTTTTATGTGCGAGTTTCTTTTGTCCAGTTCAGATTCCACCCAGACAGCTCCTTGGAGATGGAGCAAAGCTGGGGAAAACAGGTTGATTGCTTACTTGTAATTTCAGCTCTCCACTGCCTTGAAGGCTGGTTGGTCTGCATGTGACAGAGACCCTAAGCCACAATGCGATGGCCATCTTAGCTGCAAAAGTTGGTGGTGCCATGAGGGGACTGGGTGTGGAGTGTTGAGAGTTCCTGTTTTTGAGAGATTAGGAAGCGGATAGAGGAGATGAGGAATCTTGTTTGTGATATTTATGTAGACTGTGTATTCCATGAAAGGTTGTCATAGGAGCTGATGTCTCTCTTATGTAAGAGATGATGAATCACAATGTTTAAGATGATTTCCACTATCTTGTCTTGTTATACAGTAAACAAAGTGCTGTAGTTAGACAGATGGGATAAATTAACATTTAGGGATTTAGTGATGTTATTTTAAAACATTTCACAAGCTAATGATTAGATTTAGCCATCATTTATCTACATTCTATCCAGCTTATTTAATTAAATTGTCATATTGTGGCCTGAATCATTCCAAGTGTGAGCCCTATGTGTTTCAATTAAATGTATCAGAATAATCGCTCATTCAGTGCCAGATAAAATGGCATAACGGACTGTTATTTCTCTACTCCAGGACTTGGGCTCAGATGTAGGCTGCTGATGCCCCGCTTCTGCAGTTTTGTAGTTTCCTACTTTATTTAAACTCTGCATTTGTGACAGAAAAAGGCCATCAAAAAGGGTTCACTCTTTAGGCATAAACTAACTCCAATCTTTGATACATTAATCTCTGGGTAGTATGTTTTATTTCAATATTTTACTGGTGTAGTTCAGCATTGATAGCTCTGTATGTCTGAGGAATGTGCTCCGCGCCTTGGCCGCAGGGTGTAGGCCGGTGTCAGGGGGCTATTGTTGGACTGTCTGTGTGTAACCTTAATCCACCCCTACTGTCCTGCTCAGATTTTGTATTTAGTTTGGAAGACATTTACACACAAAAGGCAGCAACAAAGGAAAGGATTGCATTTTATTTTCTTTAATAGATTTCAGTCGGAGATTTCAGTGTTGCTGAAGCTGAATGTATTAGACTGTGGTCAGAGAAGGGATAGTCCTATTGCATAACTGTGCAGCATAATCCACTCCAGTGTTGAGGTGGGTGAGTTTGAGCTTGGTGTTGTGTTAACATTGGCCATTGTAATAAGTGTTCTTTTCCATTCAGTTTATAGAGGCTGGAATGTTTATTCGTCAGTCCTTAGACCCCAACAATGTATAGGCCTATTTCTTGCACTTGATAAGATCAAATGAATAAATGAATACATATTTACTTTGCTTTGTATTTGATGTACGCACACAAGTTTAGTGTTCCCTTAAAGTGACAGGCAGCCGGGTCTTATTTCACTTTTTTATCTTTTACCAGAGAGAAGAAATTGCGTTAAATTGTATCTGTTTATGTGTCCTGTAGTTTTCACTGCATCTGAAAAACATTCAACTCCTACAAACAGTGTGTGGTTGAGGTGAAATGGCCCAGTTTCAGAGGAAATGCAACGACAAAGATGTATCTATCTTTACCCTGAGCTACACTTGTTAGCGGGGGCTTTTCTCTCATTTATTTTAAACAGATGAGACTTTCCCATGAGTCATGTGGGGCAGGCACAGGCTGTGCCTGTTCCTATTTGGGTCACCAAATTTTATTTCCTTTTGGACAGTTGTGGCTTTATATATACGTTTATTGTTAAGTTATTGCGAGTTCTCGCTCAGAATGAATTATACCCCTGCCTTATGACATAGGCCCATTCTTTTCATTTTTGATTATTTTGCAAATGTTACCCCAGAAACCGGGTGCCTGGACCTTCTAGGTTTTATTTTTTTCCATACGCCAATCCTTTAAAAAAAAATTTTTATTACTTCCCGGTCGTTGGCTCACGCTAGGGATATTACCAAACAACCATGAAATAGACTGAGCTAAAACTGCTCCAATGTGCTCAGAAGTTATTTCTGATAGCGTGATGCTATCGGTTCTCAAACGCCGATCGGCCTGGAAATGTCACCATAATTACATATTTTTCTTCAGAAACTGACTGGTGTATTACTACACACATGGACATTAATCAACACTTATGAACATTGGTCATCTGCCTCTTACGGACCAATACCAACGTGTTTTTTTTCTTGTGTTTGAACTGTTTGATTCTCTGATCTGATTTGGCAATTTCAACAGTTGTGTAAAGTCCTTCAGTCATTCATTTTCTTCCCCTTTATTAATCCATTTCTGGGTCGGGGTAGGTGGCAATGGGAGCTTCAACCCAATGCTCATAGCACCAGCCCCTCGCTGATCCTCAGGGAGGTGATGGGTCCACAGGAAGATGGCTGTTGCTCTTCGAAGTTATAGCCTTGGTGTTTTAGTGGAGGCTTCGGGCAAAGTGCGGTTAAGTGTCTTGCCCAGGGACACGACTACAACAGATATCAGTAGGGAGCAGTTGGAGTAGGTCACAAACTTACGGCCTTCAGGCCCAAAGGCCAATGCTCTGCCAACTGAGCCACTGTCGGGCCCCGGCGGTGTGTCATCAGAGATGACTACCTTTGTGATTAAGGGCTATAAAAGAATACATTGAATTGAATCAAAAAAATTGATTTATATTTTCAGGGTTCATTCCTCCAAATTAAATTGAATTGTTAAAATAATAACCTGGCATACAGATTTGTTTACATTTATTCATCTTATATGTATGTGATTCATTACTAAAATATGTATCCTCTTGTACATTAACTGACCAAATGTTTTTGTATGTCTGGCAGGTGGTACAGACTGAACTCAAAGACTGGTAAGAAGGAGAAGGAGCGAGGAGAAATTCAAGTCACCGTGCAGTTCACCAGAAACAATCTAACAGCCAGTATGTATGACCTGGTCATGAAGGACAAAGGCGTCTCCACCTTTTTTAAGCTAAAAGAGCGCATTAAGGGCAAGAGGCGATCCAGTGAAGAAGACTCGTCATCGGCCATATTACCTGGTGGATACGGCTCGTTGGTGCGTATGCGTCAGAGGTTGCCTAGTGATGGCGGTGGAGAAGAGTACTATGAGGATGATGAGGGAGGAGAGGTCCGCAGGAGTAAGATGAGAACCTTCTTTTTGAGAGGGAAGCTGCGTAAATCCTCAGATACTCGCTCTAGCACGTCCCTTGGCTCGGAAAGCAGCGAGTCCTCGTCGAGAGGGGGAAGCCTCAGCCCCACCGCCGGCATCAGTGTGGTGGTGTCTGACCTGTCCAACTCTCCCAGCAACAGCAGCAACCTGACCGCAGACAACAGCCCAGGTACACTGCACTATTTCCGTCAAATACTGTGTGTGGGTGTGTTGCTTGTGTACTGAATTGAGCCCTAAAGTACGTTGACTTTCTCTCTTTCTCCAGAGCACACGGCTAACACGTCGCCAAAGTTGACCTCTCCCAAATGTGAATTTGAGGATGAGGCTGGTGAGATCACCATCGCAGTGCCTCAGCCCGAAGTGTGCGTTAATGGAAGCCATTCTCTCAGCGTCCAGCCGCTGGACTCAGGAAAAGCAGCACTGCTCGGCCTGGGACTGTTGAAGCCTTTGCCCCTGTCCATGTCCCTCCAGAACCTCAGCCCACAGGACAAAGACCTGCCTCCTTGCATCCTGGCAGAAGGGCGCCGATGGTCCTTCGATAAACCTGATGCAGAAGAGAAGGCTGCGATAGCAGCTGCGCTGGAGCAGAGTGGGCCCATGCAGGCAGATCCAGAGGAGGATGGTTTAGACCCAGCTTCCTCCTGCACTGTGGAGGCAAATGGCCACATCCAGAGGAGGAAAGAGGACTCTGAACTGGCCTCAACAGAGGACCGGCACAAAGGCTGGTTTGGATCAAAGGACTTGCACAACAAACCCAGGTGAGATTCACACAGATTGTAATTTCAGAAATTATTATTATTTGTTAAAGACCTATGTGTACGGTTTCATCTTTTAACTCTTCACTTGTTTATTTCACTGGTGCGTCAATTGTGTCACTCAAACACTTGGGCTAGATTACAATAATAAATCTTAAGCTTCTATGGCAGCTCAGTCAATGTACCAGTAAAGCACAGAGTTGTAATTCCTATAATCTGCTTCAGGGATGTATTGGCTTCATGAGCACCTTGTGAATGAGGCCAGGTCAGCTTCTCTGGACTATTGTACACTCTATACCTTTGGCCTGCTCTTTGTACATACAACCTGAGATTCTTGAGGACAATGCCAAGTTGGCACAGGTAATGCCAAGTAATCAGTCAAACCAGCTGTAGCGAGAGTAGAAAACAAGAGCCAGATGGTATGCTTTTTAAATTCTGTCGGCTTTGTAATTCAGTAAAACAAGTAGACTGGTTAAGTCAAATCATTGGGAATTATTCAGAATTGACTGATTTCTTGTTTATAATCTGTTGGTATATTTTTCCAGTGTAATTCATTGAGATGTGCAATAATGATTTTAGCGTTTCTCCTAAATCCACCCAAGTTTGTGATGGTCACTAATCTGAAGGACTGCTTCCTTTCACAGTCACAGCCCGGTGATGTCACTCACAGACTCCCACTCACCCACTCACTCCTGGGGCAGCTCTGTAGACTCCCCTGGGCACCTCACTAACCCCTTCAGCCCCTCACCCCCACTCTTGTCCCGCTCTAACCCGTTCTTCACCACTCTGCACAACCCTTTCTTTAAAGACATGTCTTGCACTCAGCCCCTGAATCCTTCACCACCTCCTCTGCCGTTTCTTTCTAGTGCTCGTCCTCCAATAACCACGCTCTTCCCGGAGGTCAACATGCAGTTCAGCAACTTGTCAAGGAAAACATTGGTCGAAAAAGAAGAACAAACTGAACTAAACAAGATGCCCAAACCTTCCCCATCAGAACAAGGAATGGACTCGGAACTTGACCATTCGTTTGATGAGTTTGCAGCCGGCAGACTTCAGTCTCCAGATGATATAACTCCTGATTCCAAAACACTACAAAACACATCTTGCAGTGATCCTCCATTAGACTGTGATAATGTAGGAAATAAAGAAACAAAATCTCTCATGACTCACATTGAGCAAACCACTTGTAATTTCCAAAATGCCAAATTTGCATGTTTTGACGTGGACGCACATCACTTTTTCACTAAACTTCTGGACACTATACCAGAAAACAATCTTGAATATGAAAGTAAACCTGTTTTTGAGACTCCGCAAGTGAATTTTGATGCGAATATTGACATTTCTGGTGAAAAGTTCAACTGCAATTCCCCTGACCCTTCATCGTCAGGCCTCGGCAGCTCGGCAGAGGATGATGGCCTCTCATGCTTCTCATCCTGTTCTGCATCGGACAAGCTCTCGTCTTCAGAGGAAACAGAGGTGCACAATTTTGAGAGTAGCTTTGAAAAGAACCCTGGCATTAAAAATGTAAAGACGTCAGAGTCCGAAGAGGAGTTCACAGACAAGTCAGAGGATATGTCTTTAGACCAACAAACGGTCTTTGAACTTGAGGTCTGTAGCAAAGGGGTAGATGCAAGTAGCACAAAACTGGACCACACTAATCCCGAGCCAAAGCCAGATGTAGGTGCTTCTACCGCTGAAAGTGAATGTTCTACAATCCTCCCTCCTGTTTTCATCACTACCTCCTCCCCTGGGCTCTCCGACTCGCTCTCCCGTTGTCCCTTTGAGAGCACAAATGTGGCAGGTCAGGATCAGCTTTCCCCTTTCCCCGTGGCACTTTTCACTGATTTGTCAAACACAAGCAGCATAAATCCAAGCCCTGACGCCTCCCTATTGCACGCAAACACATCAGACAGGACGAGCTTTGCACCGAGCTGGTATGAGAGCGTCGATTCCCAGGAATACAAAACGTGTCTGACGCATCCAACTTCAAGAAACTTTGAGAAATCTGTAAACTCAACACTTTTCACAGAGGAAAATTGTATTCAAATGGCAAATTATACAGCAACAGGTCTGGACAATGCTTTTCCAACTGCTGCACAAGATGGAAGAGTATTTGGGGATTTGAAAATGGAATCTTTTGAGACGAATTTTACAGAGATGAGCGGCTTCGCTTTACAAAGTCCCAAAGAGGTTGGGGCTGACATCTTTAGTGAGGATATAAATGGATTATTCTTTGTGAAGCAAATCAACATTCAAGAGGGTCCGAACACAAATACAGAGGATTTCTTGAAACTTGAATGTTCAAGTGAGAAAATGATTGGACAAAAGGGAGGATTTGAATCTGATTTTAATGCATTTGAAACCAGTTTTACCCAACCTGTTGAATATACTATGCATGTATTTAAACGAGAAGTTCCTTGGGATTCTAGATTTTCAAACAATAATAAAGGGTTAATTAGTGAAACGACAAACGGGGAATACTTTGAGTCAAGTGTAACTGCAGTTGATGACTCTATTTTACAAAGTGTCCCTTCACCTAAACAAAACCTGATTGTTGAAGACGTATTTTCTAAAGATCCCAACGGAGGCTATTTTGATAATTGGGTGGGTGCCAAAATCGAGTCGGATTACACGGCTGGAACCTTCAACTTGCAGACTACAAAAGAGGAAGTGCTCAATGATATAAGTCGAAATTTATTCGATAGCGATGTTATATTTGAGTCGAACATCACGGCTCCCGACGACTTCACTACTCAAAGTTACAAACCAGAAGCCAACATGGCACATACAACGGCTCCAGTATTTGACAACAGAGACATTTTTGAGGCTGGTTTTACTGCAGTGGATACTTTCAGTTTGCAAAGTAACGCTCCTCATGAGCGTGTCAAGGCGGAGCATGGCACTCTGCAGCGCTCCCTGTCAGAAGGCGAGCTGAAGCCGGCCTTGGACGAGCTTCATCCACCAGCATTTGGAAGCGATCCTGAACTGGCCTCCTCCAAACCTCAGCCAGCCCTGCTCCTCTTCTCTCCTCTCACTCCTTCTCTAACTCCTCAGTGCAGTAGCTCCCCTATAGCGCTCTGTCCCCCTCCTCCTGTCGCCGACACCGCTACATGGGAATCACCCGCTCAGCAGCAGCAGCAGACAGCCAATCAGCTCGTCAGGTGAGGCCGCACATGCTCTGAAGCGCTTTGGGGGGCACCTTATCCCCACCACTTCCAGATTTCTCTATCCTGCTCTCTGTTCTGCTTGACTTGATTGCCGCCTGCTCTCGTGGGGTCTCTCTCTTTGATCTCATGTACAGGTGCTAACAGGACGGCGCCGCAGGTGTCTTGTATGTCCTGCCTCTGTGGAAACGAGAGGGAAAGCTGAGCCTCGAGCCAATTAGCAGTTATTATTTTGTCCTGAATCTTGCCACATGCCCCCCCCACTACACCCATGCAAACACACACACACACACACACACACACATATATTGAGTCTTGAGCTCCACTCTCCCTCCCCCCAGTCAGCTTTCTCACGCTGCCTCTGTCATTTACGGAGTTCTCAACCCGAATCGAGGCCATGTACAGTGGGAACAAAAGGTGTTGTTGTGTTGCCAATAGCATTTCCTTTTCACCTAGGGGTAATAACACGTTTAACATGTTTGATTGCACAAAAGCATGCAATTAAGACTTTCTATTTTGTGCTAATTTAATTTTCATTTTCACCATTGTTTCCATTAATGAGGAATCTTACACCTGTCAACCTCTCCTTCCAGTTTCTAAAATTATCTTTCTGGGGACTTTCAAAGGTTAATTCATGCTATACACGAGATATCTGGTGTCACACTGGAGGATTCGTAGTACATGTGCATTGGCATAAGAAGTATTTCTTGTTGTTATGAAGGCTATGGCATTCATATTTTAATAATATGATAGCATTATATTTAGCTGTGGAGGATTTTTGTTGACAAATATTGTCACAATATAAAAATATTAGTTAAAGACCAGACATCTGAACTATACCTATTCATCAAATCATTCCAACCTTCTACATAGGCGAGGTATGTTAGACCTCCTGTGTGGCAGCCAGACTCTTCCTTTATTTTAAATCCGTTTTCTGGTCGTTAACTCTTTCCCTGTGTATCTTTACGTTTAGTCCTCATCCAGTGAAGCCCCTGACCACTGCCGCAGAAGACAAGAAAAATGAGGGCCGATCAATGTTGGAGAAGCTAAAGTTCACACGAAACACCGGGAAGAGCAGCCCATCCACGGATGACAGCGATAAGAAGAAGGTACAGTATAATCACAGTGAATTGTTTTTAATTTATTTTTGCCAATTGGATCAGAAATAAGCCCTAATTTAAGCCACATCCGTCAAAAATGCCTTTAACTATAATGGATTCATATTATGTAATTGAAATGTATTTCACTTCATATTGAATGTTGGAATGTAGATGCCAAAGTGAACTTATGCCGCTTTTCCATAGTCACGGTTCGGCACGGCGCGGCAGAGTGGTGGGTGCTTTTTGATTAAAAATTTATTTTTAATAAATCTGTTGCTTGGGGTATGTCTCTATCAGTTTTGCACATCGAGAGACTGGAATTCTTGCCCATTCTTCCTTGCAAAACAGCTCGAGCTCAGTGAGGTTGGATGGAGAGCATTTGTGAACAGCAGTCTTCAGCTCTTTCCACAGATTCTCGATTGGATTCAGGTCTGGACTTTGACTTGGCCATTCTAACACCTCGATACGTCTATTTGTGAACCATTCCATTGTAGATTTGGCTTTATGTTTTGGATCATTGTCCTGTTGGAAGATAAATCTCCGTCCCAGCCTCAGGTCTTTTGCAGACTCCAACAGGTTTTCTTCCAGAATGGTCCTGTATTTGGCTCCATCCATCTTCCCATCAATTTTAGCCATCTTCCCTGTCCCTGCTGAAGAAAAGCAGCCCCAAACCATGATGCTGCCACCACCATGTTTGACAGTGGGGATGGTGTGTTCAGGGTGATGAGCTGTGTTGCTTTTACGCCAAACATATCGTTTTGCATTGTGGCCAACAAGTTTGATTTTGGTTTCATCTGACCAGAGCACCTTCTTCCACATGTTTGGTGTGTCTCCCAGGTGGCTTGTGGCCAACTTTAAACCAGACTTTTTGTGGATATCTTTGAGAAATGGCTTTCTTCTTGCCACTCTTCCATAAAGGCCAAATTTATGCAGTGCACGACTGATTGTTGTCCTATGGACAGACTCTCTCTTCATGGTTCTCTCTGCGCTTTAAACAGAACCCTGAGACTATCAAAGAGCAGGTGCATTTATACGGAGACTTGATTACACACAGGTGCATTCTATTTATCATCATCAGTCATTTAGGACAACATTGGATCATTCAAAGATCCTCACTGAACTTCTGGACTGAGTTTGCTGCACTGAAAGTAAAGGGGCCGAATAATATTGCACGCCCCACTTTTCAGTTTTTTATTTGTTAAAAAAGTTTAAATTATCCAATAAATTTCGTTCCACTTCACGATTGTGTCCCACTTGTTGTTGATTCATGACAATTTTTTTTTTTTTATATCTTTATGTTTGAAGCCTGAAATGTGGCGAAATGTTGAAAGGTTCAAGGGGGGCGAATACACTTGACAGCTTAAAGCTGCACTAACTGACTTTATTTTTGTATTCATTACGAAAATGCTATCCATGTCCATGCAGTGCATTGGGATATACGTCCTTTTGAAGAAAAAGTAGCGCAGGTTTGTGCTGGCATGACATTATATTTTAGATCGAGTTTTGATGAAAGGAAGAGAATGTGTTTCGGGTCTCTGATTGTGACCAATCACAGCGGACCACTGGCCCCCACTTTCGTGAGAAATCTACAGGTCCCTGTTAGCACAGACGGCTGAGTTAGCACAACAAGCAGCGGAGCTAACCTGAAGCTCCGTGTGTCTTTGTCACCGGTTACTGCTTACACAGTGAGACAACCATCTAAAAGAAAGTCTCATTCCTCCGCGCTTCCCGGTTCTATCGTTCTATGGTCACGCCATCCACGTGAAAATCTATATCCATGTATTATCCATATTGGGAGACGCTAGCTCCGTCAATAACAGTGGGTGTGTGTGGGTGGCGATAGCTTCGTGGGTGCGGGGAGGGGAGCAGAGAGAGCGAGGCCAGCGAGTCCGCGGCTTCACTTCACTAGTCAGTTAGTGCAGCTTTAAGTACAAGCACAAAACAGAATGGCAAAACATGAAAGAGCCAAATACAGCACACTAGAAACGTTTTAGCTTAGCTTGCTATCGATTGCTAAATGTCGCTAGCCCACTGTGTACAACGGACAATCAAACTTTTAAAACAGTGAGAGCTTTGGGCCATCCTGGATTACCACAGACTACTCACAAATCGAGAGCTGGGTGATCTCCCTGAAAACCTTCTCGTTCCTCGTTTTGCGGTCGAGCTGCCTTTGAATTCTTTCTTTGGCCTAAAGAGAGTAACGTGTGGACCTCATTGACCGACCAGGACGCTGACTTTTTGGGCTTTCTGTGCGATTCCATTTCTCTGGAGTAAGGAGTACGTTATTATAATAGATCCATGGGAGGACGTATAGAAGCAGAGCAGCCGGTTTTAAAATTTGAGGGGTTGAGTTGTTTTTACCATAGGGTCGGACGACGCTTCCAGTGACGACACTCGTTGACCAGTTGTAAGGCAGTTGGCTGACGTCACGTTATGGTATTGCTTCAGCACGGTTGGAACCACAGTCGAGGTGGTACGAAAAAAATACCCTGATCCCAAGCCCAACCCTAGTGGAAATGCAAAATAACCGCGCCCGCCCCTACCGCACCGTTACTGTGGAAAATGCTACGGTCACAAGCACAACCTACGGCCTAGGCCCAGATCGCAATTAGCCCCGGGCTTTAGGTGCCGTGTAACTGCGGCAAGTGGGCTTGGGCAAGGTTGCTGCAACCGTGCCCATGAAGAGGTAGGCCTAAGCACGGTTGTAGAGCCCAGATGAAGGGGGTTGATGTGGTGAGATGTGGGATGAGGTGTGGTGGGGATGTGATATTGGGCGTTGTATTAAACACACCAACATACTTCTGGTTCCCGATCGCTCTGCTCATATGCCACACTTTTCAGTATTCCATTTTCATTCATCAATTTTTCAGGCTAAAGCCGTTTACTTTAAGGCACGCTCCTGCATACCGACACAAACGCGCACACACACACACACACAAAGCTGCTGCTCATTTGAGAAAGACACATCTCTACACTTGTACACGTTGTATCTCACAGATTGCAAAGAACGCAGTCCATGCTGGAGTTTCTTGGCCACAGTAGCCGAGTGTAAAGGCAAGAGAAACAAAAACTTAACTCGGATCCTGAGGTAGTCGGTAGTATTAACGCCACCAGCTGGACCAAGCATTGTACTATTGCGCATTTGGGCTGGCAAGGTTCAAAAAATAAACCATTCTGACCGTGGGCTGTCTTCACATCCCTGTGGCGACGATCCGGGCCACTTGGCCTAGTTTGTTTGTGAAAACCTGTATGACCTGTTCAAATAGAACAAATAGAATTTTCTTTACAATTAGCTTTAGCCTGAACCCGAAAGTGCAGTCTGCATGTTTTCTGAGCTTTTAATAGATGATGGAATCTGGAGGTGATATGCAACTAAAGTACATTTTAAGTGTTCTCCATATTCATCCATCCGCTCTCTCACTTCTCTGCCTCTGTTTAAAAATGCTCTGGTCCAACACCTCCAGAACCCATGCCATTGTTATTGAGCATACAAGGTTTTTGCACTACTATAGATACTAGCTTAAATCCCTGTTAATGTATAACAGACATTATACTAACAACAATCAGAATGTGTGTGTGTCCTTTGTCTTTTGTGTCTGTATCTTTTTTTTTTTTTTTTAAATGTTATAGTGTTTGCTCTACTGTCTGCTTATGATAATTATGAGGACCCCCTCGAAACCGAGATGTTTCATCTCTAGGGGCTTATCCTCCAAACAAATAAATAAATAAATACTTAGATTTGATTGCGTAGAACAAATGTTTTAGTGTTAAAATAATATCTGGAAGCTTCTGCATGACATGTTTGTGTGTTCTTTGTCTCGTCAGGCTCTGACAGAGGGAGCGGGCTCCTACTACCACCTGACGCACAGTGAACTGGTGGCTCTGCTTGTGCAGCGGGAGGCGGAGCACCACACACAGAAGGCGGAGTTTGAGCGACAGAAAATCCTTTTAGCCAAACGAGAGACAGAGCTGAAGAGGCTGAAACCGCAGGTCAGAGATTTAGAGGACTACATTGACACTCTGTTGGTGAGAATTATGGAGCAGAAACCCACTCTCCTGCAAGTGGGCTCCAAAAACAAGTGACTGCAGTGATGGCTTTTTTCTCTATTAAACAACAGCTTTTTTGTCGTTCCACTGTTGTCCTTTTTGATACAGTTACACAGGCACTGAGAGATTTCCAGACTGCATGCTCCTCTGAACAAAACCACATAGTTGAGCGGTTCGATGTGTGCAGAACGTAGCGGGTCCTCAGGTTGTATTCAGGTTGGTTTTGAGCGCTCACAGAGGCGCTTCAAAACCCAGATGCTTTCATTTAGGAAAATTTGATTGTAGAAATGATCTGGTCACCTGCACTTTGATCACAGAATGTAGGGAAGTTTCAATCCAAAACACCCTGGCTATATGACACGGTTACTTCTCTTTAGTCATGTGCCAGCGACAATCAGCTAGTTGTTTTTTTTATTATAAAGCTTTTAATAAATTTTTGTGAGTTTTATTTATTTTTTACACACTTTTTCTTGTTTTATCTAAACTCTTAAAGTATAACTCAAACAATATTTGTTACAAATTAGAGAGGCTTCAGATCTGTTCTTTTCTGAAAACCTGCCTAATAGTGCCATATGTCACTCGCGTTTATTACATTCTGAGCTTGGACTCAGCTTGGACTCTGAGCATTGAGAATTTCTGTTAACTTGTTTCTGAACCTTATGTTTTGAAATTAAGACTCAGTTTATTGAATTCAATTTGATGTTTTTTTTTTAAAGGATTAACCTTGATCTTTATTTAGTGGCAGAAGCACTTTGCTATTGCTTTTGTTTTGTTTTTGATCCTATATTTTTCAGTCGTGAGTACCAAACGAATCCATGCATTCATTTTCATTTTGAGTTCAGTTTTAAGTTGAGATGCGGGCACCTGTTTGTCCATCATATAAACTGGATGTTTTGGACTGACATTCAACAATCATCTTCAAATCAATACCAAGTGCTTTTACTCGTTTTTGATGGATGAACAAAACTAACACTTTGTTCAATCCACCGCACACTGGGACCGGGTTGTAGCACCTTCAAAAGAGTCTTTTACAATAGTAAGACATATTTTTGTTCCGTTGTATATTTTCCTGCACTGACTGTGTCTACCCACAGTGTTATATCTGGGTTATGTCATCATCAGGCAACAGCATCACAAGCAGCCATCACGTTTTCTGATGCCATGCTTTGCGCACTTGTTTTCAATTTGAATGCCTATTATGTACATCATTTAACCATGTAAACCAAATGCTGCCTTATTTCTGCTATGCCACTTCATTTAACCAATATTTTCCAAGATTATATTGAGACACAAAACAGACTTATCCTTATCAGTAGATAATGAGTCAATTGTTTCTGTGAATAGCCAAATATTGTCCAATCTTAATATTTGAAGCATAGTGTTACAGAATGCCTAGTCACATTAAACGGCATTTGTGGATGTCCATGTATTAACTCTCATCTACTGTACTTGTTGGTAAAGTACTGCTGCACTTAACTTTGATCTGGGCTTCAGCTACTGTTAGTCAATGGGCCTAAAACGTCCTCCATCTTGGACTAATCCAGTGTTAGAGCTGTATTCGTGACACTTATGTCTCCATGTCTTTCTTTTAAAGCATTTTAAGTTAATGTCTGACGTGTTTGTCCCGACTGAATAGCTGGTCGAATGTGCTCAATGGTAGTGTGTAAGACTGGAAAGTTTACAAACGTGATGCAATTATGTTTCACACATTTTGTATATTTAATAAAGACTATTTTGTGTTTCTTGCTCACTGTATCATTGGTTCTACTCTTCGTATGAAATATGTATATCAAAAGCAAGGTTTTAGTGCACTCTTTTTCAGGTAGAATGAATCAATTGGCTTTGAAACTACACCCTATTATTATAAACACTGGGTTTATTTTAACATGAGTGTCCACTAGAGGGCCTCATAATCCACAATGCTCTGTATATCGGCCAATATTGTCCTTTGCTAACTTATTACAGCTAGTAATTAATGCATAACTAGTTTGTCTTAAAACGCCTCCTCATTTATAAGCGGGGTGTCTTCTGGGTAATGTAGTTTTAGTCATGGACTTTGACAGCTGCTGCCTGATTTTTTTACGCCAGAGAAAGACTACAAGTTCTGCAGCTGGTCACGCTACACTCTCAAGCGGCTGAAGTATGTCTGACTACCCGCTCTTTCAGCTGGGAAAACCACGCTTCGACCAGGTATCAACTTCTACACAAACTGAACTAGCAGCTCTCCGTGCAAACTGACGCATAACCGGAAGCAACTTTGTAGCTGTGTAGCATGGATCTATGCTTTGTAGCCTGCTGCAGCTTGTCTGTGGATCTATTATGACATCGGCCTGCCCCTGTGTGGAAACCTATGGTAGAAACCTATGATTGAAACATATGGTAGAAAATGGCACCTTAAAGCTAATCTAACTTTGATAGATAAATGATTTTTTTGTTTCAACTGTAAAGGTCTTTTAAAAGTAAAATCGTGTGAACAAATCAGACCTCGACATGCTGTCCTTATTAGATGAGCTTTGAGTCAGCCTTGAGCTGGGAGCCCATTGGCTGAGCGAGGCTGATTTATTTATTTCTCACTTTTGTCTGAAAAAGTCGGTCTAAAGATATGAGAGGCCATAAATGTATTCATTTGAAAACTAGTGATTGTGTGTGTATTAATGTGACATGATTATTCCTCTAGATAAGACCATATTCCGCACAGTTTTTGTACCGTTTAAAAACACAAGTTCATGTCCTGGTTACAAGTGCTGCAGTCCCATTCACCCTGACCTAATGATCTACTGGAATGGTCCCTGTAACTTGCTTATCTTTTGTACTGTAAACACATAATTTTATTATCACAAAACGTTATTGAGTAAAATGTCAATGTTTGTTTTCTTCATGTCATATTTCCTATAAAGGGGTTATAAGACTATAATAATCTAATAGTTTATTAAAAGGTGGAGCCTAAGAAAAATGTGGGACGTGCAGAGTTACTGAAGTGTCCTGGATTAAGTAGCTCATTCGTTTAAAACATTTATTTTTTACTATATGTTCAGTTATTAAAACTACATTAGTTCAAAGTAAATGATTTATAAAGTAAACATGTATAAAGGCTCCAAAACTTTTCTTGATCATATAAAAAGTTTATATATATATATATATATATATATATAATCTTAGATTTATTGTGCAACAATCCTTTTCAAGAATAACACTAATAAATAAGTTCGATTTGGCAAATAAAAATATAAAAATCCCAAAATATGTAAATACCCTTTCTACTTCTTAGAAATCTACTCTGATTGTTTTGTCAAACTCAAATGGCAAATAAATAATTGAATTAACTGATGAAACCCCCACCGCACATTTTATCAGTTTTCCATATGTTCGGGAAGTCACAAGGCGCTGCAGTGAATCACAGACCAGATTTCCATCCAAATTAGCAGTTTGCATAATTAAGGTCCAAACAGCCAGCCTCTGTGGTGTTGATAATATATTTCAGATTTTTATCCTTATGCTTTGGGTATAAATGACTGCAGAGGAGGAGTATTTCTGGCACAGTCATTATAAGAATTAATTGCGGATGGTGTGAGTGAGTCGGAGTCCCTAAAAGACTTGTATCAGAAACAGTTTGTGGGATGGTAATGAGCGCACTCCACCTGGTGTGTTAAACAGCTGGCTCCAGCTAATACTCCGTTTACTCAGTGGCAGCAGCTGGAACAACTCTATAAAAATCCTCTATTTTATTTGGTTTATGACATCCAACTGGAGTCACGGGAGATCCACCTGTGATTTGGATGAGAACTTTTATCAACTTTACCTCACTGTTCACCTGCAACTTAAAGCCCATGTAACTCATAACTCGTTTTACAAAAGCAAAGGATTATTCATAAATAATACATTTGCTGCATTGCCTCCAATTTGGTGAGAAACAAAATTGACCACATGTTATGCATCTTTTGCATACTTGTGAGAAAGAGTCACTCTTTGTTGCTTTGTGCTGAAGGCTGTTTCGCTGAGTGAGGGTGGTCCGCTCATTTTCACTATTCTGTCTGAAAAACCTGCTTTAAAGATGTGACGGAGGCCAAAAATACATGTGTGTGTAAACTAGTGATGGAGCCTAGTGAAGAATAGCTAGTTAATTTACTTTATCACATAGTAAAACGTTTTGTGGACCCCAGATTTATGATGGATATAATTAAGATTTTTACGCAAAAAGGAATTTTAAGTACAAATATGGGATCACCTTCATCTTGTAGAATTACTATTGAACTGTTAATAATTTATTTAATTATTGATAATTCATTGTGTGAAACTAGGTGAAGGGATCATTTTAGAATGCTGCTCGGTCCAGTGGCAATTGAGTATGAATTTGATAATCTATCCTATTTCTCTAGAACACATTTTTCGGTCGATTCCGGCACTTCCTGGATGTGATTGATCCCAGCACTTTGTTCGTCAGTGAGGTGAGTTTATTGTACATTTCAGTATTTTTTTGCCTGGCTGCACCCTTCTCCTCCCTCTGGTGCCATTAGTTACACACACATTTGTTTTTGCCTAGTCAACACATCAAATCTTGGTTTGGAGTATTGAGTAGCGGGACCCCCTGATGTACACAAGCACTTCTACAGACAAACCAATGATTCTCAGGCTTTCCTATGTGCTCCAATCGTTTGATTTTCTAATCTTCTGTTCACAAATCCACAATTCAGTGACGTCCCTTGAAATGGCTGCTGTCATGATTTTAGGTTGATAGAGATAAATGGATTTAATTTGACATTATAAAGATGTGAAAGCTTTCATGTTTTGAAGGTTTTGGGCTACAAACAACTATATGTATAAATCATGTATTAGTAGTAATGTATTATGTCTTAGTGACATGATAAAAAACAAAAATACAAATTCAATTGAATGCCACTTGCAACAAATCACAGCAAAACAATGAACCCTTCAAATCGATTTGTTGGAGCTCTTTCCATAACCTTTCCTCAACGCAGTAACCCTCTTAAGACCTGTTAAGTCCAAACAACACCTTAGCTCCTGGTCTTGTTGTGGTAATTTCCCTTTATGTCATCATTGCTCCGGTGCGAGGGCTAATGAAGCTGTTAGCGGGCCCTTTCGTGACAGTAATAGCAGCACCAGGTCTGAGGATGGGGAGTAGAGGGAGGAGGGGGGTGGACTCCTGGCGGGACGGGTGCAGCCTCGACTTGCCCGTAATGACCTCCTATGATTATATTCTCACACTCAGTTGCTGAAAGCTAATTAGTACAAATTGGGCCACATGATCCTGTATTTTCCCCTGCATTAGTTGCCGATCATAGCACAGAAATATCGCCATCATTACCTTTTAGGGAGCTCATTTGTCCACTGGAAAGCAGCTTGGATCTCTTCGGTGAAATGCAATTATCTCAAGATTGCCTCCAATTGCAGTGTGTTCAAACAGTGGGGACTACTGACTATTTGAAGATAAGATAATACAAATATATATAGTTCGATCAAAGGGTTTGTTTCCATCAGAGACGTCTTCGGGACAGCGTTGAACTCTTGCATCGCTTTAAGGAAGGGACTCTGCCGCCTGGTGTCACAAATGAACAGGTACAACCAAAGATTCAAAAAGGTTCATGTTGTCTTTTTGATCATGTTTTTTGTGGTTCTTTTGTGTTACCTTGTTTCAGCTGGAGAAACATGATAACAAGGTAACACATCTAACTTGTCTTTCAAAAGAACCACGAAAACATGTTAAAACCAATCAAAACTTCTTGGTGGAGTTTACAGTAAATACAGTATTTAGACATTAAATTATGTTGTGATGTTTTGCAGCTATGGAAAGCCCAGAAAATAAAACAGGTGAGTCACAAAACCAAGCCTCGAGTATATCAATCATTCCCATTATCAGGTAAAAGTTGCATCAAAAGCTGAGGTACCTAACGTTTTGGTTTGATAAATAATCCATGTTGTTTGCTTGTCCTCTAAATCTTGTATACGTAAGATCAAACTGAAGGCTAATCTCTATACAGCAAAGTGTTTTAGCCCTGTTGTTTGTGGTCTGAATGTTGGGTACCCCAGCTTTAATGATAAGCAATTACATTCTTATGTATTAAAGATACAATGTTATCAGATCCCCATTTTCACTACCCTAATGACGTCCTCTTCCTTTGTTAGTTGAATAAAAATCTGCTTTGGCAGTGCTGCGCAGACTCATTTGACGTGAAATCTCTTCTACTGCTATGTCGACACTTTGTTGTGATGACAGGTTGCGTCAAGGGGCCATGGTTGTCAATGATGATTACTATTTAGGACACACCAGACCATAGTGCTTCCTTTTATGGCTTTGGGAATATGAATGGAAATGGACTCATTTTAAAGAAGAGAAGAAGAAAAATATGAGCATCAAGATATCCAGTATTTTATTTGTGGTTTTATTTTTGGTAGATTTGTCTGAACAAAATTTGTACAGTTGTGTTTTGATCGAAACAGACCAAAAGGTGACTGTGTACTGTCAACTTTATTTTGTATGAATTATTTCTTATTGTGTTTTAGTTTTTTGTTTTGAGCATTTAACAGAAGTCTTTTGCCATGTGTATTTTACAATATTGACAATTACCAGAAGCAATCTTACCAATATAATACACTTACAATACTTGCTTGACTATAAGCCACACCTTTTCTTTACGTTATTTTGACTCTGCGGCCGATATGGCAATATTTACATCCATCCATCCATTTTCTACCCCTTAATCCATTTCTGGGTGGGGGGGCAGTCAGAGAGGCCACCCAGTACACAAATCACCAGCCCCTCACTGATCCTCAGGCAGGTGGTGAGTCTACAAGAGTACAGCCGCTCTGTAAGTGTGAGCATAGCCTTGATCTTCTGGCGGGGGCTTTTGGGCAAAGTGGGGTTAAGTGTCTTGCCCAAGGACACAACAACAGCAGACATCAGTGGGAGTCGGTGGAGAAGGTGTAGAACCCACGACCTTCAGGTCTTAAAGGCCAACGCTCTACCAACTGAGCTACTGTCGCCCTGCAGCAATATTTTCAGTCTAGGATATAGCAATGCAGCCAATGTATATATTTTTCATTTTGTTAAAGCTCTCTCTTGGGTGCAGGGAGGGAAAGCAGAGAGAGCAGACACTGGAACGTGTAGGGAAATACATTGGCCCTTGTCACATTAAATGAAGGCCTTTCTGAGAGCAAAGTATATCAATGTTTTGTATCAATATCATGCTGAAATCTGAAGGTTTTTTATATTGATGGTGCTTTTCTGTCAGGCCATCATCCACCCGGACACAAACGAGAAGATCCTGATGCCTTTCCGCATGTCAGGTACGGCTCTTGTTACCTTCAGAGATCCACAGGGCTCGTCAAGTTTTCTACACCCAGGAAAGGTCACTCTCAGCGGGAAACTGATTAGACCCTCTCCCCCACTGACACATGGTCATCCTTTAGTCATCAGCACTGAAAAACAGCAGTATTTTGGTCAAATCTAACACACCTTTTAAGTGAGCTGACTCCGCTGTCGTAATGTTAGACCCTACATCGAGGCCACGTCAGACCCAGAGCAGCAGAGGTGTTACTTCCAGCAGTCTTCAGGATAAAAAAAACTAAAGGCGATTCTGAGAAAGGCCAAAGAGTTGGGTGGTCAACCTTTAGCCAACATTTTGTGTAATTTAATTTCAACATGCACAGACATTGACACATTTTACCGCTCATTAAACTATGTTCAATAGGCCAATACTTCAAATTTCCCTTAATAAGGATGGAGGCAGTGAACTTAAGTTAGTTTGTCTGTTAAGCAGACGTGGTGTGATTATGAAATGTATGTTTAGTACCTGTTGGACGATAAAGCTCACCTTATCGTGATATAAACCGCACCAGCTAAATTTGAAAATAAAGTAAATTTTATCCACATACAGCCCACGCCTGTAATGTAACACGTAACCAGCAGCTGATGGAGCAATACAAAGCTGATTGACCACGAGATGATTTAATGATGAGGTTTTTTAATGTGCTAATGACACGAGATGATCACACATCCTTATTAAAACTTGATGCAGTCAAAATAATAAGTCCCTGCATTTCCTCGTATCGTCTCTGCTGTTCACATAAACACATTGAAGCAGGAATGAAGATGTTGAGTTTAGTAATAAAATAGATTCTGCCTCACCTGATGTTAACATTTTTACTAACATCAATATAATTAATTTTGTTTTGTACAGTCCAAATGTTTTTGTTTGTTATGTTTTTGAAAAAAGCATTTAGGATTTGGGAAAAGTTTTGCTAGAAACCTTCAATATGTTTGTTGCCTTCATCAGGTTTTGTCCCGTTTGGCACGCCTGTGGTAAGTTCAGTTCCAGTTGACAATATAATGATATTTCTTATTTACTTTCTGATAAAGTGCTCTATGTTTAGGTCGTGGGACTTCTTTTACCAAATCAAACTCTCATGTCCACCATCTTCTGGCAGGTATTGGGTTTACAGTTACAGATTAAATCCTGTTCTTTTGTTGTTGTTCTCTGCTGATACAGGGTGGTCTAAGAACGATCCAGGACATTTACTGACATTTATGCACATTTCATAACATTTATAAATTTGGTCACCCCACGACCCTGTGGATTAGTGGCTCCTATGCGTTTGTTATTATTGTATTTCCTGTGTTCGAACTTGTGAAGTCCTCGGAGACCAATGCTGTTGTGATCTAGGGCTATCCCAAAATAAATGGCATTGAATCATTCACACAGCCTGCATGTATGTCCATAGGCTTGTCATTTAGGGTTAAGCTGAAGCGAAAAAAATACTGTCCATGAGCTAAACTGTAAATAAAGTTGGAAATATATCGTAACCTGGTGAATGCTAAATATTGCTTATGTATGTACTGTATATATATTTGTATGTGTATAATTTACGTGATGATGACTATATGATTTGTAATATAAATATATTTCTGCTCGAATGAAAGAATAAATGAAAGTAATATGTTAAACACAATAACACGCAGTAGTCTGTATGCCAACATAATAACTTCTTCACATTCTGCTCTGACAGTGGCTGAACCAGAGCCATAACGCCTGTGTGAACTACAGCAACCGCAACGCCTCCCGGGTATCTGCTCGCACACCACGCACACGCACGTGAATAATCAATACAACCATAATTACATTTCTCCTCCTCAATTAGTTAAGTATTAATTCATAAGAGATATTTGTTGTTTCTAAGTCAGGGATGTCAAACTGATTCCAGAAAGGGCCTGTGTGTCTGTCAGATTTGAACGGTTTCACATATAGTATCTTTCCCCAGTCACTGTATGTAACTGTACTTCTCCTGTGATTTAGAAAAGACTTAGACTCGATACAATCCATTTGAAAGAAGTAAACTGATACCAGCCTTTTCGTTTCAGCCCAATGCTACATCATCGTTTGTTTATGGATACCTTGGAGCAGTGACCAGCGCTGTGTCCATAGCTGTAAGTTTCCACAGGAGACAAAACCTTGAGCCTTGTGAATCTGTCAGGATTTTATTAATAATACAACATTTTTTTACGTGCAGATGTTTTATCCGCACAGTAAGTTTGTGTAGTTGTTGTAATAGTTTGTGATTATTGAGATCCAAAATCAAGTGGGCTTGACACTTTATTTAGATCTACTTTATTCTCCTCATTATAAAAGTTCTTGTAAGGCAAGGCAAGTTTATTTATATAGCACAATTCATACACAAGGCAACTCAAAGTGCTGAACAAAATAGAAAGCATTAAAATCATAAATAATCACAGTACATTAAAAAGAAAGATAAAAATATATAAAATCCCTCATTTGTATGCACAGCTAAACAGAACTGTCTTTAACCTGGTTTTAACAATTGTCAGAGAGGAGGCCTGTCTCACATCTTCAGGAAGATTGTTCCAGATTTTAGCAGCATGAATCTGAAAAGCAGCCTCCCCATGTTTTGTAGATCACACTTCAACTCTTCAACTCAAGTGCACATGTTTATTATTTTGGGCGCTCTCTTAGAGGTGGAAGAAACGAGTCTCATGAAAGTAGAGCCGCTGTTTCTCCAAGTCCAGAGGAGCCAGTTAAGATGGCTTGGACATCTGTTAGGAACGCCTCTTGGACGCCTCTATGTATAGGTGTTCTGGGCATGTCACAGCAGGAGGAGACCCCGGGGAAGACCCAGGACACAGTGGAGGGACCAGGTCTCTCAGCTGGCCTGGGAACGCCTTAGTATTCGCCCAAATCATAGGCGTTCCCGAAGTCACTGAAAGAAAATGAAAGATGGACAATATTTGTATAAAAAATTAGCATAGGTATAATATTGTGTACCATTCTTAGCTTTCACACATTGTACAATGTTCAATAATAACGGTTTGGAATAAAATAAAACACACTATATGTGAAGAGAAATAATTGCGATATCTGTGTAGTAATGCCACTCAAGCTACACATGACAATCTGTGCATTGATGCGAAGGATCGGTAATGGTCAGGTATTTCCCCTCTGTGTTTAATCCATGTATGAATGTCCAGCTTGAGTGTAATGATTTAATTAGAGACTTCTTTTGAGCGCAGGCCTTTTCTTACCTTTGTCCCATCAAAGGCCTAAACGTCAAAGAGCCCTCACAGTGGTCCACCTGTCTGACACTGCCCTTAGTGCGGACAACAGCCTCAAACCGAGCCAATTACCCGTCCCGTGGTAGGACATGGCGGGGGTCCATGGGGCGTTGCGACAGGCCAAGAGGGGGGCGGAGATCTCCAATTAAACGTCCGCTTTGGTGACGACCCCCCGCTGTCCGTAGAAGAGGTGACGCGGGTGTAATATCTGAGTACATATAGCCTTTCACTGCTGCTTTTATGTGTCACAAGCTGCAATTGGCACAAAAATACTGGACCATTTCTACAGCCAATGCACAATGGCAAGTTGTGTGTATGATATTAGAGCGTGTAATCATAGGGTCCCTTATGAATTTTATGATAACTGATACATGGCTCAAAACAATAATGATGAAGGTCAGGTATTTTCCTTCTCAACATTCAGGATAATGATATCACAATTCTGCAAGAGATGTGACAATTCATCTTTTGCACATGATTACTGAATATTACTGATGTCCCAACGGCCTGTGTGACCAGTGCAATGGATTTAAATATGTACCTACTTCTTTCATTGTTAAAAATATCATTGTATCTTTAAAAATCTACATGATACAGCTACCCATAATATCGCTGTCATATCACATAGGTTGGTGACGTTTTTACCTGTGTTATGCTGCTCTTATGTCACTGGACAGGGCTTACCCTTATATGGAACTTAATATTCAATGTTTTGAGTTGTCCATTCGCTGCAAAGCTGAAGCAGAAGAGTAACAGGCATTTACACTTGTTTGTCTGGTTCTTATTAAAATAACCTTCTAAGCCTGGACCAGATCGGGTTCACTTGGGGAAAAATGCTTTATTTATGGCGGTAAAACCACCAAACCTCTGAACATGTGTCCACTAGTCTCTTCAGTCATCTTTTGAAACCAATCTGTGAAGCATTTTCCCCCAAGTTGCGCACCCTGTGTTGCTTCTGTGTGAATGGTGCTTTATAAATAAATTGGGCTTGCCTTGCCTTGCCAAGTGAACCAGCACAATTGTATATTGTGTGTGAACTAATGTGTGTGAATGTGTATAATTTGTCTAGTGTTATTTCTAATGTGCCGTTTCTGTATGCGTTCCTTGCACATCAGTGGTTGAAGGTCTCATGTGTGCAAGTGCTTATCTTATCCTCAGCTTTATAGTGACATCTCTGTTGTGCTTTTCTTTAGGTCGGTTTGAATGTTTTAATCCAGAGGGCTAAACGTTTCAGTCCCACAACCCGAGTGTTGGTGCAGAGGTTTGTCCCCTTCCCAGCAGTGGGTGAGTTCAAACATAAAGAGATTAGTGCCGGTTTGATCTGCAGTGGCCTTTGTCAACAGATTATCACACAACATTCTCACACTTTACTTTAACTGAATGTCTAGCTGTGAGAGGAAAAGTGCATAATGATGACAGTAGGACAGTCATAACGTATAGAGCAGATACTTTAAGGAAGAGCTCTTATTATGATACCAGCAAGGAGGTATCCTTGCTGGGTATCCCTACACAGCAAGTCCTGGATTCAATTCCATCTCTAGACAGGGCCTTTCTGTTTGGAGTTTGCGTCTTCTCCTTGTATCTGCATAGGTTTCCTCCAGGTGCTCCGGTTTTCCCTTAGGACTAGAAACATGTTCAATTCTGAATGATTCTGAAAAGTTCAGGGTAAATGAGTGCGTGTTTGTGAGTTTCCACGTTGGGCCGAATGCGTAACAACAAATGTATTCACTGCACTGCTTCATTAATACGCACTAAAACCAAATAAAATGCATAGAATACTTTTCCCTGACTAATGTCCATCCATCCATCCATTTTCTTCCCATTAATCCATTTCTGGGTCGGGGGGGTGGCAGTCAGAGCTGCACCCAGTACACAGAGCACCAGCCCCTCACTGATCCTCCTGCAGGTGGTGAGTCCACAAGAGCTGAGATCTTTCAGTTGGGGATTTGGGCAAAGTAGGGTTAAGTGTCTTGCCCAAGGACACAACGACAGCAGTCATCAGTGGGAGTCGTGAAGTAGGTCTTACGGTGGGCTCGAACCCACGACCTTCAGGCCCAAAGGCCAATGCTCTACCAACTGAGCTACTCCTGACTAATGTAGAAAAGTTAAATGGATGTATGTTTCTTGTACGCTCTGTCTTATTACATCAACTGAGTGATCATTGTTAATTATTTATTTAATCAAGTGCAATGCATGGCTTTTCTAGTAAAATGACATCTTGGCTCAATGCAGATGCTGTAGGTCTACTTGAGTTTTTCCACTGTGTAACAAAAACATTCAATTAACACATTAGTTGCTCCATTATTATTAAAATGGTAAAAACACCAGTAATTTTATCAATAAAATGAGATCCGTTCAATACTCTGTGGTGATTTTGGCAAGGAAATATCTTCTGTATTCACACACAGGTGAATATAGGAAGAAACTCATTCCAATTCAATTCTTGCAAACTCATTCCATTTGCAAGAATTAATGTAGAGAAGCTGTTATGTTCCAACAGAAAATAACATTTGACAAAACGATCTGACTGTTTCATTGGCAAAATAAAAAACAATCAATCCTCATTCATAGTGTTTGAGTTGCACATTATATTCACTTTTTCTTAGTTCATCTTTTTTATATAATTCCATCTTCCTATAATTGTTGATTATATTTTCTTTGAAAAGTCTTTTAAATGCTTTTAATGTTGTGGCTTCTTTGAGCACGTCACCCAGACTGTTCCAGATATCGACTCCACTTAACTGAAATACACCCGTTTTTATTTTTTTATTTTAGTCCTTACTTTATCTTTTTGAAATAATCCTGTTATTCTTAAGTCATAGTTATTTTCTCTAAGCCTGAATCTGTCCATGATACAATCAAGAAGCAGTTTTGGACCTTGTACAAGACAATAGCTGTGTTAAGATCAACAAGATCTGTAAATATTATATTTTTCAATGTAATAAACAGTGGATTTGTTGGGGCGTAATAACCTGCATAATTTATGATGCGAATAGCTTTTTTCTGCAATATGCAAATACGCTGAATATTCGGCCCCCTTGAACCTTTCAACATTTCGCCACATTTCAGGCTTCAAACATAAAGATATACAATTTTAATTTTTTTGTCATGAATCAACAACAAGTGGGACACAATCGTGAAGTGGAACGAAATTTATTGGATAATTTAAACTTTTTTAACAAATAAAAAACTGAAAAGTGGGGCGTGCAATATTATTCGGCCCCTTTACTTTAACTATTATTTGTTAAAAAAGTTTAAATTATCCAACAAATTTCATTCCACTTTATGATTGTGTCCCACTTGTTGTTGATTCATGACAAGAAATACAAATTTTATATCTTTATGCTTGAAGCCTGAAATGTGGCGAAATGTTGAAAGGTTCAAGGGGGCCGAATACTTTCGCAAGGCACTGTAATTGTTTTGTAATTGTTTCCCGTATCTCTGCACAGGAGCTCAGGTTTGGGAAAAGTAGGGCTTTATAGAGTAGGCTTAGTGAACTTGTGTTGACAATGTTCTTTACTTTACACATTATACCTACCATTTTTGTCTTCAGAGAGTTTACATAGCATTTCCAATTTAACTTTTCATTTAGTACTTTTCTATTTTAGTACTTTGATTACATTGGATGTATCCATTTTTCTATTTCCAAATACCATGTCCATGAATCTAGTTTTAGCTAGATTCATAAACAATTCATTATAATAAACTTTGTTTTAAATAATCTCACTTCTATCTCTACTTTCTCCATTCAATCACCCACATTTGGTCCAAAACAATATAAACTGGCATGGAAAGATGCTGGTAAGAAAAGATCGATTACAAATGGAGAAATTCACATAGTGGTTAATTCCACAAATGGTGAAACAATGCCACTTATAATGTCCTTTAACAGCATCATGTTTACTGAAGCAGTCTGTGGATCTCTCATTTGTTTGAATGTTATCTACTCCATTTGTGTCTGCTGGTTTTACAATTTCATTAGCAAGCGTTAGCCCCACAGTTATTTGTTAACCCTTTAAGCGCCAAAGTCGCAATATTGCGACAAGCAACATTGCTCACTTAAACAGGCTGTATCTAAAAATGTGGTGCAAAATCTTGTTAATACTTTTCACCAGGGGTTAGTGGACATGTGTGCCTGTAATATGAGCAACATTTGTGGGTGTGGTTATATTGAAAGTTTTAGAGTAAATTGAGTTCGTAAAACACCTGCGGCGCTGCAGCGCGGAGGCGAAGCAGCAGCGGTAGAGCTGAGAGGAGCAAGAGCAGAGCAGAGGGAAAGAGTGTTTTTATTTACTCACGAGGTCTTCAGTACCAGAGAAGTACTTGGTCTGGTACTGGCTCACTCAGATTCAGAGGAGGAAGACACACAGGTGTCCAGTGAAGCAGACACGGACATTATTAGTGACGGGGAGACCGCGCTCCATAGTCCACAATCAGCCCCTGTACAGCGGCTGCTTGTCCTCCGTGTGGCCGCTGTAGAAGCATTCTGTGAACGCCAAGCAGGGGCCGTGGTGGAGGGGACAGGGGCATCATAACACCGGGCATGTGGGAGAAAGTAGCCGGGGTAGACATCCGCTGGGATCGCGGGGATCGCGGGAGAAGCCGCGGGAGAAGTCGCGGGAAAAAGCACATCGCTAATCGCGTTCACTGCCTTTACCAACAGCGATGATGAGGATGAAGGCAGTTCTCGAGAGAAAATAATCCACAAAAGTGGACCAGAAGTGTTGAAGAGCCTGTTGTTTCTTGTTGAGACGAACTGACATGTTCTTTGCCCATTCATTTCATCTCTGTTTCTACACGATAAATCCTGGAGCCTCATTTCCACCGAGAAAAATAGTATGCCCACTACTTCTTTGAAAGAGAAATATTGAAACCAATCTCCAGATTTCATGACTGTAAACTATAAAGAGTGCAGTCTTGATCACTGAAGGTCTTTGAAAATAATAAAATTCCATATGGCTGCGAACCAGTGCTAAAACATTATGTATAATCTGGATCAGGGAATTTATTTCTATCCCAAATTCATTTCATACCAAATATATATTTCACATTTACTGTTTATAGTATTCCCTGATCTCAAATAACTCCCAAGCTACAGCTTTTTGAAGTCTTTATACAATAATTAACATTTTCCAAAATGTCCGCCACCTTGATGACGTCAGAATATGCAAATTAGATGACGAATCAACTTCCATCCCAAAGTTTGGTTCAGACTGAAGATATTTCTAATTTACAGTATGCCTTTATCTCAAACCATTTTAAAGTTATAGCCTTTTGAAATCTTGAAATCAAAATTGTATATTTTCTTGAAAAAACTCCGGCGCCTAAAGGTTAACCCATCTTTTTCCAAATATGCTGAATGATCCTGCATTTATGTCCCTTCCTTGATAAAACTTAGATTCTGTTACCCTAACCCTGCTTTTGCATGGTGCTTATATTAAAGTAGAGTTAGTGTTTGGATTAACACTAGTCATATGGATGTGTATTATTAATGATACTTTGATTTTCATTGCAGATTTGTACGCCTTCAGACACACATACAATTTACTAATTCTACCTCAGGAGCTGCATTTCACCCTCAGTACTTGTTTATGTCCTTTTTGGCTAAACATCGGCCACGCGCAATCACCGCAGCAAACTTAGCATAGCCGACAGATCGTTTACAAACACCCACAACCAATTACTGGAGTCACAACACAGACAATGATACCAGAAGCACCCTTGGGACCACTTCTATTCATTTGCAGCCAGCAACTAGTGGCCATTAGTGGTATTACACTTTGATGCTGTACGTTCCTAGCTGTTTGCCCTCTTGTCACAAATTCTCACAATTAGAGGCCTCGGTAAATTTCAATGTGTTTTACTTCAATAGGGGTTTTTCAGACGTGTTTTGAGCCAGGCTTTGTCAAACCTATGCCCGCAAACACACACGGACAGGCCCCGTGGGTGTAGCTCTATGCCCAATGCCCCAAGCTCCTGGCTCGTAATTAAATTGTTTTTTTTAGCCTTACCCCCTCTCTTTCCCTTCATACTCCGCTAATTAAATCAACAGGTTTGTACAGCGCAGCCTTTGCCTGGTAATTGGCTTCTCGTTAGGACTCTGCTGCCGCAAACAAATTGGATAATTATTCTTAAAGTGGCGTCCATAAGTCAACGCTCCTATTTCACCTGCTTTTCCTCTCTGTGTGTAAATGCATTGTTGGATGTCGCCTGAACTCAAACCATATCAAAAGGTAATTAAAACTGCTAATTGGAGCGAGCGGAAATCGAAGTGGCATTTGATTTTCTCACCTTAATTCTGTCTGCTTACTTAAGGGCGAGATTTATTTGTAATAACCTAATCAAGCAGCGGCCTGTCACTCACTAAAGACCACAACCCGAGGCTATGAAAATATAAATAAAACATTGTCTTTAGAAATTGTTGCCTATTATTTGTGATATTTAGGGAGTAATTATGCGTTAAATTCTTAGATGCATTTCCATAAATATACAAGCCATTATTAGCTGACAATTAAATGGCACATGTAATGCAATTAAATGAAATAATTACACTTTATATTGTACCCAAACAGGCTTTTCAATAATTATCCCCATTTATAATTAAGCTGTATTTTTAATTGCAAGCAGCTTTGTCGATGCCTTATATCATTTAGTTCATATTTTTCTGTCCAAAATCCCTCAGTGTCCTTTCTGTTAATTTGTATGCGTGGAAAAAACATAGCTCTTAGGTAGAAAAAGCGATTTGCTCAATTGAATTTGCCTCCCTGTAGCCAGTATTGCAGATAAGAACCCTGCGCTATTGTCTTAAATTAAAAATGCTCCAGGCGCTAACGCTAAAGTCGCTAAAATGAGTCAAGGAGAATAGGTTTTGTCTGCATTAGTGAACATTTGAGTTCATTTCACAAGGTAAAGTCAGTCACCTTCCCAAACACCAGTCACAATCACATAAGGACATTTTACCATGAATAATAAGAATGTGTGACCTCCTCATGGTGCGGCTCGACTACTTCATTCTTTATATTATTCAGTTAAGGCGTCTTTATATGGGTGAAAATATGATTAAGCAGTTAGGTTTGCATGAAGGACGCCTGTGAGGATGTAATAGACAGTTCTTTACCTTGCTTTTATGCACTGGTAACTTTGATCCCAGTCCATTGTAAAACTATCAATAGAATGTATATTTATTTCAGTGAGTAGTAAGTAATTTACATAACAAGGTTCACACTTTTGGTTTCCCGGTGTTTCCAATCATTCCACTCATGGTGATGATAGAAGTGGTCCATTCACTCTTTCATGACATTCATACCTGTTGTACATGTTTTTAATGGTAAGGGAAACCGGAGCACTTGGAGGAAACCTTCTCAGACACTGGGAGAAAAAAATTTAAAAATGTTTTGCTCTTGCTATTATGCTAATCCACTAATATTTACTCCTAAAAGCTTGTATGTTGAGAAATATCTATCAAGTATACACTTTCTATGTGTGTAAACTTTAAAGGGACACTAGTTTTTACTCCCATCTTGCATCGAGATCATCTATTGTAATTTGCGGTACTACAGTAGCTTCACAGGACAATATGTCGTCTTTGACAGATGTCCCCAACTCCCAGTCAAAGTCCTTTTCAACCACTGTATTTTAAGATGGTGCAGTCCTCCAGCCTAATATACATTTATAAGTCAAATTCTCAGCCTATGACAACACTTCAAAAACATGGTGGAGGTTAAAAAGGTCACATTTGTTATTGGTTAACATGTTTTTTTATTTGTAAAAAATACAGAGTATCTTTTTAAGGATATTAGAGCTGCAGCTATCAAATATTTCAGTATTTGAGTAGTCTATTACTTCTGACACAACATCTTTAAATTCTTATTACTTATTCATTCCTGATAAAAGTATCATTCAGAGTTGGATGGAGTTAAAGCAGGAAATAATGTTGTTGTTGATTTTAGTATTTTAGTTTAGAGTCACGTTCAGATCTGTGTAAAATAAGCTCCAGAAACAAGTTCAGTACTGTAGGTAAACTACTTGTTTAATCGAAGCAACAAAATTGTAATCAAAATGTTTTAATTACCTTTGATTAGTCCTTTCAATTCTAATAAATATTTGTTGGGATATGAGCTGCCGGTGAATTGAATACGCCAATTAACAACACCAAAGAATGTACTGTGGTGAATTAGCTTTGTTTTGTCGGTTGCATAAAGTAGTTTCTTTCTTGCAATATTCTCTATTGCACATGAATCTTCATTTGTGAATCCTAATCTTCCCACAGCCAGTGCTAATGTGTGTAACGTGGTGCTCATGAGGTGGTCCGAGCTGTCGGAGGGGATCAGCGTCTTGGACCAGAGTGGGAATGTGGTCGGGACGTCCAGAGTTGCTGCCAAATATGTACGTGTCATTGCGCTCTTTGAAACGTGCCCTGAAATGCAGATTATTCTCATCAAACTCAGTAGTTGATGGAAAAAACATTTATTTATGTAATTAATAGTGTTTGAAGCAAGGTGCTGTTTGAATGTTACCATTTTAGGTTGTGGATTTACATTCAACTTGTATTATTACAATGTGTTTTCATGGTTTTTTTTATATTTGTGAATTTACAGGCTCTTACGGAGACGGCTCTGACACGGATCGTACTGCCCATGCCCATACTGGTTCTTCCTCCGCTCATCATGGCCAACCTGGAAAAGTAAGATTTCATCCTTCACTGTGTTTAAAATAAAAGGAATTGAAAAAGAATAATTGACTCTTGAGGTTCATCTAATTGAAGAACCCTATTTATTACTTTGTCAAAGCCAGGGTTTCCAAACGGTTCATTGAAGAGGAACTTTAGTTCACTGATAAACATGTGTGATAAAATAGGCCTAATTATTATTCTGTTTATCAGCATCATACATGTTTATACACAGGTGAAACTCGGTATTTCAGTGAGATGTATCAAACCTATTTGTTACAATGCTGATATTTTACTCACAGCTTTTAAAAACATTAAATAAAACATCTCAGAAAATTATGTTGTGAGAGCCAAAGCAGTTAAAATGCCAAAAAGTGTTTAATTTAAATTTAAAAATATAAAATAGTTTTTTGTTAAAAGGTCAATCAGATTATATGTTAAAAATAGTTAAAACCCTAGAAAGTTAAACGGTTAAAATTCTTAAGTTAAAGAAAGATTCTAAAATGTTATAAGTTACTGTAATTCTCATAATGATTAAAGACTGTAAAAAAGCTATTGCAAATATCTAAGTTTAAAAACGGGTAGAGCAGCTTTAAAATCAGAGACACTCCCATTATTTAGACTGCTCTGATGTCATCAGTTTGAGTTTGAGTGCAGGTGTGGGAGAAGACAGATTTTCCTCCTGCAAACTGGAGGACTGTAATGTTAATTTTCTATTATTATTTTTGTTCAATAAATGGACTTAAACGGATTACGTCTCCCTGGTCTCAGTGTCAGAAGAACTTTTGCACCTGGAACTTTTGCACCAGGCACCATTGTGGCTGTCTTTAAATGAGCCACCACAATGTAATCTAATGTAATGGATATTTATATAGTGAATTTTACAGACCAAGGTCACCCAAAGCGCTTTAAGAAGTTCAGAGTTCAGATATTGTTGCAATCACTCCACACCCGGTGATGACGGAAGCAAGACGCCGAACACACTGGCATCAAAGCCTCCAACCAACACCATCCATTCACTCACTCATTACTTTCATACCTATTGCACATGTTTTTAGTGGTGGGGGAAACCGGAGCAACCAGAGGAAACCTACGCAGACACGGGGGGAACATGCAAACTCCTCTCAGAAAGGCCCTGTTCCTACCGGGATTCAGCCACTGTGCCGTCCATCAACATTATAACAAACTCCTGACACTTTGCATCTATCTACACATCTATATTGCTTTCATATTTTATGCTGAATCACAGAAATAATAAACTTTTGAACAAGACTACTTCCACATAACAAACATATTTCATGAGATGGTCAGTTTGTTGTACCAAAGTAAGTGCAACAAAAGTCCCCAAAGTCTGGCACTTTCCCCTAGTACTGGGAACCAAAAAAATTTGCCTACTGTGAGAAAATGCTTTATTGATTCACATTCTACGGGAAATGATATTGTCAGCCTTTGATCCTCTCATTTATTTGCATAATTCTGCCCCTACCTAAAGAACCAGGTCCATATCCCACTACATGAGATGAGTCTGCTATGAGCTCATCAATTAACATAACTAATATATAAAATTGTGCAAAAGTAATTATTGATTCCTTTCCCCTGATGTTTCCTATTATTATGTGCGACTAGATAATTAAACACTTTTCTTGCATACTTTCTTTTTATTGTAACTTCATCGAACTTCTCTCATAAACACCTCAGCTGGTGTTTCAGGAATATTCAGAGCATTATGCAAAACTCCAGGTGCTTTCTCTCGATTGAAATTACTCATTGTTTTTCTAATCAGTTTGTCTAATCTACACCACTTTTTCTTGCAAAAAGAATGACAATTAATTCTGTAATGACAGTAATAAAATTAGAGTATTTTTCCGAGCTGCAATCATCAAATTATATGATTAGTAAATGATTCACATTGTGCAAAAATCTAAATTACGAGGCTGTTTTTATATTAGAGACTTCATAATTACTGCATTATTAGTGATGTGAAACCAACATGCGTACGCAGGCGTAAAGTCACAACATTATCTTGTTTTTGTAAGAAGTTTTAGACCTTGAGGAGTTTAGGTTAAGTCTGGTTTTGACCTGGATTTGGGTCAATATGACCGAGAGTGATAATAGAAGCATGATTGTGAAGCATATATACAGTTTATATATAAAAAACCTTTACAGTTCAATAACACTGGGAGGCACTCAACACCAGGATAAATGGATATTAAATTATTGTAATACTTAAAGATTCTTTAAATGAATGTTTGCTCAGTACACTACCCAAAACCATGCGCCTGGCTCTCCTGACCGTTAGCCCTCGGCATTGCAGGATGGGTCAAACGTGAGGGCAAATTAGGTATCCCATCCCCAATCTAAAAGTATTAGTACAGTAACCAACGGATTCAAATTAGGGTTTAGAAACTACATACTATTTATTTTACAGTAATGCAAGGACTATTTCTTTTGGGACAGAAAAAACAGTTTTGTGTCTGAAGTGAGTTGTTACTGGATGTTGTAATCAAACAGTATTACTCTATTACTCGTGGCCATACCTGTGAAAACCAGACCTCTGAAGCTAAGCAGGACAGGGCCTGGTTAGTACTACAAGAGACCTCTGGGAACATCAGGTGCCACACTGCTATAGCTATTTCCATACCACTCTGGAATATTATCATTTTATTTCATTTTATTTCTAAATCATTTGGGGAGCTACTTTGCAGTGCTGCTAGTTTTGAGTTTGAGTATATTTTAAGTGTTATGCACAAAAGTGCTCCGCCCACATGGGCTTATAGGACACTGAAGCAACAACATCTGATGGCCACTGACCGCATACATACATGACAAACAGAAAACAGTTTATAATAAACATCTCACACAGGGTCCAGGATCTGTTTTCTCCTCTCCCAGACTTTACTCTTTACTTCCATGTTACCGTCCACCTGCACAGAAAAAGTCATAATATCGGAAATATGAATCCATTTCTACTCGCTTCGTAGCTGAACCCTGGCCCGCCTTCCTCTGATAAGGCTCTAATGTAACAGTAATGACGCAGAGTTTGAGGTTTGTGATGGATGTCTTCACTTTGTCCGCCGTGTGTCCAGGTATGCGGCCTCCATGCGCTCTGCCCAGGTGTGTTTTGAATTCCTGATGGTTTAGTTGAGAGAGAGGCCCAGGTGAGTGTAGCGGTGTGTCGGCTCACCTCCGCTGGATTTCAATGGAGCAGGAACAAGAGGACAGGGAAGCGGCAGGATCCGTGATTTATGAGCTCGCTGAGAGAGGCGCAACTCACCAACAACAGCTGGGTTTGGGATTTAGAGAAGACAGGGCTGGGCATTCAGAGTGATACTGAAATTAGATTTTAGGGTTGTCATAAGTTGATACCCAAACAATCTTCATAATTTTGTTTCACTGTTACAGTTTGTTGGACGAGTCTGCTGCCTCTTCAACCAGGCAACGGATAAAGCAGAAGAAAATGGGTGGATAGTTTTGTGTAGGCCCAGGTTTGCTCAATAGACAGTACAATAGGAGTGGACTGGCTGACATCACTTGAGTGATCACAAAAGAAATTGATTTGTAGCTAGCTAGTTCACGCCATAACAGAGGCAGATGTGTTGTTCAGACGGTTGCTAATGCTAGCTGGTGTTTTCTTTCCACAAATGAAGTCCTCTGATTGGTAAATTTTTATTTGGAAGACAATAAATTAAAAGATTACTAATTTACAAGCAAGCAAGCAAGTTGGAGCATAACTTTGTCCATGAGCACTTTCCTATTGGGCTTCATTGAGCTAGAAGGTAAAGACAAAGGTAAAGGTGCACTTTATTTATCCCTCTCCCTTCATCTTCTGCATTTGACCCACCCTGATGCCACTAAGGAGCAGTGGTCGCCGTAATAACAGAGATGTTGATGCTCACCTTGGTCCAGACCGGAGCTAGTGGATTTACCTAACATTGTTCCTCTCTCCTCTATTTGGTGACAAATATCAAATATTGGCTTGCTGATACGTCTCCACTTGGTTGTATGGTATTTCCCCTGCTGTATCAGGAGTAAATAAAAGCCACATTTCTAAGGTGGAATGTATATTTAATTGTTGTTTGACATGTAATTTTTTGACATGCATTTTTGTTTTTTGTTTGCAGATAAGAATGATGATGGTATAAATCAAGAATGTCATGTGAAAATTAAAATATTTTTGCAGCCGCTTAAGTTAATTATTGATAATGGGGAAGGCACTTATAAGCTTTTTGCTTCTGCCTTCTCCTTTTGAGCTTTTTTTTTCTCTTTTTGTCTTTCTTGAATTATATGTGCATGTTAAAAAAAACATATATAAAAAACATTGTAAAACTGCTCAAATAAAAATACTACTACTAATAATACTACCCACGAGTCTATATAATTAGACATCAGAAAACATATACATTTGTTGTCTATTGAGCTATTAGTAACACCTTATTTTGTTTTTTGATGTATTAAATGTGTGGCAGTTGCTTCTCTCACAAATTGTGAATGAGTCATGTGTTTTATTTTAAGGACTTTTCAGTCATACGAGAAACATAAACTACTGGAGCTTAGCTGATAAATTCCAATTACAAGCGTGCTGGTTCCTCAATTTTGTGTCAAGTGCCTTTTTTCCCCCAAAAAATCAACATGACTAACACCTTTGCATTGCTCTCCTGGCTTTTCTACTTTACAGTTATCTCTAATCAGTGCAGAATAATGTTGATTATTATCCTTACATTGCTTCTGCTTTCTTGAATACCTGCTCCGACATTGTGTGTTGAATCAGCATGACGTTTATAAATTTGCTTCTCGACAGGAGGCTAAGTCTACCATCTCACGCTGAAACAAACAGTTAAAACAGAATTAGACATTGAAATGGCCCGTAGCCACGTTCTGCTGCAGTAACAATTTGCTAATCGTCACCTGGTTTTCATACACGCTGCACTTGTTTTTTTACTCTACAACAACTTTGTGCCATTGACTTTGTGCCTGTCGGTGCTGGCGGCATTCACGTGTGTGTGTGTGTGCGGTGTAGGGTCTAATTAAAGCATGGCAGCCGTATGTGTTAATTAGCTCTCTCATTAGGCAGCGTGCCCCTCGTTAGGGAGAGAGGCGTCGGTGGAACAGGAGACTCTCCTGCTGCGCTCTCTGTCCCAAACATACCATCCAGCGCACACCGATGTATGCTGTCTGCAGATGACTATGAAGGAAAGGCGGTATATGGTGTTGGAGTGACTTGGATTTTCACTTGACATTTTTTTAACAATTGGCAGAGATGACTTGATTAGTAATATATTGTGTTATGATACCAAGTTGCAGTTGGAAGTCATAAGGAGTCAAAACGTCTTGATGCTAATACCTTGTCCGATGTGTGCTTTTATACTTTTTCTATGGAGCACATGCATTGACGAATGTGAAATTACACTATTGTGTCATCGTATGAATGTAACTAACTGGTTCCGTCTGTTCCCCTGCTGGAGCTATCTCACCCACTTTCACTACAGTCCTCTCCTACTACTAAACACCTGTGCTTCTGACATTTAAGTCAGAGCACATTTAAGTACCTGTGCTGCCAATCAGCCTGCATTTTATTAGTGCTTGCTGCAATTTGACAACTCCAGCTCGTGCCACAACCCTCCTCCTCCCCTTTACCCCTCAACAGTGGGACTTTTCTTTCACATCATCAGCTCCCAGGGCGATTTTATTTTCATAATCTCCATTTGAATTCCCTTCTACATATCTAATGTGATAAACCATATCAACATGTCCTCAAAAAACATAATTTCATAATTTTCTCTTTCCCGATAAAACGACCTCTTCATCATTATTGCATATCCACCTCCCATTCCTATTCCATTTGTTTTGTAGTACAAAGAGATTTATATTAAAGAAATATATTGAGACTAAAGTAAATATACCTGTTTTGTTTTACTGTGCAGAACTATAGAACATTTGAATGCCATGCATACTGTACAACACAGTGGGAAATGCATTTGACATTTTATAATATTTCGATCTTCTTTACTGAGCTCTATTAGCAAAAGGTTTCCTGTCTTTTTAAAATAAATAATGTATCTGTTTCCTCCTGCAGACTTCCTCTGCTGCAGGGATACCCCAGACTAGTCCTGCCTGTCCACGCTCTGGTCTGCTTGGCTTCATTTGCCTTCGCACTGCCCCTCGCCATCAGCCTCTTCCCTCAAACATCACAGGTAAATGCACCAATGAATCAGTAAATTAGAAAAGCACTCCTAGATCGCCTGCCTCTGCCTAGAGGTGCAGATCTGTTCCTTTTCTAAAAATCCTTCAGTAGACAGTGATTTAGAGTCTGTCTGAATGAGGTTTGCAAACCTCAAATTAGACTGGAACCTGCCAAATTGAGAGGGTTTGCACTTAGTCGTACATATAGAATATTACAGTCTTACAGCATTATCCAGTAACACCGGAAAGTGAGTGAGGTAGCAAGTAGTTGGTAGATATGACAGAACAAAGATGCTAAATAATGCTACTGCAAGAATGGCAAACTCAAGGGGACTATTTTAATAATTGTATTTGTGCATAATTGTATAATTTTCTCACAATAATGATAACACTAACATTTGATATTATGTTTTGTGCCAAGAGGAGTTCTTTTGGTAACGTAATTTATGTTTTACCTATACTACATTAAAGTATCTACATCTATCTACAGTATCTAGCTGATTGCAATGAATTGAATGTATTTCCACAAAGGTAGTTGTATGTGGAATTCTGGTTTAATGTTTTACATGACCCAGGTAAACTTAACCTTAAAGTATACACTTCCTTGGAAATGTGCCAGTTTAGTTTCAGGGTACGAGACACTGCATTGTCATCCATGCTTATATTAGAATTTGATTTTAGGCTATTCGAAGAATAAAAATGCCTGTAATCACTCGTATAATTACTTCTTCATTCTAATCTTTTAGACAACACCACATGGACTGCCAAATCCCCCATTCACAACTGATCACCGAAAATGGCTGACCTCTTTGATTTAAACCATAGACCTAGCTCCTCTTTCTTAATGAGGCCTTTGGGACCTGCTCTTATCGCATCCTAACCCAACGGCTTCCTTTTCCTTTATCCTCAGTGTGTATCAGTCTGCTTATTAAGTCTCGCCTTTGATTCAATTTCTCTTGTTTTTCTTTTCTCCTTCCTTTGCCAAATGACTTGAGCTGGCACGAGCCAAGCATTTCTGGCTTTAAAATGTTTAGGATTTAATTACCGCTGGAAATAACTTCGACAACCATATGGCCAAAAACTTCAAAACATATGTGCCGCCAAGCCTGCTGCGAAAACCAGCCTCCCTATTATACATGAAGAGGCCTTAGTTGTTTTTCTCACTCTGATGGTGTTTTTGCACTTGATCCAATATAGGCGTGGAGGGAAAAAACAAAACAAAATGCAGCACAGTGCCCAGTCTCCCGGACCCCCAGACGCCTACTCAGATTTGTCCCATTTCCCCATTTCACACCTAACACAAGCTTTTTGATTAAGATTCAGCCTCCGTTGCCAGGAGCCATCTGTCCCTGGTTCAAATATTACGAGTTTGTAAACCTCAAATTAGACTGGAACCTGCCAAATTGAGAGCTTTTACACATTAGTCGTAAATACAGAACATTACAGTCTTATAGCATTATCCAGTAACACAGGATAGAGAGTGAAGTAGCAAGTAGATCTGGCAGTACAAATATGCTCAATAACGCTACTACAAAAATGGCAAACTCGGGGGGGACTATTTTAAATCCGACTGCTTTCGCAACTGTCATTAGCTTCAGTTCTCAAGCCAATCTCTACCGTAGATGGTGAGCCAAATGTATTGTAATACACTAGTTGTTTGTTTAGATGCACTCATTGCGAAAGCTTTAATGCTTAATAAACCTTTGATTAGGCTGTGAATGAGAGTTCTACAGCCTTTTAACAGCATGAAACGTGACTTGATGTTGGGGTATTTCAACAGGACTTTGTGACCGGGGGATTTTTAATGGATAAAATAATTGGGTATATAGTAAAAATGTATTTGAAAGCAGAATTGTAACTTTTGATCTTGTGAAAACGTATAACTCTTGTGTGTTGTTCTGTGTCACTGATCTAGTTTCACACTGATTCCTCTGACTTTGATTTCCTCAGATCTCTGTCGAAAAACTGGAGGCAGAAATCGCCAGAGCAGCAGATTGTAAGATTGTGTACTACAACAAAGGACTCTAACACCAGAAGACTCGTTTAAACAGGAGTGAAGAGTGAGTGAGTGATGTCTTAATGAGATGAAGAAATGTCAAATATTTGTTGTGGAAAATGTATATTTTACACTGACTGTGATTACAAAATAGCATTATGTATTGTACAACAACATACTAGAGATTGTCTATGAAATTGTACTGAGACGCATGTCAAATTACAGAATAAAATTGTATTGGAATATATGAATTATATGAAAAGTATATTTTTTGGGATATATAAAATTATTCAAACATAACCTATTCAGATAAAAGACCAGGGAAGAGCAGGGAACCAGGCATACATGGAGGACGCCACCATCTCCCAGGTCAATACCAGACCCTGTAGAAAGTCCCAATGGAGCCAGAGCCACCATGGCACAACGGTCCGGTTTGGTCCAGCTTTGCATCAAATATCTTTAGTCTCTCTCCCTAAAACCTTCAAACAAGGTCAGAAATCTAGGGGTAATACTGGACTCAGACTTAAATTTTAATAGCCACATCAAATCAGTAACATCAGCAGCTTTTTACCATCTAAAAAACATTGCCAGGATCAAAAACATAGTGTCTAAAGCAGACTTGGAGATTCTTATCCATGCATTTGTCTCCAGTAGGTTGGACTACTGCAATGGCCTGCTTACAGGTCTGTCCAAACAGGCTGTAAAACAGCTGCAGTACATTCAAAATGCAGCAGCTCGAGTCCTGACAAGAACCAGGAAGTACGACCACATTAGTCCAGTCCTCAGGTCTCTGCACTGGCTTCCTGTGGCTCAGAGAATAGACTTTAAAACAGCTCTGCTTGTGTACAAATCTCTCCATGGCCTCGCACCAAACTATATTAGTGACATGTTAGTACCATATGAACCAGCCCGGACTCTGAGGAGCACAGGGACTGGACTCCTGTTAGTGCCCAGAGTCAGAACTAAACATGGGGAGGCAGCTTTTCAGATTCATGCTGCTAAAATCTGGAACAGTCTTCCTGAAGATGTGAGACAGGCCTCCTCTCTGACAATGTTTAAGACAAGGTTGAAAACAGTTCTGTTTAGCTGTGCATACAACTGAGGGATTTTATATTTTTATCTTTTTTTTAATGTACTATGATTATTTATGATTTTAATGCTTTCTTGTTCTGTTCAGCACTTTGAATTGCCTTGTGTATGAATTGTGCTATATAAATAAACTTGCCTTGCCTTGCCTTGCCTTTAGTCTCAGCAACTCAAAAATTCAATGTATGAATAAATTAAATATGTTTTCTTTGAATTTATAGATGGTGAAAAGATTTTTTTTTTTTTTTTATATATAGACAATCTTTTAAAAGTTGCACTTGTAAATTACATTTGTGTCATGCTAACGTTTATACTTTAATCTCTTATCGTATTCACTGGCTTTCAATGTTTTCAAGTACAAAATCATAAGTATACGAGTATTATAACTTTAGATACATTTAGTCCGGGACCCTAACAATAATGGTAAGTAGATCAAATCGATGTAAGCGGAAGTAGCATCAATATATTCTGAGAAATAATAATATTGTATCTTGAGCAGAATTACGGTGAAAATGAAATGATCTACCAACTTTATACATCTGCACTTGAAGACTATAGATCCAATAAAAGCACTTAGATACACTCTTGTTCCGTTGGTTAACTTTAAATCAAATGGCAAGTTTGCAATATTTGTGTGATTAATCAGTCAATTAAACAGTTTTTTAGAAACGGTTCAACCCCATTTTATTCCACTAAAGCAGTTAGAAGCTGGATAAAACTTGTCCTAAAGTTTGTCAAAAGAACTAATAGCCTCAAATGCACTGTCGACACACGGATTCCCTTGTCAGATCCACTCTTCTGTTTTCTCAGCTGCTTTCCACAGCCGCCTCCATTCCCCTTCATTAGACCGAGGAAACTTACAATGACTTCATCTTGGAGCAGTCGGTGCAAGTGTGTCCAGGTTTGATCATTTACTTGGTCACAACAACAAAAAAACAAACACACACTCACACAGAACGAAAAAAAAATTCTAATATAGATAGTGAATTATATAGATAATAAAGATTTCTTTGTCAATATGGTGTTTTTGTGTCCTTAGACAAGACACATTGGAAAGATGTGTGTTGAGCCATAACAGCAAATCTTATAATCGTATATTTTATTATCAGATACAAAGCTGTTTGCACTTTTACCTTCTCTCTTGACCTTTTTTTGACAGCTGTAAATTGCCCTTAGTGAACGAGCTGAGTGGTTGTCTTTCAGTATCTGTTTGACCTGCAATTAACACCAATTTGGTCCTGGACCACATTCTTACTGACCAACTTCAGCCAAATATCATCTGTTTAGTTCAGGGGTCTCCAACCTTTTTCAATCAGAGAGCTACTTTTATACAACAGAAGAGGCAAAGAACTACTACTTTTGAGCAGTTGAAATACAACTCTATGCAATAATTAAGACAAGAGGGAACACATGGAGAACAGATGTAAATATACCATAAAACTGTAACCCTATATTTATATTTATACTTATAAAAAATATGTAATGACTCAAAATGTATTCATTCAAGATCATGTGTTAAATTCTAAATCCTTTGGGGAGCTACATGAAAGAGGCTGGCGAGCTGGTTTAGTATCCAGGGTGACATTATTGCCGAATATTAATTAACACAGCTGTTTTCTTTAAAAACATGAATGAATGTAGCAGAAGGTATATAGGTTTCAATCCCATTAAGTTTACTTAAAGCCAATGGAGGTATATTATGGAATGATGTTCCTTATTTAAGTGTGTATGAGTTGTTTTTTTGTTTTTTTTATTCAAATTATATAACTTTGTTGTTTGTGCAGAAATCACATTAAACTTGCATTATCGCATTTATTGGATATGCTCTATACAGATCTTAGCCTCTTCAATTGCATGACATTTGTGATTGAGATTTCCTTACTCATAGTGTTGCATTAAAATTATGTTGGACTTTTCCATGTATAGATTTGCACCTGCAGCGAATATAGAATATCCCTATAAGTCAAAACAGTGGAGCTTCTTCCTTTTAGGATCACAGATGTCTGACGTACTGTGTGATTTTCTCAGCGTTGGCACAAGGAGGCTGTTTCCGCCCTGCTCCTGTGCATTGGCTCTTAGCTTACAAAACACAACACTGGGGTCAGACGACGGCTCATCTCTGAAGCTTTAGGGTCATTAGCTACAAATTCCTTCCGCTCTTTCTGACAGATGAGCACAAAGATGGCTGTGAATAGGCCAGTGCACAATAGTAGCTACACTTACTGCCCTTTTTTTCCTCAAACAGGACAACACCTTGATGCCCCTTTTCACTTTTTGCAGGAATTTAGAGCGAAGCGGCACCTGACACCTGTGCGGCTGCATTCCTTGTACCGCCTTTTGTCGAGAAGCGTGGATGTTTCAAAGTTGTGGCTGCTGTGATGTTGGATTTAGAGAGCAATTAGAGATTTTACACATTTTTTGGTCATGCTCTTTTAAAGAACTGCACAATTGAAATGTCTATGCAATTATAATGCAGATGTCATCATCTACAGCTGTAGCTAAATCATGCAATACTAACGACGGACAGTATATTGCTGAAAATATGGTGCGAGACTCAATGTTGAATTTTCCCACGTTTGTTTTCTCACATTGTCTCCGTCTCTGCCTGTATTGTATTGTCCTTAGTGAATCAATATATGGACCAAAATACGAATATCTGTTAACAGAATAAAAGTAACAGTAATAAAAGATCACTCCAAAAGTAACAATTGGAGTGATCTTTTATACAGCATTTTCTATCATTTATCTAATGAGAGACGCTGAAATGCACTTTCATTAAAACTAACCCCATTATGACTTAAAAGTGGAAGGACACCAAGGCAAATAAAATGTTACGGTAAAGGTTAAATTATAGCTATGACTCTGTTCATATGTTCAATTCCTTCAGCATTGTTCTCCTGTAAGAATCAACTGTACTTGATGGTTGTATTTCTATGTGGATTTAATCAACGTGTGCAGCAGTGTGGTTCACACGTTCACCTGCAGCCCACAGGGAGACATGTAATGAGTGAAGAAGGCATGGCACCAAAACCTACTCGCTATTCATAAAAGAAAACATTGTTCGACAATTAGAAAAAGGATTTGCTCACTGTATAGATGTTACAAATCAAATCCAGACATCTATGGTTTATTTTCCTGTTTGGGAAAAAGCTCCGAGCACAGTGTCCAGACTGCAGCTTCCACTTTACTTTCTGACCTGAGTGTATGTCCTCACACGTCTGCACAGAACATAATAATAGTCACTGTGATATTCTGTAGACAAATCCACGATACTGATTTAAAGCTGGGCGACCTTTTCTTTCTTTTTAGATAAATTATAATTGTGTTTGTCTCAAAGTCTTGGAAAATGATTGTGTGTAGAAAGCTCATTATCTTTTGTATACTTGTAAGAAAGAGCCCCGAGCTGAGAATGATCCTCTGTTTTTTCCCCTCTTTATATAAATGTTTCTGTTTATTTAACCAGGAAAGTCCCATTGAGATTAAGAACCTCTTTTTCAAGGGAGAGGAAAAATATTTTGAGAGATAGTAATATTACTAAAATGGATTGTATGACATTGCTTTGTTTCTATTTTGCAGTTTGAAAGTTATGGCACCCCTGCTTAAAGTCGCTATCAAATTATACACACTATATGCCAACTAAAAAGTCATCACCATTCAGTTTTGTTTTGCCATGAATGAATAAAATTTTGAATCTGCTGCGTGTCCAGAGAAATACTTTACTTTATTTGCTAAAAACATGTTTCAGTTATAACACATTCTGTCTGGAAATGATCGTCACGTAGAGATGGGGGTTTTGGTGAGCGCATGAGGTGTTGTCCTTGAACCAGGCTCAAAACAAGAACATTTCAATTGACTTTTGAATTTTTTCATATATTTTCTTTTTGTCCGTGCATAATTGTTGACATCTTCTCCTCCATCACTTCGTATTGAAAACCAGTGCTTATTCTTTCGCTGTTTGTTGAAGCCAAAAAGCATCGTGGTGTCCCTGGATTCACCAAATGCAGTTCTTGTTGTCGGGGAAGCAGTTTTAAATTAAAGCCGGCGCTCTCACAGATGGCGGATGTGGCAAAGATATGAGGTGCTAATGATCGAGTCAGGTGGAGGAGCCGATGGAGACACAACTCAACGAATGTGCTCTTCCAACCGGAATTTAGAAACAGTTTTTGAAGATTTTCTGCATCTTTCTTAGTAAAAGTCCATGCCAGAAGTTCTCCATAGATGGTCAGTCTATACATCAATAATATAACATAATAAATTAGTGGGTCCATTTGTTTTTCGAGGTGCGTTTTAGTCCTCAGAAGTGACATCGATGTCGTCTGAGCTGGACTGTTTGGTAGCCATGCGCCATCTGTTAATATGGTGGTTTCCTTTCTTCTTCTGCTGGCTCTCGGGTCCCTCCTCCTCCAGTTTCTGACGCTTGTATTTGGTCCGTCTGTTCTGGAACCACACTTTCACCTGAAACATGCGGAGATGACCGGGTTAGAATAATGCAACTATTGTGAAAGCAAGAAAAGCTGCACATTAAAAGGTGACTTATTTAGGGAGTTAATTTTTTTCTTTCTTTCAATATTTCTCTTATGCTTGCATTCCACCAAGAAGACGTTGGTTTAGTAATTGCAGCTTATTACAACTAGACGTTGTATGGAGCTGGTTACAGTGTTTGCTGAACTCTGAACACAAGAAACGTCAAATTCTATTTTATGAAATGTGAATGATTATAAAATATAGATTTTTAAAAATCTAATGGACAACAGCTTCACTGTGCTGTGGCACAGTGAAGCTATGGCCTCTCAGCAGGTCCTGGATTTGACTCAGACAGCATGCGAGTGGAGTTGCATGTTCTACCTGTGTCTGTGTATAGGTTTCCTTCAGGTGTTCCGGTTTCACCAGTAAACACATGTAAGGGACGGATGGTACAGATGATGGGCACAATGCACTCATTTTTCTGAATCCAAAAGAATTGTAAACTCTATAAAAACATTTGCAGCACATATTTTGTATTTTTTTATTTCAAAGTCTTAGTATTAGTTTTTCACCTGGAATGACTTGTACATTTGCACCATGCAAGTATCAAGTTATTCAGGTGTGTTTTATGTGGTTAAAGTTTAAGCATTCAAGTTGAGGTGAATAAAACCTCAACTTGAATGCTTTCATTGTTGATTGTTTTACTAAGATAAAACAATCTCAGTAATCATGTTTTATTGTGGTGATAATATAACAATAATAATAATAATACCAAACATACAAGTTATTATTGTTGTTGCTATTTTGTTTTTTATTTTTATTTTTATTTACTATAATTATTTTAAGACAGGCATGTGAGAGTAAGTTTTAATGGGCGGCTGTGTCTTCCTCAGTCCTCATGGACTCTCCGCGCACATGTCGGTCCCGGTCCCCGGCTCATGGTCTCACCTGGGTCTCGGACAGGCTCAGGCTGTTCGCCAGTTGCTTCCGCTCCGCTCCCACCACGTAGTGATTCTTGTCGAAGGCGCGCTCCAGGCGCAACAACTGCGAGGGCGAGAAGGCCGTGCGGATGCGCTTCGGCTTCCGTGCGAACGGCCCGTGGAGTAGCAGACTGTCCTGGGACATTTCACTGCCTGAAAACAAACAGTTAACATGAGATCTATGTTTCAGAGCTTTAGAATGCACAGAAATGATAATGACCTCTAAAGTCCAGACAGTAAATGGATGAGGAAAGTTTAGGTCCTCAAAAAATACAATAGGTCTAAAATGATTTTAAGTGGGATGTCATTAAATTATATTAAAATGTATTGAATTAAATCCCACAGTTCATTTGGAAACAGACCTCGGTCACCAGAAATTAAATAATTCTCATTCCAATATTATGGTCATGATCCCTCATCACAAAGTCAATTAGGAATGAAATGCGAATACGTCGTTCAGTTTCGGAGATGGTCTGAATGTGTGTCAATTTTTATTCATTTATTTGTTTCATTGAATTTTTAATGCAACTTGCATTTAACTCTTTTAAATCTAAATTTATTTTTAAGCTGGACATGGCCAAGAAGTCACCACGGTGATGCATTATGCCGAATATAAAGGCACATTGGCACATTCAAGTTACTTCCATTGTCTTTCATAATTTATTTAAATTATAACTTTTGAATATTATAATTATATTTTATATGTAATTGTTTTTTGTTGTTTTTTGTTGTTTTTGTTGTATTTTGAAAATATAAAATGTGTTTGTATTGGTTAGTCATTATGTTTTAATGTAAAACAAATGTAACAAGACATTTGTTGATTTCGTTATTGTGAATAATTTTAAGCCAATAACTATATTTTGGTAAAACGACAATTCAATTATTTGTAATTGTCTAAAATCATTTGAATGGACTTCTGTTTAATGTATTCCAAAGATTGTTTTTGTTGTCATTGCTGCATTAGTTCTTTGAGAGTCAAAATAGAACATAAAGACTTAAATTTCGTACAATGTGTGTTTCCCCAATATATATCATGCTGGAGTGGGATAATTTTAGGATCTTGCCGTTTTAGATAAAACACACGTTTGAAAACAGAATATTTCTCAGCGCTCACCTTGAAAGCGGTGTCCAAAGAAGCGGTTGCGCAGGACCCAGGGGTAGAAGTGCAGCGGGTCGCGGTGCTGGGAGCTGAAGAAGTGCGGGTGCTGCAGGTGCTGATGCGGCCCCACACTGAGGTGATGCGCTGCGGACTCCGGGAACAGCAGCTCTGGGCTCTGGTACAGTGGCCGGGCCGGGGCAGGGTGCTGATAGCCCCCCATGAGCGCCTCTGCCCCGGGTTGAGAAGGGTACGAGAGCGCCGTGGGCCTCAGCGGCTCCTCTGCCACCAGCGGACTGTCTTTGGCCACCAAAGACTCGATGGTGAAGCAGCGCTTTCCCGCGGACGAGAACATTGCGTGTTTGAGTTTTCGGTCCAGAAAAGGCGGACTCAGAGCTTCATCCCACACTCTTCAACGGAACATCCTCTGAGCCCGGGATGCGCTCTGCTGGTTTTGTTCTCAGCACCTGACGCTGCGCATGGAGACATCTGATTGGACCAGAGCAGCTGCCAATGCGAGCCAAACCTCCTCTGGTCTTTCCATTAAACTCATGTCCGACTAATGCTGGTGTTTTGAGGGAACAGGTGATGGGAACTTTCATTGCCAATTTGAGAAAGCAATAATCTAAATATTTCGCAACATGCATTGGTAAACATGTTTATTTCTCTCATAATTGATGCTCTACTGCATATTTTAAAGGGATTTTATAAGCAGGTTCACGAAACACTGTATGTAATTATACAGCTTACAATGAATGTAAGCTGTATAATTGCATTTCAGACTCTCAAGTTGTTATGGCATAAAATATGCAGGTGCACCTTCAAATCCCGCGCGTAACGCGCGCTCATGTTAACACAAAGGTGTCGTCACAAGACACTTACACCTCATTAAACACTTTAAACACATCTGTAAACCAGGCTGTGTTCCAGAGCACATTATAATCATTTAGATTAACAAGGGCTCCTTCAAGGTAAAGAGACAGTTTTATTGTGCTATTCAATATCGGTCCTATATCCGTTGGAGAAAAGGGGGAAAAGAAATTACGCACCGAAAATATAGGCATTACACAATGTTTAACGTTGACAAAATAACAAATTACTGGCCACTTTCTATGGGCCCATGGGGTGTTGTGGGGAAAAGACTAAAATACATAGGCTCATGTTTGTTCGTTACACGCTTGAACAATAACCTCTCAAGGCACCCGGCCGGGTTTGTCCGTTTCTTTCCCGTGAGCTGAGAGTTCAGCGGGAGGAAACGACGTCTCTGTCCCACGGCGCACTAACCAAGTCAATCATTACCACGTTAATAAGGTCGTTTGTGCGCGGGCTGCATTAGAAAATCATTACCGATGGAAATTATGAGCTAAAACAAGTTGTTTATTAGGCTTTTAGAGCTAAAGGCTCCTAAAGACAGACACTTCTTTGAAACCAACCTTGAAAGACTTCTGCGAATTAGACTTTTACTCTCTCCTTCGTTAAGTCATAGCGGACAAATTAATTCCAATTTAATTAGAATGGACTATTGATAACCGGTGTGAAACTATTACCAACTAAAACTAACTCAATATTTGTGCCATAACTTTTGATTCATATAGGTTTTATTTTAATTGAATTACGTTGCCATAATTAGAGATAAGGAACAAGACATTTTGACTCGACCTTTCGCAGAGAATAAAAGCTGCCTGGTCAAATTAAATGTCCGTCACTATGCGGTGCGTTTAATGGGTTTGATGTTTAAGTCAGTGCATCTCTGTGGAGGCCGAGACAGTTTGTTTAATGACGAATCCTGCGCGCCTTTACGCACTGACCCTGATCCCTGCTGGTTAATGGATGCACAAATGGCACGGCACGAACAACAACAAAGCCGTGTACTGTTTACCTCCGGGCTGGTAATTGCCTCCAACACACTACTTTTACTTTCTTTGGCGCTACATCAGAAACATAAAGCGAATTATTGAATTATTATGTGAAAAGTTGCCATTTACGGAATTATTTTGAGGTTGACATGGTTCAAGTTGACCGCAAGCGAGCTATAAAAACAAAGGGGGGATACCATTGCCCATTTTTTACTATAGGCCGACATGGAAATACGGTATGGCAATTGGTTTATGGATTTGCTAATTATTTGCCGTCCTTCTTTTTTTGCTGACTGCAGGAAATTTTCACTGAAAATGATCATACAGGCAATCCATAGCTGCCTCTAAAGTACCAGGGGAGAAGTGGATCTTCAACATATATTTTGAATAAGTTACTGAGAAAAATGCTACACGAAAGACTGCTGAATTCGGTGTTGTGGTACCTTCGGTAAAAGTCTGCCACAAGAAAAAGCTATGAGTGCTCTAAACAACATGGCTGCCAACCTGTGTGCAGTTATCTGTTATTGAGTTTATATAGTGCTATTGGATTACCATTGTGACAGCCTTTTGGTTATTTTTTTATTATACAAAAAATTTAAATGAGTCTGTCCTTATTCTATATTATTACATGAATGAATTAATGAATATATAGATTATAAATTTTAATATTTGTTTTGTGTAACTTGTCTCTATATGTCTCTGTTAAATTATGTCAATGACATATGTAAAGTACATTTTCAAAAAGGGTTATTAAGGGCACACAAGTTGAAACGTATAAATAAAATAGAGAAACTGTCAAAAAATGCATCACATTCAAGTTAGTGGCGCCCTCTTGTGGGACAAAGCCTAAACTGTGAAAAGCCACGCTCTCCACGATTGTTTTATTGTTTTATTTTATTTTTAGCTATTTTTTAACTCTTTTTATTATCACAACTATTGCGGTATTTATTATTATAAAATCCTAATTATTGTTATTATGATTGATATTATTGTTGTCTGCTGACTGTCTTCTTTTTTCTTCTTTTTACAAGTTTGATGTATAGCCAGTAGGCCAATGTTAAATGTTAATGATCGTCCAAAATCCATAATCATTGATACGGTCAAGTTTTCTGAGTAATTTAGTAATATAGTTATGTAATTACTCAGAAATAAGGATATGCTTCGAACTAATAAAGGCTTTCCCCTACAGTCAGTTTGCCCCCCATGTTTCCTCTACCGAATCGTTTTGCCAACACAACAGCCGCCTCGTTGGCCAATGCTCCCCTCTAGTGGTGACTTTATGGGACAGCATGTCTTTAAAATGTTGCGTGTATACTTACGTACGCGTAGTATCTTGTATCTATCCTAATGTGCTGTGGGGGCATATGATCCAGAATATTGGCCAATAGACGTAGTAAATAAATAGCCTGCAATCACTTCTTAAACCTTAAATCATGCAACTGTAAGTTTGCGGTGTTTAGCCTTTAATGTGTGAAATGATAGGGCTGATCCGGGTTCTTCAGTCCTTCATTAATAAACTAATTGGTCATTTTGTTTCACATTAGCGTTGTGTGTTCAGGTAATCTGTTCGCCTCATTATAACAAGATGGCGAAAGTAGCACGTGAGTGTGTTTGTGCCACGTGCGTGACAAGTGGCGTCACTCAAGACACCTGTGAGACACATTCCCGCTCCCCATAATACTAAGTTACTAATAAGTTACTATTACTGCTACTACTACTACTATACTGGTACGTCTACTGTTGCCGCTACTGCTACTATTACTACTACTCCTCGGTTACTGCTAGCCAACAGTATGACTTTATTGCTGGCCGACGGTAAGTCCAATATCATTTGAATGTGAACACTTTTTGAACCCCATGAAGAGAAATCTCATCTTGTCTTTGCTAATCGATATCTACAAACTAAACAATAGCAATAGCCTTATAGATTAGGAAACAGAAACGCGAGGCTGATCTCTGTTACCTGTGTCATGTTTCTGAATAGCGTGTGAAACAGCAGAGTTGTTTTGTTTCCTCCGTTACTTTTCTTAAATAGCCCTAACGCTGGACAGGAGGATGATTTGTTCACTCAGCCCGTGTCTGAAGCTTTTGTGGCTTGTTCAGGAGCAGACAAAGAGCAGGCCCCACTTCAAACGCTGTAATGAAAGCTAATGACTATTAGATGGAGTAGGGCCCTTGTTGCTTCTACAAATACCACACAATAAAAGGAAGCTGGAGGAGTGGGCAGCACTGCTCTCTCACATTGGATTCACTGCTCTCCATGAGAACTTTCACACCTCCATTGTCGCCGTTCCTAATATCTGACCCTTGCAGTAATAAGTGGATTGGTATTAGAGTTTTATAAGTATATTTTACACTTCACAGGGGCCTTTTTCCCATGATAGCTTTTTATTAGAGATGGCATATTTAACTTTTAAACCACACAAAATGCAATGTTCTATGTAAAAAAGTATATCTAATAGTTTTCACATGCTCTGTCACACATTTTATTAGTTCACAAAATTTGACTTTTACATTCAATGAAAAAGTCTTTAAATGTCAATCATATTTCTTGTGCTTCACTTCAGGCATTCAATTAATGAAGAAGGCCTGTATAGCTTAGATATATGTTTATATACAATTCCTTTTTTATTTTAAGGGTCAACAGTGGCTCAGTTGGTAGAGCATTAGCCTTAGAGCCTGATGGTCGTGGGTTCGAGCCCACCACGAGACCTACTTCACGACTCCCACTGATGACTGCTGTCGCTGTGTCCTTGGGCAAGACACTTAACCCCACTTTGCCTGAAGCCCCTGCTGAATAATGCAGGAGGATCAGTGAGGGGCTGATGCTCTGTGTACTGGGTGCATCTCTGACTGCCACCCCCCCACCAGACCCAGAAATGGATAAAGGGGAAGAAAATGAATGGATGGGTTTGAGGTGAAAATTAATCGCTAAAACCATTTCTTGTTGTTGAGATACTTCTTATTCTTATTATTATCATATTGTGGAAGATTACAACTAAAGGAACAACAACTTCCCGGAGGAGGACCTCCTTTAGGACGAGTACTAGTATTACCTTCACAGTAATGATGTTTGTTCATACTTTCATCAGCGCCATATATAGTCACTTCAAGTGAAGGCCATTATATTAGTCTTATTGGTTCATGAGTCAGATATTGGAGCTTTAAATTTCTCTTTACCAAAGTACCAGTAAGGAATGACAACTTGGGCTTGATGGTTTTCACTAGATGAAGTTGTCAATAGACCTAAGCTTCCTTTAGGCCTGCAGAGAACCTTAACAAACCTGTCTCCAGCCGTTCAGCTGCCACTCTACTAATTGGGACGAGGAGCCACTGACCCCCTCCTCCCGGGACACTCAGGTTTTCCCAGAGCTCTCGCTGCTTTTCTCTGTTTGTCTGTGGGATTACATGGAGCTGCCAGGACAAGGGGGTTTAGGTAATCAGAAACGGCTCCCAGCACAAACTGTGGCCGGGGGCTAGTGACTAGACCTTAGTGAGTCTTCATTGAATGCACATGTATGAGTGTATACAGTAAAATTACACTGACATCACATGTATTTTCAGATTTGTAGTATATTTTGTTCATGATCAATATAAGAAGGAAAAAATACTAAAATACATTTCCTTGAAAAGGTATTCATAGACCAAGACATAGTTCCCATTTTGTCTTGTTATGACTGCATAAAATTCAATAAAAACAAAGTGATAAAACAACGGCAAGAGCAAAATGACGCACAAGATTCTTGCTTCAGGGTCTAGAGCATATGTGGTGGTGGAAGCTGAGCCAACACCATAATGATTCCTCCACTGATGAGGTTGTGATGGGAGGAGGTGGGTTGCTAGATGAACAGCTTCTTGATGCAGGGAGAGATGCATTGATAAGCTGATGAGCCCAGGGGTGTGACTGTGCAGCTTTGTTTTTATTAAATAAATAAAAAACAAACAGACACCTTTTCTCAACCAATGGTCAACGCTGACGCTCTAAACTCATGCAGATCGGCTCTAAGTAATATAATTTCAGCATTATTACAGCTGTGATGGATTATTTATTAAAATAATATTGGTCTATACAATACATTCAAGAAGTCAAGCAGGGGACATATTCAACATTTGAAAGAAGATACATATCAGACCAAAATGTAACTTATTTGGCTCAATGCATAACATTGTAAGAAAACTCACACTATCCCCACTGTCAAACCTGCCCTAGCATCGGGTCAGGGCTGCTTTTCTTCAGCAGTTACATGGAAGAGTGGAATAGTTGGATAGTGGACGGTGCAAAATATAGAGCAATCAAGGAAGAAAATTGTTTGGCGTGTGCTGGATTTCACTAAACCTTTTCTTACAATAGAGAAGTTTTTAACAAATACAAATTCACAAACGTTTAACTGATTGGGGCTGAATGCTTTTGCAAGCTATACTTTTATTTAAATAGAATAAGATCTACAGGTGGTAAATGGCATTTATGTTGATATGTTATATTTGTCTGTCTTTGAAAACAGTGGTTGACAAAATGCAACAATGGACAGCCCGAAGCAGGGAACCAGGGTTCTTCAAGCTTGTGGAAAATCACAGAACTTCCTGCATGGACATTTGGATTGCATGCGGTGAAGGTCAGTCAAATGAATCCAGTGGAATGAAAAATGTTGGACAAAAAAGAATATCGAGCCTATCTTTCTGTATTTTCTTCCTTCCTTTATTCAGTGTAGCCACATACAGTATCTTGCAGAGCTTTGATATGGCTTAATCAGATTGCCTTGTTTCACGAGAGGCTTTGGGCTGAGCTACATTGCTTCACAGTGAGCTGCTCTTCATGTAGAAGTGTTTTGGTTTGGTGGATTATGTACTGAGCTTCAACAAAGGTTTGTTTTAAGACAGGATTAATAAAAGAAACCAACTCAGCAAGAGATATCTTCAGGCTCAAAAGTCTCTCGGCCTTCAACTACTTATGCTCATTTTTGGAGTGACAATAAGTCATGTCTTTTCTACAATCAGATCAGTAGTGAAAGTGTGTTAGTTTGTCATTTCATATAATGTATACTGGTAATCTGCTACCTCCTCCCTGCGTTTAAGGAGAAGGCCAACCGTTACCTTAATGTAGCTACTCTTCTTTTCTGATGAAGCAGAAAAAGCAATGGCAGAATGAAACACATCTAAATGTATCACATATAGTGGAATTAGGATTTAGGGATTAAACATAAACCTTCTTTGTTTAGCGTTAGCCACAGGAAGGAGCTTTGAGGTGCACCAGGCCAATTAGCTGCTCTGATGGACTCATTTGGCACATCCCAATCCTTTCACCACGCTGGATTCAGACCGCTTCATCCAGTCTGCCAGACGGAGTAACAATGTGGAAGAGGACAGGACACCTGCCTATAGTGAGCGGGCAATTGTGACCTTTTTTATTATTCACAGCATTGATAACATGCGTAGTGGCCATTTAAAGATAGATTATACACTGACCAGACAGACTGACCACTGCCTCCTGAAGTTACAGGCTCTTCTAATCCCAGTAATGCGGCGTCCTTCGGACACAGGTTTGGCAGTGGTTGTAGAAATTAGGTCATGCAGATTAATTACACTTTGGGATTGCATAAGACAAATAAAATGTACACCTTTTGAAAAACTATTGAGTTAGATCATATCAAAGATGCAGATGTTGTCATTCCCTACTGTCTTTGAATTATACAGTTATTAATTAAAAGTTTATTTTCATTATGTATGGTTGTCCAAACTTGGTTATGCACAATTGCCCAAAATGATTAGTTAAAGGGCTTAAATGGCCAAACATGTTGGTCACATAAAAGTTCAATCTGCTATAAATACATGACTACATTTTTCATTGTTGTTGTGGAGGTTGTTCTTTGAGCAAATATGCCATTGCTCCACCCTGGCTCCTGTAACCACCACCAAGCTTTGTTTTTACTGCGGTTACTTTCTGAATCTGATGTGGATAATTCGACCAGCGTTGCACAGGCATTGTTGCTCAGTGGAGAGAAGAAAACATCTGATGTGTGATGGAGCAGAGCCTGGAGGGGCTTTGATGTAAACATCCACTGACTATGCAGATTCCAAATGTCAGCACCCAGCGAGCCTTGGGTGTCTTGTTTCAGATACCTCCTTGACACCCAATGTACATTTGTCTGAGTGTTCCAATAGGAAGAGGCCCGGAAGTATGTCTCTGCCCTGTGTACACATAAAAATCCAATAGGATTGCACTCCATACAGTATCTAACTATATGATTTTTAGTTTTTTGTATCAACTTGTTTCAAAATTTGTTTGTAGTTCAGTGTTGTTTTAAGTAGAACTATGGTTCATGTTTCATGTATTCATTTGTACACTCATACTGTGCATGTTGGTATTTTAGAACATGGTTTTGGTTTAATTTGTTTAGGTTAATCAAATAGACAAAAGTTCTTAGTGTAAAAATATATATTTCTCAATATTTCATAGAAACGTACAAAACATCAAGTAAGCAATAAAAGTACATATTAAATAAAACTATAAATCTATTAAATAGTTGATGTGTCACTATATACAAAGTCTTTGGATCAAATCAGCTGTGATCAATGCAGTCGTCTGAAACATCGATATCAACATCAGAGGAGTCTGAGAATCCGCACTCGTCTCCATGGCCCTGGGAGCCGGGGCTCTGCGGGGGTGCCAGGCCCAGTTTGGCCAGTTTGGCCTGTTGCTGCTCCAGACTCTGTTTGCGCCACTTGATGCGTCTGTTCTGAAACCAGACTTTGACCTGCGCCTCTGTGAGCTGCAACGCGGAGGCCAAGAGGAAGCGCTCTGAGCCGACCATGTACTGCTGCCGGGCGAACTCCTTCTCCAGCCTCGACAGCTGCTCACTGGTGAAGCTGGTGCGCATGCGCTTGGATTTGCCTCCTTTGGTTTTGTAGGGGTGCAAACTTGAGGTAATTTTAGACATCTGAGCTGAAAATACAAGACGGATGAGATGATGAACATTTTAGCCAAATACAACATCAAGACATATAAAAAAGGAACTAGAACCGACCTTGTGCGTAAAAGCCGCTGCGGCAGGACGTCCCGTACGTGTATGGGGGGCAGCAGTACACGGAATATCCAGGCTGCGTGTGGACGCTTGGCTGCAACACGCTGTGAGAATAGGCGTAAGGACCTCCGGACACCGCTCCAGTGAGAGGCAAGATGGGAGCGGGGTATTTGACTCCGCAAGAGACAGGACTAGTCCGGTCACTGTTCGGGAGAGGGTCCGGTTTAGCCAAAAGCGCGTCAATTGTAAACGATTTCCCAGGAGCCGGTTTTAACGGCGCAGAGCAGGTGTGGCTCTGGTAGTAGATGGGAGCGTATCCGTGAGCCTGCATCCTGAGGCAGACTCCAAAAGGTGAAGTGGGTAAGTTAGCTGCGGTGGAAGTCGGTCGCTCTGAATCTGGGCTCTGAATGACTTGGAAGCAGGACCCTCCCTTTTTATAGTTCGCCCGGACGCAGAGGTGTCAACAGCCCCCCGCCGCACTATTGTCTTTCTAAGTAGCACTTGTGAGAGGTGCACATCCCGACAACGTATCCAATTAATTGGTGGAGAGGTAGTACAAGCTGGGATAGTCAAACATCCTCCGCCTTTGAGTGTCCCCTAAGCTTTTGTGGAGACTCAAGGAAAGGGGGGCAAGGGATTTATTGGGCTACAAATTCTTTGCATGGATCTTAAATCCAAATGCAATCATTACCGCTGAGAAACCCTTGATGTGACCAAATCATCTTAGCTTCTCGTTTCTTTTAAGTCGTAGATGCTCTCAGGAGCGTGACCGTGGGCTTATGCAGGCCTATATCAGCTTTAACATACCGCGGGGGCGCTTCCCCGCATTTCTCTCAGCCTGTTGCAAATAAAGAATCACTCTTTTACGCAAACAGTCCATAATCTTTTTCCTGTATCGAATCAGCGTGTCTTTTAGTAGAGTGTGTCTTTTAACAGCAGCCGTGTGGCTTCTCAAACTTTAGGCCGTAATGTAGGCGTGAAAGCTGGCGGCTGCGTTTAGAGGTGTCTGCCCTTCACGCCATGTCCATCTCTGCGTAATCCACCCGTGATCCTCTGTCGGGAGATAGACCTACATGGTGTTTAAAATGCTTACCTCTAAAACTATAGATTAATCAGTCTTTATCGTAGAAATAACCGAAATAACACTGATAAGTGCTGTAAAGCGGTGAATGGTCGCGAGCAAACCCTGCACCTGTGATTTATTTGTTTATATTATTATTAGTTATAAATATATGACGTTTGAACATTTCATTGGCATTAGTTGCTATTTGATGCAACATTTGTATCAATGTTATTGCATTAGAGGGTATTGCTGTAATATTATCATATAGAGAAATTCTGTACATGCCTCAGCAAAACCCTTATGAAACCCGGTTCTGGTAGTGGACTTTTTGACTTTGGCTAAACACAATAGACACCCACAAATGAACTAGATACAAATCTTGGAGTTTTTGTATGAAACCCTTTTGTGGATCAAAAGAGAGAGAGAATGTTGGCTTGAACAATTACAAATTTGAATTAGAGAAAGGTGTAAATCGTTCTCCTGTCAATGGGTCAGTCAGCCAGGGTCGTTTTGATCCAGACCGACGCTTGCCCTAAACTGGGCATGTCTCAACTTGCGCCTATTATGTTCCGTTTGTAATAATTATCGAATAATTGTACACGTCCGCATTGACATCTGTCTACAAGCATAAAGCTCAACTGTCACCGTGAGGCCGCGGGTTTGTTGCCCGTGTTTTGAAGTTGGCGGAAGTAATTTGCTTCTTACAGCATCGGGACAAAGCGCCACTTTCTTTCAACTTGGATTATTGCCAGCTCTGCAAACTCCGCGGCTCATTTCCATCGTTTGTGAAGCTGCTGAGATGCGTTTGCGTCCCTTTAAGTAACTGTTAAAACACATTTAAAGCACGTAGCGAGTCCCCGGTTCCTTTGACCGTATCGGGCCCTATTTATTCACAAGAGAATGTCTAATGAAGAGAGCAAACACAGACTATGTTGAGTCGCTCTCTACAGAGACCACCCACTCGAGACGTTGTTTACTGCTCAGAGGGTCATATTCAGGTGGCGACCAAGTGCAATAACCCTGACGTGATTGACCCATGCGTCATAGAAATGCAGGACCTGGCCTTGTTTTTGCCACTTATCTGTAGATCTCTATACGTACACGTATAATTATTGCAAATTGCCTTCCTTATTTATTTCATTAATTATTTTGTCCTTTGGGCACGTGTTTAGGCAGGATTTGTGTTAATGTGGACAAAGACAAATCCAGCCTTAAAATAATTAATTAAGACAATGTTATAACTCTAATGTGTGTTTAGGTTTCACATTAATAAAACGGTGTTAAGTGGCCATAAAATTACTGCTTGGAGTAGACTATCAAATTGATTTAGGAGATAATAAATCCAAACACAGCTGGGCAAATTTTCTGAAAAGTTAAATGTTTTAAACGTTTTTGTTGACTTTCTTGGTCTGGTTCGGTTCAAAATTCTACTTGAATTCCGACTTGAAAACCGAAAAAGTGTAAGTGTAAGATCGCCTGACTTATGGTTTATTTACTTTTTATTTTATTCTAGCGGGAGTAATAGACCAGGGGTGTCAACTCATTTTGGTCAGGGGCCGATTAAAAAAATTGGAACTGGTCAGGGGCCGAAACCATAGAAGAGATTTCCTTTTCTCAATATAGTTTTTTTTACATTATGAAGATATTTTAACATGACTTTAATGTGACATGAGTTTCGCTGTTATTTTCTGGTATATTTTTCAGAAAACAATGCATTTATTGTTTAGATTGAACCAAAACTGGATCAAATATAAAGTAAAAACTTTTTATATTGAACTATTTCACTTCCAATGATCTGTAATTGGGTTAAAATTTACATTCAATTTGGTTGTTTTCCGGAGAAAAATAGATGATGTATAACCTGCCTTGGTCACCCATTACCATCAATGCTGCTAGTTAATTTAAAATTTTTGTTAATTTTGTCTTGCCCCCGGGCCTTGACTTTGACGCCCATGTAATAGACTGTTTGGGCTTATATCCTGGTCTCAGCATCTTTCCAATGTGACCAACTCTTTCACTGTTCCAGGCTGATGCTGTATGGACCACTTGTGTATTGAAGCCAGACAAGGAATACACGGATGCATCAAGGAGGCCCATTCATAGTCAAAGAGAGGCCCATCGTGGTCCTAATAGCTCCATGGGCCACCCTTCTCTAAATGAGCGCCTATTCAAGCAGAAGCAATCGTTCACTTCGGTCGTTCATGCTGATAGGTAATGGTTTGATAATAAGGCTTAAAACTTTGACTTCACAGAAAATCTGACTAATAAGGGTCTTTTGATATCTCTAATGAAAAACATTTGAATTTCAAATAAAAATTAATTTCAAAGAATTGTGAGATTTCATAACACTTTGAAGCAACTTTTGTTAAAGTTAAACTCATCATTCTATCAATGTGCAGAAGCCAGTACTTTTCCCTTGTTTTGTCTATCTGAAGGCCAAGCTACAAGCACACCGTGGCAGCTGCTGATTGGAGGTCTCCATGCCTCTGCTCTGTATAATACACTTGCATTCTATTGTATCTGTGATCGTGTGCTTTGTTCGTGCTGTCTCTACCATTGACAATAAAACATGTCTTCTGTCTGAATGTAAGACGCGATCCCAGACTATGCCATCTTCTTCAGAATGACTTTTAAAAAAACATGCTGCTATAACCTTTCTTTGGTAATTTATTAACTTGCATGCCAATTCTGTCTTTTCATTATTTTGTTGTTGACTAGCATAGAAAAAACATTTTTGCCTGGTAAGACCAGGCTAATCCAGTAAGCTAAGAGTTTAAATAACATTGTGCAAGTTGATAGTGGAAGATGTACACATTATGGACAATGGCCTTCATTTAAAAGGCAGAAGTGAAAGCTCACAGTAATACAACTTGACTGAAGGATCAAAGTGGTCATTTACAGACAGTGGCGGCTATAAACATTTTGTCAGAGAACTTTTGTGTGGCTGTCATAGTCTTGAGCAGATCTACCTCAGCTCTTAGTTCACACATGAGTAAACCAAACAAAAGCAGCGAAACACTGTAATCATTATTATGACTACGCTGAAAAGGGGTCAGTCTTCTCGCCTGCTCGACACTTTTAACGGCCACTGTCCCCCGCACCTCTCCTGTATATGCATCTCTAATGACTTTATGAACTTATGTCCTATTGGCTTGTATATAGTGTTGTGCTGTGGACCTCACCTAGACTATGAATGGGCTTCAGTGGATAGGCAGGTACTTTCTGTCTGCCTCCAATCCACATCCACTACACCTAACACTCACTGCTAAGTACAGAAGACTCTTTTTTTTATTTTTTTTTATTAAGACAACAACTTCAAGAGAGACATCATGCATCTGGACCAGCACACTCTGTTTATCTGGTTTCAAATCAGGCCTGCTGTAAGCTGCTGAGAAATGGACAATACCATCGTCCACTTTGCATGGGCAGAATTTACTACCACTGAAGGAGTGGTGGTGAACTGGTGAATGAAAGCCACCTCAAAGAAGAATTCACACCCCAGCACAAGAATGAAATTCAACCTGAAGAAGGGTTAAAAAGTGTGAGAGACACTTTTCATAGTCCAACTACCAATGGACTAATTAAGTAATTTTTTCCCCTAAAGGTGTGTGAGATTTCATAACACTTTTAAGCAACTTTTGTTGAAGTTAAACTCATCATTCTATCAATGTGCAGAAGCCAGTACTTTTCCCTTGTTTTGTCTATCTGAAGGCCAAGCTACATGGCACCGTGGAAGCTGCTGATTGGAGGTCTCCATGCCTCCGCTCTGTATAATACACTTGCATTCTGTTGTATCTGTGTTCGTGTGCTTTGTTCGTGCTGTCTCTACCATCGACAATAAAACATGTCTTCTGTCTGAATGAAAGACGCGATCCCAGACTTTGTCATCTTCTTCAGTAGTTTTATGCCCACATAAGTATATCAAAGAACCTCTGTCTGCTGATTCCTTCTGTGAAGCAGACCATGGTTGTCTGAAACAGTGAAATTTGTGCAGAAATGCTTCATGTAAAGTGCAAGACAGGAAAAACTGAAGTTTTTTGATTTTTGTTTGTTTGATTAAGTTCCATCCTTATCCCTGTTGTCTTACATCAATTCTGTTTCACCCACCCAGTTTAAGCCCAAATGACACTGATTTCTACATGTAACGAGCTGAGGCTCTGACTGTGTGTGTTTGTATTTCCATGTGAGAGTGGGAGGATGGCCCTGTCAGAGCAGAACATTTACATCGACACCGTTTTGTCCCATACAAACTGCTCTCTGTATCATTCAAATACATTGGCCCTCAGTCTATTATTATAATGAGTCCATGTTATTACCAAACTAATTAGGGATTAGCCTCCCAAGAGCAGGTTTCTGTCCTCAACCCAGAACCCTGTCCCAGGAACAGCCTGTTTGTGTATTGGACTGTCTGACATCGGGGTTGTCAAAGAGTAGAAAGCAAGTGAGGCCTTTTAAACATTTCTACTGGTGCAAAACACATTTTAATGATAATAAGGATGAAAAATAATAGGAATGTATAGTAGAATGATATACTATAGTAGAATTATATACTATCTGCACAGCCCCTGATTCCAACCAGGCCTGCTCTAAGCTGCTGAGAAATTGACAATGCCATCATTCTCAATTGCATGGACATAATTTGAAACAATTTGGATTTCTGAATTTGGACATTAAAGCTGAAACGCATGATTGAAAGACACGTCACAGAAGAATTCACAACTCGACACGAATTAAATACAGCTTGAAGAAATCAACAGGAAAGTGGGAAAGACTGTTTTTGAGAAATATATGTCACTTGTTAGACAGCAAGTGATAATATACTCAGGAGAAACAGAGACCTCCAATCAGCAGCTGCCACAGTGCCAGCAGAGATAGTCAAAACAAGTAGTGGAAAAGTACAGGCTTCTGCACATTGGTAGAATGATAAGTTTAACTTCAACAAAAGTTGCTTCAAAGTGCTATGAAATCTCACAATTTCATAGCTGAATTCATCATCATTATAACACATGCGGGAGCAGGTACATTTCCACTGGAATGTTTTGGTTACCTCAAGGCCGAAGCCATTGGCATCATGGCAAATGCTGACTGGACTGTCTATGATTCTTCATGTGTAATAAAACTTGCATTGTGAGAATCTCTTGTTCATGTCTCATTGACAATAAAACATGTCTTCTGTCTGTTTGACACAATCCCAAACGTTTGTCATTTTTGTCATCAGCATAGGTGTTTGCTGATTTTTAAAATTAGTGTTTAGAAAAAATGTTTACTATTGTCTATTCCGGTCTTTTTCTCTGCTGCTAAAGTACAATATACACATCTGTAAATACTTCATGATGCTGCTGACTACAGTTTATACTCCACTATTGACTTATCCTTGAACCAAGTGCGATTATAGCACTTTGTTCAAGCAATTATAACAATTATAGCTCCAGAGTTTATTATCTTATTACTATATGTATTCTCTTAAATAATAGATCCTGTTTGATGTGTGCAAACTGAGTGCTCTTATTTCTTGTGTGGATAATCAACCACACAGAGATGGGATCTTTGTGCACCAGAGCTCCTGGAAGTTTATAGTTTCCTTCAGGTTTCAGTTGTTTCAGTTTTTTCAGTCGGAACATAATCAGGATATGGTTTATGTAGTCAACGTTTACGTCACATACGTTATATATGAAAAAAGTGTCACATCAAGAAATAACAAAACGGAAAGTAACAGGACATTGAAAGAACATAACGGACACACAATCATAGCAGATACGGTGTTAGTATTAGATAGCAATATGGCCTACGTGCAGGACTCTTCAAGGACTCCATGTTATGACTATGATTTGACTGTCTCTTTGTGACACGTATGTCTTTCGATGTGTGACGTGACAATGACTATATAAACTGTACTGCCTTTATTCTGTCTGGGAGAAGGAAACAAAGTAAACCAGTGGAACTTGAGAGAAACTTAAACTTCCAGAGTTTGGCGCACCACGATCCGTCTCTGTCTGCTAAATCCTCGACAGATTTGGTGGAGAATGCGCGGCTCAGTGTGCGCCATTCTCTGGATTGTTTTGAGGGAGTTTTCTTTGTTTCTTTTTCTCGGCGTGGGAGAGCTGAGAGTGTCTGGGGCCTGGGAGCGGTCCAGCAGGCTGGAGAGGCGACCGGCTCCGGGACTCTTTTTCGCTCTCTCACTATATTTTTTTTTGCACTGAGCGTTTAAAATTGTTTTCCCATGTCCACATTCCGGGAATTTTTGACGTGCGATTGGTCTCTGCCGATGGAAACTAGTTTCCGGTACTAGTGAGCGCTGGTTCATGATCTGGAGACCTGGTTGGACGTGGAAAAGCTGATATTTGGTGGACTTCTGACGGTGCCTGGCGCCCTGTTCAACAAAAGGTAAGAGCGGACACCTGTTTATTCAAAGTCTGCTAATTGAGTGAACTAAATTATGGTCTGTTTTGAGGTCTGCCAAATGTCATGTATCTATAGATCAGATTAGATTAAAAACAGGTTCGCTACCTGACGGGGTTAGAGTCCCTTTGAGAAGAAGTCTCGGGGTTAGAGTCCCTTTGAGAAGAAGTCTCGGGGTTAGAGTCCCTTTGAGAAGAAGTCTCTGGGTTAGAGTCCCTTTGAGAAAAAGTCTCGGGGTTAGAGTCCCTTTGAGAAGAAGCTTCAGGGTTAGAGTCCCTTTGAGAAAACGTTTTCGGGGTTAGAGTCCCTTTGAGAAAAGATAGAGAAGGATCCTTAGTGAAACCATGGTGTAAAATTAAAAGCAATTTTTAAAAAGGGAAACGTGTAAAGGAGGCCTTTTGTCACAAAAAGTTTTGTAATTAACCAATTCCAAGCTTGATAAATGACAAAAGTAAAGAAGCAACAATATTTCAGTGATCACGGTTTAAATTACATACAGAAAAAAGGAGTTTTTGTTTTTGGCGTGAACAGAGTTCACCGGGGAATGCAGAGTTTTATCTACAGTTGAGCTATGAGAGGGTTGTATCCAACAATTGTTTTTGTTTTTTAGAAAGAGATTTTGAGTTTAAACTAGTTTGCTACCTCAATAAAATAGAAGCGTAAGGGAAATTAAAAAGTTAGAGTAGAAATATGCCTTGACTCAAGCTGCAACCAAGCTTTAGAGCCACAATAGTGTAAAAATATAGAAATAGATAAATGCATCAACCATAAAATGGAGATTATTTGTAGCCAGTACTAATATCAAATGGTAAAGGGACCATTTCACAAGCATTTACTTCAAAAGTAGATAAAGTTAATTACAGTTTATGTACAGTTTTATTAGATACTTGTCAAAATTCACTTGTGTTCAAACATCTGTGAATGTTGACAATGCAAAAAGTCCATATGAGTGTAGTCTAGATTAATGCCTAGATCAATGAGATAGATTAGAACCAAGAGAGATTTAAAAGCATTTAGATGTATTTGGGTATAGCACAAAAACACAATAGTAGATATTTAGATATTGAGAAGTTTCCAGCACAAACACCATTGTAGAATAACTGACCCCAACCCCAAACCTGCTCAAATAGATTAGCTCTTGTAAGGATAATACTAATTTGATTATTGACCAAACTGCCTGAGAGGAGGAAGTGACATCACTTCCTGGTTCAACAAATGTATTTGGAAAACTGACCGCCATAATAATGTTAATATTAACCATTTGTCTTACTGTGTTCACAGTTTTATTCCTGAGAATGTAGAGTAGACATAGAGCAAAATCCCACTAACAATAAGCCACTGATGATGAAAGTAAACCACAGAGAGATTTATTAGTTTAAGAATATGGCTCAATAGAAGCAAATATACAAACATATTTGTAAATAGGGTTCCAGAATAGATTAGAATAGTTTTAAACTATAGTGAATAATGAAAGTAAAGTACACAGTCTAAGATTAAGTAGTGAAAACAATACAGTGAAGTGAAGTGTAAACAATTAGCATTAGAATAAAAGTATAGAGTAAGAAAAGTGAAATGAGCTTCTAATTTGAGACTCAGCTCGTTTTTTGTCTGTGTTTTGACTGAATCTGCTGAGTTCTTGTGTGTCCAATAGTGTTTGTTTGTTTTTATTTTTGATTTGTTTGATTTGTTTTTTTTTATTTTTGTTTCATTTTATTTTTTTCCCAGGATAGAGGATAAAATCCACTGACATTGATTTGATGATTATGAGTTTAATGCATACATTTTCTTTGTTTTTAATAATTTTTGAAAGTTTTTTTTTGGAATTTTTTTTTTCTTTTTCCACTTTATTGATTGATCGATTTGAGTGATCACATGTGATTATGTGATCAAAGGGGAGGGTGTTAGTATTAGATAGCAATATGGCCTACGTGCAGGACTCTACAAGGACGGTGTTAGTATTAGATAGCAATATGGCCTACGTGCAGGACTCTTCAAGGACTCCATGTTATGACTATGATTTGACTGTCTCTTTGTGACACGTATGTCTTTCGATGTGTGACGTGACAATGACTATATAAACTGTGTACTGCCTTTATTCTGTCTGAGAGAAGGAAACAAAGTAAACCAGTGGAACTTGAGAGAAACTTAAATAAACTTCCAGAGTTTGGCGCACCACGATCCGTCTCTGTCTGCTGAATCCCTGACAACACAATCGGGTTGTTGTGACCTGCGTAAGGCCAGATCACTTGTATAGCTATCTAATTCCCATGCCTTTTATTGACATACACACATGAAACTTCCCCGCTATGGGATGAATAAAGTTTTATCTTATCTTATCAATGGATAACTCTGCGCTGTGACGTAGCCCCACGCTAACTTTGTAAACTCACAAGCCGTTCAGCTTTCACCAGTACAGTAGTCATTTCAGACGTGAGAATAAACTTCTCCAGATCCCTCTGAAAAGAAAAGTCATGCTACATTGGGCACATTCCTCGTCTTTGAACCAAAAAGTGCGTCACAGATTTACACCCACTGACTTTTAGTCACTGACAATAGCAGAAGAACAGTATAGTTCCATGTGGTGGACGCAAGACCATACCAGGAGACACTGTGCGCGCTGATTCGTTGTTTAGATTTGACAATCACCTCCTGGATTTTATTATTATTTTGGAAAACAGACCACATTTTTTATATAAATTGTTTTCCCTGTTTTGACAACATTATTTTAGAACCATTTTAAACACTGCGTCATCCGCATCTTCGATGTTGTATTCGTCACAGATGTGTTCGTCACAGATGTGTTCGTCACAGATGTGATCGTCACAGATGTGTTCGTCACAGATGAGTTCGTCACAGATGAGTTCGTCACAGATGTGATCGTCACTGATGTGTTCGTCACAGATGAGTTCGTCACAGATCAGATGTGTTCGTCACAGATGTGTTCGTCACAGATGAGTTCGTCACAGATGAGTTCGTCACAGATGTGATCGTCACAGATGAGTTCGTCACAGATGAGTTCGTCACAGATGAGTTCGTCACAGATGTGTTCGTCACAGATGTGTTTGTCACAGATGTGATCGTCACAGATGTGATCGTCACAGATGTGATTGTCACAGATGTGATCGTCACAGATGTGATCGTCACAGATGTGATCGTCACAGATGTGTTCGTCACAGATGTGTTTGTCACAGATGTGATCGTCACAGATGTGATCGTCACAGATGTGTTCGTCACAGATGTGATCGTCACAGATGTGTTCGTCACAGATGTGATCGTCACAGATGTGTCCGTCACAGATGTGATCGTCACAGATGTGATCGTCACAGATGTGTTCGTCACAGATGTGATCGTCACAGATGTGTCCGTCACAGATGTGATCGTCACAGATGTGATCGTCACAGATGTGTCCGTCACAGATGTGATCGTCACAGATGTGATCGTCACAGATGTGATCGTCACAGATGTGATCGTCACAGATGTGATCGTCACAGATGTGATCGTCACAGATGTGATCGTCACAGATGTGATCGTCACAGATGTGATCGTCACAGATGTGATCGTCACAGATGTGTTCGTCACAGATGTGTTCGTCACAGATCAGATGTGTCCGTCACAGATGTGATAGTCACAGATGTGTTCGTCACAGATGTGATCGTCACAGATGTGTTCGTCACAGATCAGATGTGTCCGTCACAGATGTGATAGTCACAGATGTGTTCGTCACAGATGTGATCGTCACAGATGTGTTCGTCACAGACCCGGGTGTTTTGCTGCCTCTCGAGAATGAAAGAGAAAGATCGCTCTCTAACTAAAGCTTGAAGGAGTCAATGAAAAAAATACTATGGGCATTTGTATGAAGGCCAAATAGCATGAATAATGTTAAAAGCAGGGGAAAGTCAAAAAGCGTAATATGGGACCTTTAACTTCTGAGTCTACTGTAATTTCACACTTTGAGTTCAATTAGAAATTTACAAAACCAAATAGTATAGAGCTTTTTAAATGTTTCTAAAATGTCAATTAGCTCGTTTAGGCGCTGCTTTCTCATCCACGTCCTGTTTCTGTCTGTGGTCGATCAAGTGAGACCGCTTCAGTTCAAAGCCACTGTCACGGTTACCATGACAACCACCAAGACACAAGAACCACATAAAACACTGAAGCGCACTTTGTGGTTCAATTCTATTACATTTCTTTTTGTATCACCCAAATTCACAATAGCAGTCGCCTCAGAATGCTCAATTCACCAACAACAGGCTTGAGAATCAAATCATTTGAACTGAAGGAAATTAATTTATAAAACACACTTGAGTCATTGGTCCACAGAGAGAAGTGGTTTAACCAATGTCCATAAATGTCTTGGATCATCACTGAATTTTAGGGAGAGATGACAAACCAATGGGACTGACACATAGTTGTCATTTAGTGGGTGCAGGAGTCTTAATAAACATATTAATTAATTAAATACAATAATGCTAATTTTCACATGATGTATATATACATATTGAAATCTGTGGATACATCCCTTTTTGTAAATATGTTTTTGTAAATATGTTTTAACTCAACTATTTACTCAACTATTTGTATAGTTGAGTGATGTCCATTTTGAAATCTGACTTGTTTCTGTTGGAGGCACCATGTGAATACCCTGAGGCCTCAATATGAAGGTCATAGTTGTCCTAATAACTGACGTGTTTGACAAGCGTAGCGACTTGTGAAGCTGTTTTACGGAGCATTGCAGAGGAGCGAATGCAGGGGAGGGTTTTGTCCCAGGTGCTTAGACCCCCTCCCGCTCCTCACACCAGTTTAATGGAGGTGAGAATTGGCGGGTTGGACTTTAACACTTGACCCATGTTTACACTTCCTGTGGGTGTCATGGCCTGTCCATAAAGCATTTTCCTGGAGCTCCGAGCTGCTTCTGAATGCACCACTGCTCATTAGGACCAGACCATTTCCTCTCCTCTGTTTGCTTATATTACTGCCACACTTCCTCCTCCCCCGGGCTCTGTGTGTCTCCCCTCGGAGGGTCGGTGGTGGTAAAACGAGGAGCTGGCTGCTTTCGGGGTATGTGTGGTAATGGAGACTAATGCAGGGTTTCAAAGGCTTTGGATGCAGCACCTGTAACTGGGGCATATCTGAAGCCTGAAAACTATGGCAATAAGATATCCATATTTGAATAGAATTGGGTTGTAAGGATTAGAGTTTAAATTAATGGGGATAATAGCTGTGAAATGTTGTTATTATGACAGCTGGTGTCCCTATCTAAGCTCAGATCCTCTCTCCGTGGCTGTGGAGCTAAGGCTTGTTGTGCCGTATCTCCACTGTTCCTAGCATTGGACATTTCTGGGCATAGATTTCAGAGGTTGTTCAAGTAATCTGCTGTAACCACTGCCTCAACCTTGGGGTCACTGGCCCAAGTCCTCTGACCACCACAGGCACTTCTGTCACCTTTGACCCTCTCCAGATCCACCACCTCAATGTCTGGTTGTTTCACCATCACCATCTTGTATCTTAAAGTCTAAAGATAATGACAAAAATGAGGTCTGGGATCATTTCACAGCAGAAGACATTTTATTGTTGGTAGAAGACACGACCAAAGATGTGATTTTATGTGGATAATCACTGACTCCTGCAAAGTGTTAAAATGACAGGCTTAAATCTAACCATAATTGTTTCAAAAGTGTTATAAAAGATCCATAAGTCCCACAAGATCTTCACTCTCTCATTCTCTACCATTGTTGGAAATGATGCTTTCACAATAGATCACAAAAGTGGGAGGAGAGGCAGACAATGATGACTCTTTTCCAAATAGCCATGGTACTAATGTTTGGTTCAGAGGAGAAAAGGTTGTGGACCTCTGCTGTAGTAAATGAAAGCATCTCCTTTTATTTTCCAGCTGCAGAGACGTCGACGTAAACGTGTTGACAGAGGACACCAGCACTTACCAGCAGCCGTCGACCATTCACCTGTGGACCAACACACTCAGGTCTGAACACGTCTCACACACTCTGCTGTCGCTCAGTCTGTTCGCGCCTGCGGTGCTGCTGATTATGATGCGTTTTAAACATGTCATGAACACAAGGGATATCATCGTTTCAATTTTAGAGAAATTATCCCAGCTCCAATGGATAACAATTTATCAACTCAAAGCTATAGGTAACTAGACTGTGATAACAACGGCTTAATAAGGTTAAAGTTGGGGTACCTTCCCTTTCCCTCATAAATAATCCATATTGTTTGTCCCCACACAATTGAATGATGAGTTCACTTTGCTTCTATCAGGAAGATGTTATGGTTGCAGCATATTGTAAAACCAATCGTCACTTAAAATCTTTTGTCCCAACCGCTATTAGACTGCAGAACTCTCCGTAGCTTGTTGGTGATATGGACTTTGGCTTTAGAGCTATATGGTTGTATTATGTTCATATGTTTATATGGGACCCCACTTCATACCACTTCATATATTTCCTATGTTTTTATGTGTTTTCAATGTTTTTATGCCCTGTGCTGCTCAAACAAATTGCCCCTGAATTGCCTCTGAATCTGAATTGTGTAAAATATGAATAGATCAGGTCACAACATTCTATCTTTATTGTAAATGAAACATGTTATCTTTGCATAGCCCTGTGTGACGCTTTGAGCTGAGAGCTGATTGGTTGAGTGAGGGTGGTCCTCTGCCAAACAAAGCTGATCTAAAGATGTGACAAAGGCCAAGCTTACATGCATGTGAAAACTAGTGATAGAACCAAACCGTTTTAGAGCCATGCAGGTACTATAGTTGATGTTTGTGAGGATAGAAAGTCGGTTACCCCAACACACACACAAACATAAATGGTTGATTTGAAGTCACATTATGTTGCTTTGTTATGGCTAGACTTGCATATACTGTATGGCAATGAAAACTTTGGCTTTAAACTAGGGATGTCAATATTATTATGTTAAAGTTTTTGCTTTGGAATCCAAACTGGAGCAGAAGCACAGGTCATTTGTGTAGAAGCCGTAAACCCTGAAGCTGTATGTGAGGTGTTTACTGCCCCTTTTCTACGGTGCAGTTTATTGCGCGTCACCCCAGCCGTGATCAAAGCCCCGTCTCCCTGGTGAAAGCACAACCAAACACAGAAGCCACTGATGGACACATTAAAACACATTATGGTTCGTTTTCCTGTCCTTAAACTCCACCACAGACAAAGATTCACAATGGCTAATTCAGTGTTTTTACAAGAGGGCTGAGGCTGGGACAGACCACACACAGGTGCAGTAGGGACAGGGGCTCTGCTGACATCTGGTGGACAAAGCAGGGAGTGCAGGTGTTTACTTTTCCTTCTGTCATCCGTTTTTTTAATCCTCTTGATAAGGACATTATTTTAGTTTCATCGTAGCATTTTATTAATTATGATTAAACTGGTTTGTTTTGATTTCCTTTTTAGAATTGCTCTCAAATCATGTTTTCATATTTGTAGTTATACAGGTGCCCACTAGATGTTGCTCTTTGCACTTCATAAATGTTACTATACCTCAGTCGTTCATTGAGGGGGTGGTATATACTGTCTTCGGTTAGACATTCCATCCTCAAAAACAAAAGTGGTAACTGACAATGAAATCATACAATTTATAACCGAGAGCTCTGCAATTTGTGATTTGATTAGGTTGAAACAGCAACATATTCAGGCTGCTGTTTTTTGTGGAATTACGCTTTACATGTTTTGTTAAAACATATAAGATGCTTAAATCCTGTTTACTTTGTCCATAGTAAAAACAATTGAGCAATACATAAATAGCGTGATTTTTGTGGACAGCCTCTGGGTATCTTGTTGGAATAGGAAACATACACCCACTCTTCATAATGTCATACAACATGTATTTAATCTTTGATTCATGTAAATACCATGCTGTAACCTTTATGGAAACAGAACCACAGAGCAACCACTGAGCAGCCACTTATTTCCATTTTAAACATATTCCAGTTACTTTCTGAATATACACATTATCCAAATCTTCCTCATAATAATGAATATTTTTTTGACCAAGAGAAAATGTAACTGGCAATAAGATCAAAGATAAGTAAATAAATAGTAAGGTCGAGCAGGCTCAAACTGACAATAGATAATTGACTGTATACTTTTATTTCATTACTATAAGTATTGCCGTCATATGTTTCTGTAAACTGTATGATGACTGCTGAGGCGAGGTCTAAATATCAGAACAAGAGATGGAAACAGGAAGTCCTTTAATCGTATGATTATTCTGCTGCTTTCAGAGCGTTCAGGGTTCAGCTTTGGAATACTAAAGCATCTGCAATAGACTTTTATTAAGTTTGTAAAAAGTCATGTTATAACCCAGTCTGTTCTTCTGTCAGATGTTTCTCTGATCAAGTTGGAATCTTAGTGACTACTGCACCAGAAATCTGCAAAAGTAACTAAATGTTTGCAGGTGCAGTGGCTTGTGGTTACAGTTTTTCAAATGTTAAGACCGCAACTTGTTTCCTGTCGCACCAACAACCGGCGGTAACCTGGTTTGAAAACAGACGTATTTCCTGTCATGTTGTGGCTGTAATGCTGTTCTCTTCTGGGTCTTTGCATGCTTTGGTCGTTTTATTGGTATTTTATTTTAAACAAACTCCAAAAAGATGCATGTTGGTGTTTCTATGTTTTCCTTGTTGGATAATGTGTCAAAAATGATTAGAAAGATACTTAAGCTCCTTCCCTAAGTGCAACAAACCATTTTAAGACATTTTATCAGGACATTGTATCAACACTTAATCTTATTTTAAAATCTCCACAGGGAAAATAAAGTATAGCTTGATTTACACTAAGTACTGTAAATAACACAGCAAGTAATCCTGATATTGTTTAGGGAAAGAGATTTCTTTTCAATTTACTTTATTTACAATGCACTTTGTTCCAGTTCCAAAGCAGTAGGAATTTACGAAGCACTCAAATTCAGAATATGGGAGGATAGAAAAAGCAGTAGCATTGATATGATCACAAAATGTAATAATGGTTACAGACTTTTGTACTACACAGAAAAAACAAATACAAGAAAATATGTGTGAAGAAATATACCCAACACATTTGACACTTTTGTCTCACTAAAGGATCTCTGTAAGATGTGCTTTGCTCGTGTTGGTCAGATTATATTAAACACATTTAAAACATGTCAGTTTACTCAGCACTGCTCAGGTTTGTTTTCCATTTAAAGCCTGAAACAGAACAGCACATAATGAGGTCACTGAAAGTAAAAAACAAACATATTTTAATATTACCTGAACCCTCCAGATCAGAAAAGCCACAAAGAGCCCGTAGACGACACCTTTGGCAATTAAGAGGGTGTAGGACAGTTTTGCATGTTGGGTCATCTTCAGATATTCCTCTGAGGAGTAACAAACACAAACAGTTTTTTAATTTGTTATTATATACATAGTCCTCATTTCAAAATAAATACTTCTGACTTTGATTTTCCAACATCAGAAAAATATGAGTTTCAACTATTTTTGACACTCAAAATTGCTCTAGTTAAAAACTTAAAATATCATGGTTATAAGTTATGTATCTAACAGAAAACAAACACAAACGTTAGCCCTGATGAAAACATCTGTCAATATGTGGGCTGTGAAAGTTTGGACACCCCAGATCACATCTTTTACCGTGAAGAGAGAAGACTGACTGATCATCTCCGAAAGGCATGAGCCACAAATAATGTATAATTATATAATATATAGAATTTGCTATGATTTTATATTTGAAATATAAAACATTGATATTTGGAAGATCAAATATATAGAAATGGAAAAAGTAAAGGTTTCAGCACCTTCAGTTAACGCCTGTAGCTTCTTTTAATGAACTGATAATTATTTCCTCTGATAGGGTCCTGGGCTTGTTCACAGTCAGGAAAGGACAGATGATGCCACTTTTAAAGCTTAATAAATGAAGTGCCATCTTAGCCTTGGTCCAATAATCAGTGACCATAGAGGATGGATGTATTTATAATGTGCAGCTCATGTGGCAATGGATTAATGGACATAATTAATTAGATATGTTCTTCAAAATGTATCATTATGGCTGCTATATTTTTGACAATGAAAAGGTAAAACCATGTCAAAAATACAACTTGTCCTCTCCACTTGCTGATCCACTGGTGGGAATGTGTTTTCATAATAAAAAATACAACAGAGATAATTAATTCAATAATGTACCTCTAGTCCAGCTACTGTCTTCTTGTTCTGAGGAGAATACAGATTAAGAATATATTTTTTTCTTCTTTCAATTAAATTAGAAATGATTTGGCCTTACCTTTGATGACCTGAATATTGTCTTCTTGTTCTGAGGAGAATACAGATTTAGAATAGATTTATTTCTTCTTGCAAATTATTTAGAAATGATTTGAACTTACCTTTGATGCCCCGAATATTGTCTTCGTAATCTTTGTTCTCTCGCCCGTTAAAGAAGCTCACGATGCAGGTGAAAATGTTGTCTGGCTGTGTCCACTCTTCCACTGTCACCCTGAGGCGGCTGCTGATGGTGTATTTCTTGCCTTGCCTCTGGGGCTCAGTGTCTGTAGATACCCCGTGTACTCTGGAATCTTTGTTGACCTGAAAATAAGAAGGGATACAGCGAGGAATCAACTACCATCAATCCAATTTTGATCATTGCTATTGTTAACTCAGGGCTGAGAATCTTTCAACAAAAGTTACAGTTGAGTTAAAGTTTCCGATTTGTTTATTCAAAACATTGGTCTGAGGGCTGTTTTTAAGCCATAGTCACCACTGCATTTACTGGACAATATAGACCCCAAAACCCATATTTGGACTTTATATAAGACAGAAGGTTATACGCTTTCGATGTAATGGACACTTATAATATTGTGTATTGTGCAGTAAATGTGTGTATTATGAATTACTGGTTGAGATTATTTTTGGAATGGACTAGAGGAAGAGCAGATTTTAAGTTGACAAACGGGGAGCCTAATTACCGGTAAATAAGGGAAATATTTACTCTTTGTTTAAAACACTAAATTAACAATAGAAATAATTTCTCCGTGACCACTGAAATGTTAAGTGTCCTCTTTACCTGCCAGGACACGGTCACATGATCCGGGTAGAAGTCTCTGGCCACACACACCAGTGTCTTGGCTTTGGGTCCGTCTCTTCTCTGCGGACGCTCCTTCTCAGACGGGGCAAAGACTTCCACTGTGGGGGGAGTGATCTCTTGGTCCTTTTCTGCACTCAAGAATACAGTATCAAAGGCTTGGGCTCACCCTGACTATTTTATTTTATTCACTGGAAAATGGGACAAAGTTGTGTTACGTTCCACTGTTTTTTCATCACAATTTTATTTTGTTTAGTTGCCATTTCACCAACCCTTCAAGTTGAGATGTTTTACAGATAATATACATTTGTAATACAAGATGAAATCCCAAATAGTTTTGATTTTTCTTTTATAATAGATAACCAACAGTATATTTTTATGGTTCTTTGAAACTTTAAAATCTGGTTCTTGCACAAAATGAATAGAAATAAAATTGTCCATTAAGAAGCCAGATATAAATACAGACTTTCATCAGTTTTTTTCTCATCATACATTTCTTTGCATATTTCCACCAAGTACTAAAAATTTTCAATACACTGTAGAATTATTTAAAGATACATTTCTTACCTAAAACAGTTAATTTGGTTCCTTCTCCAAAATAGGCTGGGTCATAGCTGTTCACACTGACACAGTACCAGCGTCAAACCTCAACTCTCCTGATTTAATTTATGAGATACGCATTTTGACACCAACATTTTAAAAAATGTTAAACCAAATAATGCGTGTTTTAGGCGTTTTTTAAATTACATTATATGATTCGATCAGCAGCAAAATATTTTTAGACTATATGAGCGTGATTAGTAATTTCCATAGTACTGTTTTTTCATAATGATATAAGCTTGGAACATTACCCAAAGTATAAAACCAAATAATATCTACACTCCACTCGCTGAAATGATCTGCCTAAACACATCAAAACATGTATATAATAAAGTAAGAGGATTACTGCATTTATAAGAAGTCATTTCCAACAGTTGCAAGTTATTTTTTCTTACCCAAAACGGTGAGTTTGGTTCCAGCTCCAAAGTAAGCCTCGTTGTAAGAGCACAGAGTAACTCAATTGTGCAAAAACCTACTTTTACCACAGTCGCACCTGCATGGAGCTTGAGTTGTTTCCACACATGAAAACCTTATTCGAGCAATTATTTTGGTTTTAGAGATAAGTCAATGAAAATGTGTTACAAGCCGAAATACTCACGACACAATCAGACGATACAATGTCTTACCTAAAACTGTTAATTTGGTTCCTCCACCAAAGAAAGCCACGGAGCCAGTACCAACACAGTGCATTAAGCCTTTGCCATAACACTGAAACTACTGCCTTTCTCAAACTAAATGTAATCTGCTATGTACCACAAACATGTACAATGTTCAATTCCTTTAAATCTCCAGGGATCATTTCTCCTACTCACCCAGAACAGTCAGCTTGGTCCCTTGGCCGAAATATGCTTCATAGTTTGCACAGAGCTTAAGCTTGATAGCAAAAATCCTCAGACGAACCGCCTCCTCAAACTTCAGTTATTCTCACTATACTATGTAAATGATAAATATTTCATAGTATGTACTCACCCAACACTGTCAGCTTTGTTCCAGTCCCAAAGTAAGCTTCGGCTTGATTGTCACAGTGAACCGTTACAAAGCAAAATGGTTCTATACCATCATTCATTGGCACTTTACTTCCCATGTACGTGGAGTTGCTAACACCATAATTGTATGTAATATAATCCCAGATATATTTTAAACATTGTAGCACTTACCAAGAACAGTGAGTCTGGTTCCTGGTCCAAAGTAAGCAGGTTCAGAGTAGGTCACAGTGCAGTTCACGCAGATCAAAACTCACACTTCACTGCTCAGTTATTCTGATCTTTTTAATTTCATGTACCAATAGATTCTCCCAAAAGTGGCCAAACTGTGACCCCAACCAGGTCCTGTGTGGTCTCCAATACTGGCTCCGGCTCCGGCTCTAGCCACATTGGTGCAGAGACTGTGATCCCAGCTCCGCGGTGCAGCTGTGTGAGGGTGCAGAGGTTTTTGTACGACGCTTCTATTGGAGTGTATCACGGTGCCCCCTGTCCCCACGATGAAATGACTTCATACAAAAAGCCTTGAACTCTGGCGCCTCCTCCGACAGAAGCCGCTTCACTCATGTCTGTACATCTCATGTTTCACAAGAGACAAGAAGATGTTTTTAAAGAACAGGAAGATGATTTAGGACATCGCACATGTGAAGAATACACGCATGACGTACAGTACATGACGTACAGTACATGACGTGTGACGTTTTGTTGGACTGGTTTCTTATTCTCTTTCTTTAGTCTGTTATTCATTCTTCATACCTTTTTACATAATAATCAATAAAAAATAAAATAATAATTTTTATGGTACCCTCAGAAGTTCAGAACACACTTTGAGAACAAGTGATCATTTTCATGTGGTCTAAGATGTGGCAAAACTGTCCAGCAACTTTCTTCTGTGCTCTCCAATTACCCAAACATCTCCAATAATTTATTTTAACGACATTAACTCAATTCATCCATCCATCCATTTCTGGGTCAGGGGGGTGACAGTCAGAGATGGCACCCAAGTCTCATAGCACCAGCCCCTCACTGACCCTCTGCAGGTGGTGAGTCCACAGGAGGACGGCTGCTCTCTGACTGTGAGCATGGCCTTGATCTTTCAGTGGGGGCTTTGGGCAAAGTGGGGTTAAGTGTCTTGCCCAAGGACACAACGACAGCAGTTATCAGTGGGAGTTCTCAATTCTAATAATAATAATAATAATGCATTGGTTTAAAATAGCGTCCCACTGTGGCTGGTGTTCCCAGAGGTTAAGTGTCTTGCCAAGGACACAACAACAGCAGACATCAGTGGGAGTCGGTGGAGAAAGTCCACTGTCACACTATAAATTCTGAGGATTTCACATCGATCTGACGTGAGCCAGGTTAGAACCAGACATTAACTGAAAGGGAATCGCACTTAAACTGTTCTGAAACCCCATGGAGTTCTCTTGATTTCTTTACTTACTTCCTGAGTATTAGTAAAAATCATACCTTAACTTTGATTGAAAAGAAATAAGGTAACAGTAGATGTCAAAAATTACATCTCAACCATCAATAGCAATTTGTCCATCAGTCTTTAATGAAACAAATACCATCAGCAATTTTAACTATGGATGGAGATTATGGATTATGGTCAATTACTCAGACCATTTGTTTTTCTTTACATTATGAGAACAAAAATTTCAATTATCAATAAAGTGAACTAAGTAATACAATCAATGTAACTATAGTTCCTGGCCTTCAACAGTTTGGTTCTGTCAATAGTTTTCACATGCATGTATTTTTAGACTTTTCAGAAGATCTTTTTCAGACAGAAAAGTGAAGACAGGACCAGCAAAGGCAGGTCTCAGTTAATATAAGATACAACAAAACATGTTATATTTCTATAACAAAAAAGTTAAGAGCCCCAGCTTTAAGTGCAAATAAAATCCTGTGTGGAGTGACATGTGTTGCCTGGACAGGTCTGTGTGGGAATGAGATCACACAATTATAAATTTTGTGAAATGAACAGAAACGCTTGATTTCCTTTAATGTGTCATAAATATAGGTATATTTAGAGTATAGATACTTTTTGATTTGAACATTGGAGTTATTTTTATTGTACTATTTATTTTATTATTTTATTTATTTTAATTTTATTGAACCCACTGAAAAAACAATATAATTCTTGATTTGAGTCTTGACTTTTGTATGAAGACAATGTAAACCTATGAAAATCTTTCCTTTCTAATTCCCGGCTCCCGCCTACAGGTGTCTGTATCTGTACAGCGCTGTGGTAGAATGCATTGCTGTGAGAGGCCGTGCAGTAGTACGAGCCTGTGTCGTCTGGGATCAGCGCTTTGATCTCCACAGAAAAGTTATTATTGGCTCCATCAAGGAAACACTTAAAACGCTCTGTTTTCTCAGTTTCTGAGCAGATTTTCTTTATCTCTGCCCCATTGTTCCTCTGTCCAAACCAGTACATCCAAAAATTGTTCATTGAATATTGTTCCAAACTGCAGTCCATCCTTATGGAAGAGCCCATGTCTGCCAGGATGTGTCTCACTGGTTGGATCACTCTGATGGGAAGACCTGAAGTAAAAACAACCTTTTGATTCAAGTTCAGTTCAATTCAAATACAGTAAAACAAATCAGGCAGACTGACCTGATTGGAACAACAGGGACAAAGACAGACAGAAGAACAGCATCTTGATGTGAGGCCGTTGCATGATGTTGAATAAGGCTTACATAAAAGTTTGATCACATGATCAGTGGGTTGGGTTAATGCACTGGATCCTGCAAAGACTAGACTTTAGAATCATTTTTCAAATCATTATTTTAACTTGCAGCATTGATCATAAAGGGTTAATATGGACACAATGTCATGTTATACTTAGAGTCAATTTTCTTAAGAAAAAAACCCACATCATTCATTACATTCTAAACATTGAACCCATAGTTATAGTTAAATTACAAATAGACTTTTATTAGTCTACTTTACCCACCATTTACCTATTATGTGCAGTTTTGTCAAAACATAGCTTTTGTTCAGGGAATAATAATAATAATAATACAATATGAAACAAACTTTTCACAAATAATGAAGTCCTGGCTGAAACGCGTGGGTTTCCTTTCTTCTTCTTCTTAATGTCTCTTAATTGTCCTTGATGAGCACATAAGTAATCACTTATTTTTACATATTTGGACTCAGACGCACTCTTTTTTTCATGATTTACTCTCCTCCTTAAATAGATTTACAAACGTGTCTTTTTAGGGGTTTTCTAAAAGCATCCTACTGTGATCAGATCAGATTCATTTTATTGGCCATGTGCAGTAAAACTACATTGGAAATACATGCAAAAAGAGGTACTCTGTGTGCACCGACAGAATAAAAAGCACGATACAATGTAATATAAATACACATACACTGAATATAAAATAATAAATAATAAAAAAAACAGCTGACACTGTGGCACCGATCGACAAAACAATACAAGGGGTAAAAGCAGTTTAAAAGCAGGTAAAAGCAGGAAATTAAAATGCTCTGTTTAGGCTGTTAAAATGCTCTGTTTAGGCTCTGTTTAACAGCCTGTGGAAAGAAGCTGTTAGCATAGCGAGATGTCTTGCATCTCAGTGACCGGTATCTTCTGCCAGAGGGAAGAAGCTGGAACATGGCTGTCCCAGGGTGGCCAGAAGAGTCACCGATGATTTTAAGAGCTTTGTTTAAAAGTCTGGATTTGTAAAGAACCTCCAGAACAGGAAGCTCACAGCCCACGGTCCTCTTTGCAGAGCGGAGCACCTTGTTTAAAGCTCTCTTTTCTTTATCTGTGATGTTTCCAAACCACACAGACACAGAATCAACAAGTAAACTCTCAATGGTGCAGCGATAAAAGTTCAGCAGAATCTTAGAGTTAGTGGTAAATTCTCTAAGTTTCCGCAGGAAGTAAAGACGCTGACGGGCTTTCTTTACGACTCGGTCAGTGTTTTTAGCCCATTTCAGGTCGTTAGACAGAGTTAAACCCAGGAACTTGCACTCCTCTACGATCTGCACCTGGGAGTTGTCAATAACAACAGGAGTGTGAGAACTGCTATGACTGAAGTCAAAGACAAGTTCACATGTTTTTGCAGTGTTCAGCTGGAGATTGTTTACTTTACTCCACTGAAAAACATGTTCGATCTCTGCTCTATAAGAGGAATCATCATTGTCACTGATGAGACCGATGATGGTGGTGTCATCAGCATATTTGATGATCAGATTTGAGTCAGAGGAGGACACACAATCGTGAGTGTACAAAGTAAAAAGCAGGGGACTCAAAATACATCCCTGAGGAGAACCAGTGCTCACAGAAACAACATCAGAAAAACAGTCATTGATTTTTACTCTCTGAGATCTGTCAGTTAAAAAGCTAAAAATCCATTTACACATGGCAACATTCAGACCAAGGGACATTAGTTTTTCAACCAATATGCTTGGGACAAGACAATTAAAAGCAGAGCTATAATCAATGAACAGCATTCTCGCGACAGATCTACTAGTGTCCAAATGAGTGTAGACAGAGTTCAGAGCAAAGGAGATGGCATCCTCCACACTCCTGTTCTGTCTGTAAGCAAACTGGAGCGGGTCAACACTCACAGGGATCTGGCTCTTAATAAACTCCAGCACGAGCCGCTCAAAAGTCTTCATAAGAACAGACGTGAGAGCCACAGGGCGGTAGTCATTGAGACATGTCACTGGAGACTTCTTAGGAACTGGAATAATGGTGGACCTTTTAAAGCTCACCGGCACCGTACAGCTCCTGAGTGACAAGTTAAAAATGTCCGTTAAAACAGGGGCAAGTTGCTCGGAGCACAGTTTCAGGACGCGGGGAGGAATGCAGTCCGGGCCTGCGGCTTTCCGAGCTGTGGTCCTGGACAAGACCCGCCGTACTTCATCCTGAGTCACTGTGAAGGCACCCTGACATTCGGGGAAGACAAAAGGCAGGGGATCAGCAGATTCAAAGCGGCAGTAAAAGTCGTTGAGCTCGTTTGGCAGAGTTTGGCCAGCAGCAATTTTCCCTGCACTTGGTTTCCAGGACGTGATAAGACTGATCCCCTTCCACATGCGTCGGGGGTCCTCTTCCCCAAAGAAGCCCTCTAACCTGTCCCCATAGGAACGCTTAGCAGCTTTTATAGAGCGTTCCACAGCGTAGCAGGACAGCTTGTAAGCGCCCTCGTCACCGGATTGAAACGCCAGTGTCCGCTCCTTGATTCTGAGTTTGACATCAGTGTTCATCCAAGGTTTTTGGCCGGAGTGTTCTTTGATAATTTTATAGGGGACACAACAATCAATGCAAAATTGTATGTATCCTGTCACAGCCTCACAGAATTCATCAACATTCTCAGAGTTAAAAACAGACCAGTCTGTGGCATCAAAGCAGCCCTGCAGCTTCATGTTAGCCTCCTCAGACCAGCACTGCACAGTGCGGGAAGTAGGTTTGTGCTGTTTGTTCCTCTGTGTATAAGAAGGAAGAAGGAGAACAGCAGAGTGATCAGACTTCCCAAAAGCAGGTCTGAGACTGGACCTGTAAGCCGCCTTCACGTTACTATAGCAGTGATCCAGGATGTGAGCTCCCCTGGTAGGCTGACTCACATGCTGATAAAAGTTCGGTAATACAGACTTTAAGTTACATTTGTTAAAATCACCACCAACTATAATCACAGCATTGGGGTGAGCAGCTTCATGTTTATGCAAAATGTCACTTAAGTCATTCAGTGCAGCTGTACAGTCAGCCCGAGGATGAATATATACAGCACATAAAAAAATCACTGAGAATTCTCGGGGAAGATAGAACGGGCGGCATCTCAAAACCAGACACTCCAGGTTAGCAGAGCATGTTTTGTTAACAATAAAACTGTCAGTGCACCAGCGCTGGTTAATTAAAAAACACACACCTCCACCTTTCGATTTTCCTGTGCTCTCCTTCTCTCTGTCCGAGCGGAAAATGGCGAATCCCGGCGGCTGAACAGCTGAGTCCGGGATATTGGGATGTAGCCATGTCTCGCTGAGGCAGTACACTGCGCAGTCCCGAGCCTCGCGCTGGTACTGGATACGGCTCAGGAGATCATCCGACTTGTTCGGGAGAGACTGAACGTTCGCCAGGTAAATAGGTGGCAGTGGGACCCTGGGGGCGCGACTCCGCACGAGAAGCCCGCCACGCTTTCCCCGGTGTCTGCGCTTCCTCCGTCGGCGAGAGACACCCGGCTCCGCACGGCGGTGAACACGGGGGAGGCGCCCGGCCTCATCGCCCTGTTCCCTGTCTCTGTCGCGGTCCGCACGCCGCTCTCCTCGAGTTGGGGACTCGTCAAAGCCCTCACACCTAAGAGCAGGCGACACTGACTCACAAGCCAAGTCCCGTATGTCCAGGAGAGTCTGTCGATCATATGCCACAGTGGCAAGTGTTTTGTGAAAGGATAAAAACAGTGAAAGGATAAAAACAATCACGGTGCACAACGGAGCTCTTGCAGCGGCGCCCTGGCACGGCGCCATCTTGACTTATCAAGATTGACTATATCACTTACTGTAGGTAGTAGTAGTAGTTTAGTACAGTTCACAACTCAGACAATACAGATCATTTGAAAAAAAAAATATATATAAGTAAAAAGTAAAGTTGACTGAAAGGGTTTGGCTTGTGTCGAGCCTCCAAAAAACACTCCACCGTCTGAAGTCGTCAGGTTTGAGATGAGAAGAGAAACGGTCCTTTCCCGGTCTTCACTCAACACTAAATAGTAGATGCATTTAATTGTAGCGGTGACTTTGGGATAATGTGTCATTTTGAGTGAGGTGGCTCCTAGTCACACATGTTATTGTGTGACTTTGGGGATGTGCTGTGAATAGTATTGATTAAGGATCTCACAATACAGCTCTCAATTTCCAAAGGTCACAAATATATTATACAGCAGTTCTATTATAATGGTTTGCTCTGTGCTCTGAATCTCATATAAACTGTAATAATAAAAATAATTTATATCATCGTCAGTCCTAAATTCAATACTGACAGCACACTTGCCACTTATAAACCAGGATAAAGCCACAACAGCAGGTGTCTCATGTCTGTCTCTCTCCAAACCACTATCAAACCCAGCTATAGTTTTTGTTCACTTTGTTACGTTATTTGTAGTGATGTGCTTGGCTGGCTGCACAGAAATAGACTCCACTCTGCTTTGGTCCTTCTAACTGGACTGACAAAGATCCATTCTTGCCTTCAGTCCCTCCCAAATCGCCACTAATTTTGCACAACTCATTATATTGCTCCTCCATTTTGACTTCTTTAAAATAGAGATATCCAATTAAGTGCAAGGCGGTGTCTTCAAACGGCCGATGGTACCAGAGCATCAGCCTGTAGTCCGTTCTGCTGTGAGTGCAATAAATGTGTACTTTGTCATTCATGCGGTGGATTAGATCTGTGTCAGATTGGTGGACTTGAACAGCAAAACAGCAGCCTGGAAATACAAGAAAACAGGGATTTACTATTAAACAAACGCATTGTGTGTAAAGTAGAGTGAATGAAAACCAAGCATTAGACACATCAGTAGTGCATACAGCTACATTTGGCAAGTCATTGTGAGGAAACAAGTGTGACTTCTACTTATTTAATCATCCACATCATTACCTGTCACAAGGCAAAGTAGGCAGAAGTAGATCATTGTTACGCTCTACCTATGAATTTGT